TGGAATGAGATACCACAGGAGGACATTGACCACCTGATCAGAAGCATGCCTAGGCGCGTTGGAGAATGCGTAGCACATCAGGGTGCATCCACACATTATTAAAGGTCAAAGGGCTTTAAAGCAGTGCAATCATTTTGAAATTTTTATCATTTACTTATTATGCTTCATTAAGTACTTATACAAAATTTTATTAAAATAAAACCATTTAAACTGGGTGTTCAGATTTATATGTCACTTAGTATACAGGGTTATCCAAATTAAGTGTCCACCATTAGTAACTTTGTTATTAGTGAAAATACAAAGTTGTTTGAATTAGCAAACTAGTAGCATTTTTAACGCTGGTAAAAATGAGAAATAAAAAAAAACAATTGAGAGTCGTTATTTTGATTTTTTTCAGTAAAATATCATTTTTTTAATGGAAACCCCTGTATATTATATTTTTTTCTGTTAAAGCATCAAATTTTAAACAAAAAAGATTACAATAACTTTTCTCCTAGGTTACAAATTGGTGAAGTTATGGCCTCCAATCTGAAACAATTAAATTGTATCGACAAACTTTATTTCAACATCACTTATAATCTTACAAAATACAATAACAATTTTTTTTAAGAGATGCTCGAAAACACCACCTTGTTCTTCAATACATTTTTGGGCACGTTTTTCAACTGCTCGAACTGTCTTAAGTATGGTCCTACCATCTATCTGGGTTATCTTTTCCCTAACTGCAGTCTTTAACGCGTCAAGGTTCGTACCTTCGCTTGTAAATTTGGTTCTTTAAGTAACCCCACAAGAAGTAATCAAGTGGGTTTAGATCCGGTGATCTGGGAGGCCACTGTATTGGGCCATTTGTTCCTATCCACTGATCATTAAAAGTAGTACTTAGAAAATGATAAGTACCTCTGGAGTTGTGGGCAGGTGCGCCATCTTGCTGAAAATGCAGATGATGTCTACTTATAAGATCCAATTCGTCTAAGAAATTAGTCAGAATTTCTGACATAAATTCCACATATCTTTCACCAGTTAGGGTTCCCTCATAAAAGAACGGGCCAACAATTTTTGAACCAATTATACCGCACCAAACGTTGAAACTGAAACGGACTTGTGGGCCTCTTGGATGTACTAACAAAAGATTTTCTCTTGACCAATAATGGTGGTTTTTTCTATTAAACATTCCAGAATTTGAAAAATTTGATTCATCTGTCCATAAAAGGTAACGAAAGTTATTTACATTTTGGCGACAGAAGCTAAGATACCAATGGCAAAAAACAAGTCTTCTCTCTGGATCCCCTGCCAAAAGCGTTTGAACTGGTCGGTACTTATACGGAATAAATTTGTATTTTTTAAAATCCTTTGAACAGTACCATAACTGAAATTAGAGTCCTTGAGAATATCTGCTATTGAATTCTCACGATAAGCTTCAAAATATCCAATAACTGCAATTTCCGTGGCCTCGCTTATTATGAATTCTTTTTTTGCCCTTGTTTTAGCAAAACATTTTCGTTGCCCCTAAATTTTCGATAAAGTCTCAGAAAATATCGTTCATACGGTTGAATGCGAGCGGGATATAATTCACTGTAGTATTCTCTTGCTCTCAAGGAGGATTTTCTGCACACTAAATAGCATTCTAACATATCACACTTTTCTTCATGGGAGAACATTTTTCTTTAAATTAATGACACAATAAAGCTTATAAACAAGTATTTACACTAATGTTTGACATTATTTGATTTTATCATTGTTTTCCAAAGCCTTCTAGTTGCGAGTATGTCCAGTTTAACAATTTGTCGCTTATCTTAATGCTGTCAAATCGCGAACGCCATGTTGTTTTCATAGCCGTCTTAATATTATAATACTTCAAATAATTAAAAATATTTATCGTTATTTTGACTTTATTTTGACTTTAGCGGAAAAGTCATTATGAACTTTTTTGTTTAAAATTTGATGCTTTAACAGAAAAAAATATAATATACAGGGATTTCCATTTAAAAAAATGTTATTTTACTGAAAAAAAATCAAAATAACGACTCTCAATTGTTTTTTTTTATTTCTCATTTTTACCAGCGTTAAAAATGCTACTAGTTTGCTAATTCAAACAACTTTGTATTTTCACTAATAACAAAGTTACTAATGGTGGACACTTAATTTGGATAACCCTGTATATAAGGGAGAGGGAAGTAGAAATGAAAATCCTTAACATACCGAGGTTTGGGATATTTACATTATGTATAATATACATTTCATGTCCAAATGTTTTTGTTTTCATATTTTGAGTTAAAATAAAAGTTCAGTGAATTTAGTATGGAAGTATGTTTTATTGAATTTTGCTATAGCATATAGTGTTGTAAACGTATCTGACGTATTTTTTATCTTGCTTGCAGGCTAGAAGGAGAGGCGTATATACATTACAAATCAATGCTAATATCACTTGCATTGCATTTGATATTGTTGATGTTCGAGTTACTTGTTTGTGACAACCTAGAATCAAAAAGACACTTATGGATTTTAGTGTTCATCCCATTAATTTTTATATCTATTGTTAGTATTGCTATATGCATATGGGCTGTGAAGCATGACAGGTCATTTGAGGTATGTGTATATTAAGGTTTTTCTGTCGAGGTACTGATAACATTGCAACTTATAATGCATTATAATATCCATAACCATAATCACAAAAGAAAAACAGAAGGAAATATGATTGAGAATATTGTCCATTCAAAAAGCTTTGAAACGTGGGCGCCAATCAAAGGGGCAGGGGGGCATATTCCCCCCTGGCTTCCACTTGTGAAGTAAAAATATACCTTTAAAATTGCATGAGCTACAGAAAAGTTCTATTTTAACAATGTTTTTGTTTCAGCTGGAATTGTTTTGCGCCGTTAACGTCCTCCAATTTATATTCCTCGCATTAAGACTAGATGAGTTCATAATGTGGTCCTGGGAAGTTGTGTTCGTGCCATTGTGGATTGTTATGTGCTTATCATTAGTAGGAGTATTATACACAATCATTTTCGCAGCTATATTGTTAAGAACGCCAGAAGTTAACGCTCAACAGAGAAGGAGCAGTATCAATTCGGCTCTTGGTTATGGTTTTTGGTTATACCCATACTTGTGTTTCAGGTAAGTTCATGCAGATCAGGACAATCAATTGAAAAAATCTATATTTTTTTGAAAACAATTCGTACGGCTCAAAATAATACTCTATCAGCTGTATCAGTCTGGGAAGATGTTTAAAAAATAATTATAGATGTTCCTTCAGAGTCCTTATGATTTTGGCATAATTTACTATTTGTTCAAACATCCAGTACGAAGAAGATCTCCACAAATGGAACAGAAGTGTCTCAGCTCTAAGCTTTCACATGGGTAGTTTATGAGGTTGACATTATATAGGTTTTTTGTGACATTATGTAGAGACAGGAATACTTATGAAACGTGAAAAGTTCTCCCTGCAGACATTCGTCAGAAAATTTCTGACAAAAGAGTTGCAATTAAGCAAGCGAAGAGGTCTTGTCACCCAGATGACATCCGCAAAGCAACTAATCTTGTTCATGAAGTGAGAAACGCTCTTCATGAATTCCGTAATGAGCAATGGAGCGACTTTCTGTCGGGGATGCTTGACTCAAGTATTCCTCTCTGGAAAGTTGCAAAGTCGCTCAGAAACGGAAAGCGAGAACAACTCCCGCACATCCACGGTCCTAGGGGCATAGTCTGTAGGACAGAGGAAAAGGTCGAGGTTTTCGCTGATGCAATGGAAAGTCAGTTCTCTCCCAACTATGACCTTGATAATGACCTCGACGAGGAGCAACATATTGTAAGATCCGTCAGGGCCAACGGCGTCAGTGGCAGTAGTTCCTCCCTTACTGATTTTTCCTCAGAGGAATCTTCAGATGATTCCTCAATTGAAGAGCTGCACGGCACATCAGCGAGATCTCCTGAGACTCCGCATTGCACACCAGCAGAGCTCCAAGGTCATATTAAAGACCTCAAGGTGCGTAAAGCACCTGGAGAGGATGGAATTACTAATAATGCGCTGAAGCTACTTTCGCGAAAGTCCTTAACTTATCTCGTCGCAATAATCAATGCCATGCTAAGGGCCCAGCACTTCCCAACGGCGTGGAAGACCGCTGATGTCATAATGATTCCAAAGAAGGTGGGTTCGATATCCCCTCAGGATTACTGCCCCATTAGTCTACTGTCAGCTCCTTCTAAGCTCGCTGAAAAGGTGATTCTACGTCACCTTGAAAATTTCTCGGCAGACCACAACGTGATTCCTGACGTGCAATTTGGCTTCGGTCTGAGCTTAGTATGGAGCTACAGTCCATAAGGCTTGTTGAACGAGTAACCAGCGGGTTCACCAGTAATGAAAGTACTGGCATCTTGCTACTGGATGTCTCAAAGGTATTTGACAAGGTGTGGCACAAGGGCCTTCTCTAGAAATTGATCCATAAGGGCTTCCCCTTCTGGCTCCTAAAACTTTTGAAATCCTTTCTCGAGGGTAGGAAAATTCGGATCAAAATTAATAACGTTCTCTCGACAACACGGCCCATCAAAGCCGGTGTCCCTCAGGGTTCGGTTCTTGGACCAGTCCTTTATTCACTTTTTATTCATGACGTCCCTTGCCCCAGCAGCTGTGACACCTATCTCTATGCTGATGACACTGCCCTGGTGGCCCAGTCGTGCTCTGGGGATCTAGTTCACGACAGGCTGCAAAGTGCAGTGGACGAGGTATTGGAATGGGCGAATCGGTGGCTGATCAAAATTAATCATTCGAAAACGCAGGCAATCTATTGTACTAAAAAACGTAGCGGCGCCCCGTCTGAGGTTTCAGTGAATGGCGCTCGGGTACCATGGGAAAGCTCTGCTAAGTATCTCGGTATCACTCTTGACAAGGGGATAACCTGGCAGAAGCACACTGAAGCGTTAAAAACTAAATTCCAAATCTCGTTTCGGCAACTCTACCCTATGCTATGTAGAACATCAAAATTAAGTTTGATCAACAAAGTTCGACTATACAAGATGGTTATTAGACCAGCGATCACTTACGCACGTGCGGCTTGGTGTTTTCTCGCCAAAACGCATTTGCGTAGCCTGCAGGTTTTGCAGAACAGAACCTTGCGTACAATCACTAACGCCCCATGGTATGTTTCCAACGAGACCCTTCAAAGATACCTTGACATCCCTTACCTAAGGGACTACATCAAACAACAAGCGCAGCTACGTTACAGTCAAGCAGAATCGCATAACAACCCTTTGTTGCGCGAGTCAGTAGACTACACAGTCAAGCAAGTTCGCAAGCACACAAGGCCGCGACTCGCACTGTGAACAAAATTAAATCGTGCGACTTTAGGTCCAACCAAAATTATAATTTTTCTTCAACAACCAATCCCAAAATTAATTTTAGGATCAATTTAAAATTGCCGAATACTAACTAGCAATGCCAAGGCACCCCTCAAATTGATGCACTTCTTTTTTCTTTGCTCTCCCTCCTTCCTTTCTTCTTCCCTTCTTTCTCCCTGACTTTGTTTGGTATCTGGGCAACCAGACCTGACAGACCTACTGACTTACAAGACTTCAACCAAGAGCAAAGGTCCTACGGACCGCTCTGATAGACAATGACGAATAGTCACGTGAAAAGTTTGTTAAAATTCACAATATTTTTTATTTCCATTCATTTAAATTTTATATAAATGTATTTTGTGGTGTCAAGTAGAAAGTACAAATCAGCGCCTAGATGTGAGGCACTGAGAACATGTTTTGTGTGTGATGCGTCGTTCCTAATTTTTCTGTGGTGTGTGTATTCAGTAATAATTTTCTCACTTGGCAAATATATTTTATATCTTCGTACTCAACCAATTTTTATTTTTCTGTCACATCTTCTCAGTGATATACTCTACACCAACACACTATCTCGGCATTCTGCAACGAACCAAAGCATGCTGGGGAACTAACTTGCAGCTTGCGCATGGTCATTGAGCGTGCCGTGTCGTTCAGTCATTCCTCCGTAGATGTCGCTTTCGGTGACGCTCACAGCGACCAAACGCGGAATCACCTATTTGGACCCTACCTATCTGCGCAGCAAGTTGACATTTTGGCGTTTTTTTGACATTATACATATACGTTTCTTACGTAACAACCGTGCTGCAACCGGTTTGTAGCCAGAGGTATATGAAAGCTCTCCAACCTGGCGTCGACCTGGGCGGCGTTGCCATTTTGGAAGCGTCGCCACACCGTCACTTAACTAAACTTGAGTGGAGTCAGGCAACCCGTACCGGCGATTGTCCGTCGACAGTGAAGCACAAAGCTAGGCAACGTCTTTTAAAACGCTTTTCACGCTGGTAAACGATTTTTGACAAATGAGGTTAGACACCTTGGCTTTTTGCAGTTGCTATTCTGAAACAGAGTTAAACACCCAATGTCAGCGAGATATTCTGACTATAATGTGTGTGTGTGTATGTTATCTCGTCTATCTATATTTTGTTTTAAAACGATAAAAGTGGTTCCGCTACACTTGAAACTGTAGACCCTTTTTTGAGTTGTAGATTTTAAGAACTATGGGTGCAAATGTGAAATTTTAGGATGTTTTTATCACATAGGATTTTATAGTTGCTTCTATAACCTATTTTAATTTAATGTAACTGCTGGGCACTGTGGTTCCCATATTCCTAGGACTTCATTGTCTGACGGAATCAAACCACATGTTTTAATTACCACAATGGACTTTTTCAAGTATACTAAGTGACATATAAATCCGAACACCCAGTTTAAATGGTTTTATTTTAATAAAATTTTGTATAAGTACTTAATGAAGCATAATAAGTCAATGATAAAAATTTCAAAATGACTTCACTGCTTTAAAGCCCTTTGACCTTTAATAATGTGTGGATGCACCCTGATGTGCTACGCATTCTCCAACGCGCCTGCATGCTTCTGATCAGGTGGTCAATGTCCTTCTGTGGTATCTCATTCCAGGCAACCACCAACTCCTCTCGAAGTGCTTCTAGAGTCTGAGAAGGACGTTGCAAATTGAACAATCTCCTACCCATCATATCCCACACGTGCTCAATTCGGGATAAGTCGGGAGATCTTGGTGGCCATGGTAACAATGTGACATCATTATGTTGAAAGAAGTCTATTGTGACTCTTGCAACATGTGGTCGGGCATTATCTTGTTGGAAAGGATCTGCCAGGGTGTCAAGATAGGGTAAAAGATGGGATTCTAGAACTTCGTGGATATAACGCTGCGCGTTCATGTTACCTCTGATGAAGATTAAAGGTGACCTGGAACCATAAGCTATAGCACCCCAAACCATAACTCCAACAGTGTGATGAACATGTCGTTCAACAAAAAACTGTGGATTCCTCCTTTCACTACGTCGCCTTCTAACCCTGGCACGACCATCGTGCATGCCTAAACAAAATCGAGACTCGTCACTAAAGACAATACTGTTCCATTCCTGATCCCAGAGTGACCGTTGTCTGCACCACTCAAGGCGATTACGTCGGTGTTCTCGAGTTAAAGGGAGGACCCAGTGTGGCCGGTATGAAAACAAGCCAAAACTTCTCATTCTTCGGTAAACACTTCGCATGCCAATAGGTCTTCCGTGTTCTGCAAACCATTTATTTGCAATGGCCCTGGTAGTGGAGAAACGGTCCCTTAAGGCCAATAATCTTAGGCGGCGATCTTCACGGTCTGTTGTTCTACGGTGGCGTCCAGTACCCCTTGCTCTTTGCGTACGGCATTCTCGAAGCCATGCCTGACAACACCTAACCACAGTGTCTACACTTCTTTGCACTCTAACTGCAATTGCCCGAAAAGAAAGTCCAGCTTCCCGAAGTCCCACTATACGGCCCCTAACAAACTCACTAAGTTGACGAAATCGTACAGGTCTCCGTACTCTAGGCATCGTAACCGATCGTAAAGGATGTCAAGAACCAAAATCCGCCAACGTTAATTCTTTACTGCGGCTGAAATATTCATTTTTAGAGCGTTAGTGAATTAAAAAAAAGCAGTATAAAAACCGGAATGTCCAACTGATAAGGCTGAAAATTTTTTCACTTGTTATTTACAGTAAGATAAATACATTCACCAACTTTTATTAAAATAAAACCATTTAAACTGGGTGTTCGGATTTATATGTCACTTAGTATATAATGACGGTATATTTTGTTATTTTTCTTTTTTCCTTTATAACTACATAGTGTGTTGCGAATGTAGATTGAATGGTCTGTCCAAGAATCGCGTAAGGTAGGCATTCCTGATCCCAAAGCACATCCACCCCACCCAAAGCATGATGCTATCTGCCGTTTTTTAATGTACCAGACATGTCACTCTCGCTCATCGTACCGAAAACGCCAGCCGTCACCCGAGAACGCGAAGAACTGAACCAGAACTATTTTCGCAACATTCTGGATGACAGTCGTGCAATCTTCGACTACTGATGCTGCATCTGCGTTGTTCATGGATCTGAAATGCGAAAAATAGTACTTCGGCATCTGAAGGGAACCATATAAGACAAAATAGTTTGGCCTTCAGATGTCGCCTTTCCGCATTTTATATCCAATAACAATACGAGAAAAAAAACTTTGAGGCAAAAAACGTACGGTCCATCTCTCAGTTTGGAGAACAACTTTCAGATATTCCTTCAAGTATACTCAACCCAATTGGGTCATAGTCCGCTGAGGTGCTAGAAAGACAATTGTTGTTTAATTTTCTATACATTGATTTCGATAACAATTATAAAAATAATTTCGAAAAATTGTAATACTCATATTGTTTTCAGGTATTGTTAGCAGACAAACTAGATGATGATATCAGAATATCATACATAGCAGTTGTTAGTCCATTGTTCGTATCTTTTACAACCTTAATTTTAATGTCTTTTAGTGCCAAAGGAGGAAATAAATGTAAGTACACTACGTTCCATTCATTTCTACTGAAAAAGTTACATAGATATATGATATTCACCCAGAACATTTTAAACGTTCAAATTATTTTAATAACGGTAGACAATAGGGGGCAAGCTGATGTCATATACAGGGTGTAGACGTTATTATAGTCATTAGGCATTTTTTTAGAGGAAAGCGACTTTAAAGTAAAATAAAATCTGACAACGCCGCAATGCCAGATGCAAATTACGACGGAACGCAGTGTAAATAAAGATGGAGTTTATTATTTTTGGCTCTTAGGTATTATTTCATTAGTTGATAATGTACTCGTAAAATGCAAACAATTAAAAAAAAACGGACTTACCACCAACTGCCTCAGCGCGTCACCTGGTGTGTGAAAGTTTAGAACGTATTAAAAAAATCCACTTATAAATAGAGAACACAATTTTGATACATACATTGTTTTTCTTTTTAAAACCCACACGGCACTATTTTTTGTATTTAAAGAAGGTGTTCAAAATGTCGTCTTTCACTTTCCACACAAGCTTCATTACGACGAACCCAGTTTCTTCTTACTCTACGTCCTCGAAGTTGTCCATTCATTATTCCAACCGGATTAATTTTTTTTGCGAAGTTGTGCTTCAGTTGTTATTGGACCAACCAACCCTTTAAGTTCTCCCCAATACCAGAAATCCATCGGATTGAGGTCAGGAGATCTTGCAGGCCATTTTCGAGGATCATGAGCATTTCGACCGATCCAGCGATTTGGATAATGTTCATTCAAATACTGAATGACGCCTCTAAAAATGTGTGGTGGTGCCCCGTCACGAAGAAACCACAAATTATGTCTCCGTTGTAATGGCATGTTGTCTAAGGTCTGTTCCAAAAGTTCTGGTAGGTTATTGGCTAGAAAGCGAAGGTATCCTTCTCCTGACAGCTTTGGGGGTAACTCGAAAGGGCCAATTACCTGATCGTCGAGAATACCCGCCCAAATATTTATTTTAAAACGTTGATGGAAATGACCCTCACGAGTGGTATGAGGGTTTTCTTGGGCTCACGTGTGAGTATTATGGAAATTTAATATTCCGTCTCGCGTAAAAGTACATTCGTCCGTCGCTAGAATGTTTTTAAAAAAATCCGGATTTTCAATGTTTTTTTGCAAAAACCACTGACAGAATGTTAGTCTGCGAGGATAGTATTCTGGTAACAAGTCCTGCACTCGTTGTACATGGTAGGGATAAAGCAAATTTTCCCGTAGGATTCTATGGACTATGGTACGCGATAGTCCTATGCGGCGGCCTAATTCCAGAGTGCTGATATCTGCATTAATTTCCACGATATTTAAAATTTGTCCCTCCTGCTCTACAGTAACATGTCTTTCACGAGTGCGAATATTATTGGGCTGAACACTTCCTGTATCTCGAAGTCTTTGGTACAGTTTCACAAATGCCCTTCTGTCTGGGTGTACCCGTTGGCGAAATCTGTCGCGATGAATTTGAGCTGTAAGATTTGAATTCTGATGAGCTTCACCGTAAACTAACAACATGTCGGCGAACTCTTGATTCGAGAACATTGTAAATAAACACGACGACGTACGCGAACAAAAACAAAACAACACGCCCGATGGTCTGCTCGACGAAACGATAAGTAATTTATCTATGCAAAACGATAACTAACAACTGATACCGTTTGCGATCGATTGCCGGTTCGATAAGAGTGATAAAAGACCGACGCGCTGTTGTCATGTGTGTTTTAAATATTTAATTTAATGAAACTTACTGACTACAAATTTTGGCTTAACTTAGAAAAACTCAATGCCATTTATTTTTTAATTATCCGATTTAAAAACGTTTTAGATTAGATTATAAAAATTAGTAAGATTGCGGTGATTGTGGTCGATATAAAGCAATTAAAGTTGTAAACTATAAAGCCATTTAGACAAAAATCTATTGACTTTTGGACCATGGGTCATATGAACTTTTTGACTTGTTTTGACCTCCCCTATTACCCATTTCAATACTGACTACCATAACGTTTACACCCTGTATACTGATTTTTCTAAAGTTTTTGGCAAAATTTACCATCAACTACTCTCATTTTTGAACTGTTGACAACGCTGCGTGAGAAGTGCAGCGTCAACCTCCTTGACGCCACTTTTTTCTTACAGGGTGGTTCGCGATGAGAAAAGACTTCTGTAGCTTTGTGCTAGGCGCATGTCCGATCCTCCAAGAGTACGCCAACATAGGGTACCACAGCGAAAGGCGTACGAACAGAGTGGAAATGGAACAAGTGCAAAAGAACGAAAAGATATTTAAACGAGCAGATCTATTAAAGCCCGTCCAGCCAATCGTTTCAATCGAAATGCCAGACTGATGAGATCTGGTGAAAATAAAATAAATTTCAAGGTACACTCGAAATGGATGAGCGTGAGCGCTACTTGGAGCCACGATGAAGTATTCGCTGCTAAACTGAATGTGGAGCATAAAAAATGATGAGTGTTCGAACAAATATTTACTGTATACAGGGTGTATCATAATTGTGTTGTTTGTCGTTTTGCATACGAAGTAGAAATGTTATAGGTTTGTAAATGGTGCTGATCTCTCAAGTGTCTGTTATTATGTTATAGAACAAAATAAAACTTTATTTAACGTTGACAGAACACTTTTAATAATTTTAGCATGGTATATATTGCAATTGTTGAAATATTACTAAGATCATTTAGTTCACAACATTTATCACGTATGTGCTCACCTACCCTGCGTTGTTTTAAACTGTGATTATATATTTTTTAAGTGGCTAGCTCATTATTAAATCTGTTGACATTTGGATTCCAATTTTAAACAAAATTTGTCGAATACTGATGAATTAATATCCAGCAAACAAAGTACATGGAGAAAAAAATACGATCATTATCGACTTTTTAATGTATTGTCGAAAATGTTATCTATCTAATACTTTATGCATGTTAGACGTATGTCACACGATGAATATTTCCTGTGATCCGGCAGTTTTTATTATGGAATGTGATATTTATGTAGCCAGGACGTCCGTAATTAATTATTAATGTGTAGGGCTACGTTGGTTAAAGAAAATTCCAAATTACAACATATATATATATATATACACCCGTTTTGAGTAGAAAAAAGCTGGTATACTAATAATAAAATTAAAATTCATTATACACAGCGCTGCAAATGCTGTATAACATATCATGGTTATTTGTATTGGTAACATTTATTCTTAGTGTAATTATGTATTTATAGTTTTTCTATACACAAGGGGTTGCTTTTGTGGATTGAAATTTATCCAGCATGGTGTATATTAATGTGAATAAATTATCATTCATTTACTGATGGAATGATCAGTAAATACTGATATCATAGTAAATACTGATTGTGTGACATTCTCCTAACAGTTTTCAATGTTCTGCTGCTTGTCAGAAAAACTTTGTTGATTTCATTGCTAGTTGTGACACACCTTGTATACTTAATCTAAAGTAGGTTGTTTACGACAGTTGTATACAAAATTTTAATAAAACAGTATTTTTCCTGTACCTTATCAACTGTATTTTTATTTTTATGCTTCATATTCTTTATTTTGAAACAATGTGATATTTTTGACGGTCATCCGATTATTTTAAGCTGTCCTTGTGTGATTATATTGTGTAAGTGTATGGTTTTAAAATGTATATTCTGCATCTTGTGCCAATTTAGTTAAGTGGTATTAATTACATTTTTAAAGTTCTCGTATTTTATGTTATGCATCCAACTTCCCAGTCGTTACTGTCAGATGTTCTAATAAAGATTTGTACTGATGTGCTAGTGCATGATCAATTTAAGCATTACATTATACATACACGTTCCGTTTCCGTTGAGATAATTAGGTAAAACGATGAAAAGGAAAGACGTGCCAATATTTCTAGGATAGAAAGTACAAGGTGCGTCATCTATTACTTTTTTCTATTTGAAAAATCAACACGCTTTTTACGAGGTGAAATCGAATTTTTTTTATTGATAAATGAAGGTTGGTTTATGCCATTTATGTATGAAAAATAACATCAGTCATGTGACCACCGCGGCTTCGTTTGCAGGCCAACATCCAAACATCAAAATTTTCAATGACTTTTCCCAGAATAATCGGGTCTATGGCCGCAATTTCAGTTCAAATATTGCGCTTTAGGTCTTGAATTGTCCGGGGACCATTCGCATACACTTTTCCTTTCAAAAATCCCCAAAGGAAATAGTCAAGAGGTGTTAAATCGCACGATCTCGTTGTCCAACTGACATCTGAATTTCGTGAAATTATGCGTTCTTGAAATTTCGTGTGCAATAAAGCGATTGTTTGGCGAGATGTGTGAGCCGTTGCTCCGTCTTGATGAAACCAAAGATCGTCGGCACCAATACGATCCAATTGTGGCCACAAATGTTAACATGCCGTGATAACGTTCCCCGTTGACGGTAATGGCCTTTTCTTCGGCATCTTCAAAGAAGAATGGTCCAACGATGCCACCAGCCCATTATCCGCACCAAACAGTCACTTTTTCTGGATCGAGAGGTTGTTCATGATATTGGTGTGGATTTTCAGCCCTCCAGAATCTGCATTTTTGCTTATTTACGTACCCATTGAGGTGAGAATGAGCCTCATCAGAAATGAGCACTTTGGCCGAAAATCCGTCTTCTCTTTCCAGCATCCAATTAACAAAAACACGCCGCTGTTGATGGTCTGCCGGCTTCAATTCTTGCGTTAGCTGGATTTTTTATGGATAGAGGTGTAAATCAATGTATAAATCCGGCGTAAAGTGGTCTCACTAATTCCCAAATGTTGCCAACGGTGCCTGGTCGAGGTGGTTGGATCTTCTCGCACACTTTCACTCATTGCGGCCACGTTTTCACGAGTACGAGCTGGACGAGCTGAACCAGTTTCCTCAAAACAATTATTTTTTGTTCCATAGACAGTAGCGGACAAAAGTTTGTAAGCATTCTTGGTAATTTCTAAACTGCGCTTATTTTTTCTTTATTATAAAGGACTATTTTTTTCTCATATAGTTTTTTACTGACTAGCATTAAAATAATGAAACCACCTTTCCACTTATAATTAATGTGGCTGTAATTTATTTATTGTGACCGTTGCTGTCATATTTGTACCAATGATCTACGAACTGATATGCAAAGCTAAGTTATAAATAATATATTTATTTTTCAACTTAACATGATAATATAATCTATAAAATCTCGAATAACTCAGAGCAACTGAGTGGCCACACTGTTGGTAAAATAAACAAAAGCACCAGTAAGATTGATAAACGTCGCAGTCAAAAACACTTTGATCCATTTTCCATCTGAAGCTGTCACCAGGCTGGCGGTAACAGGTCCGCACAGAATGCCTGGTATCGTCGCGATTGTATTGCTGATCGCAAACGTCGTTCCCGCATAATTTGGTGCTACATCTACATGATTGCTCAGATGACCTGCAGAGTTGCTCGCTGATAAACCCATGGAAATGCTCACTAATATCAGCGCTGGAAAGAAAAAATGACAGTCACAATAGTGAAATTGCATTCTTATGCCCAATTCCACCGCCTTGCTATGGTCGACTTTAAGCAAAGCTAATCCTTATTTTCCATATTTTTACACCTGATCCACTAACACTTGAGTAGAACTTCAATAGACGGATGGGATAAGTCGAAGAATTTCTCTGCCTAAGGTGGATTTTCTAATCTAAAATTATCTTTTGACAGCTTGACAGTCGGGTATGTCAAATTACTGTTATGGATATATATATATATATATATATATATATATATATATATATATAAATACTACCATCATTCTCACTGACGGAGTAAGTGAAAAGATTTCTAATCAACTGAGCATGGTTTGCCTTTTTAGCTCCTGATGATGACAGCATAGTCTGTCGAAAGCTTGAGTATCATACGTCAAAAGTGTACACTTAGCATAATTTATCGATATCCCACAGACAAGTCTTCCACTTAGCTGGTTATTTTCGACAATAACTATGAATCGTATATATATGTAAACGCGCAATACAAACCTAAAGCCAAGTTGTCGACGACACAGAAGATAGCAAGGAACAATGCCGGTCCGACCAAACCAATGCTAGTCATCAAGCGTCTGACGTTAAGCACCGACCAGTTCTTCTTCCCCAGCAATCCGTCTGCTGCATGGCCGCTTATTACGCCGAATATTGAGTTGACTATGTAAGGTACAGCAGTCAGACTAAGGCTATGAGCATTTGCGCCTAAAACAAAATGCCGTGTTCAGTTTTCAATGTTAAATGTTTGAAGTATCTGGCTGAACTTCAAGGACTGGTTCTTTGGGTGATTCCAAAGGGAGTTTATATAAAACATTTAAATAAATGATTTTCCGTAAAAATATCAACAATGCCACATTCGGTTTATTATGTTTGAACACCACCAAAAACTAAAAAACCGTTGATATTAGGATCATAGTGCAATAGAGATTTTTGGCGAAAATTTCAGCCAATTTGACCGAGAGCCATTTGCCATAAGGAATGTGCCCTATCCTTTGCTACATGCACTTATTTTCTGACTGTATGATTTTATTTTCATAGCCTTCTGTCCGCATCTTCTTCAACAGAATATCATATTCACGTTTCACGGTTTTATAAGTTCCTTTATAATTAACGTCAACCCTACTTAATGCCAAAATTATGTCTAATCTATTTTTACACTCCTTTACCCTGGAATCACTATATACCGTTTTAGGCTTGCGAGCAATTTTAAAACTAAGCATAAATGTATTCCATTATCTGTTGACATCATCCGGTTTTATTTTAATATCCTGAGCCCAGTATTCTTCCTTTAAAAGTTTACAAAAATCATTTTTGTTGCTGTTTTATATTGCAAAGTTACTTTTTGTGGAGTGTGATCAAAAATAAAGGCATAACTAACATTTACAAAAATAGTGTCTACGCATGATCCTGACGTTAGCGTAATCCTTGAATTTTCATATAAATGATTCCATCAGACAAAGAAGATTCTTATTTTTTATTATCCTTTAGAACATCAAAACTAAAGTCCTGTGCAATAACGATGTCTCTATTTTCATCTGTGCCTCAGGTTAATACTACTTCAATCATATTTGAAAATATGTCTACATTACACCTGTTGGCGGTCTGTCCACTGACAACCACAGATTTATCTTCGAAGTTACATTCGTACACACTCTTGGACTAAATACTGCAATTTTATGAACACACAGTGCACTTCCTCTATGTAAATTTTGAAGTAAATTCTGGGGTTTTAACTGCTCCATGGTTGCTGTGATGTAGATACTTTTGATCTCTACTGTTTGTGATTTATTAAACATCCTCTTGAAAGCAGATGTTACTTCTGTGTCTCATTCGTCAATCATATACAGCGCAGTTTATGTCTTGCTAAGTGGTTTTAATTCAGCTTCTTCATTTTCTGACAATTTGGGCACTTTAGAAGTAGTATTTTGCATTCTGCAGGTGCATGCTCTTCACATTTGTGACAGCGTTTTTTGGCTACAATATTTATCAACAAGGCCAAACACCGAACAGATAAAGCACATCGCTGAATGCTCTTGCAAATAAACAGACACTGTACTATGATGCTAGACTCTTTGATGTTAAAATATATGATCCAAATAATACTTACCCAAATACCTTGATAAGTAGGTTGGCAACCACTGCATGATAATGTATGAACTCCAATTCATAGCAAAGTGCGCAGTATAGATTGCCCATAAAGGTTTACTAAAGATGAAGTCTGCCCATCTGATATTGTGGCTGATGACCTTTGGCATATGCAAAGGAAGAGTTTCCTCACCAGGAAAGGTGTCACCAGGATAGAAACAGTACCATAGTATCACCCACATGAATCCTATAGAACCAAACCAGTAAAAGCATGCTTCCCAGTTGAGATGTGGGCAAACCACTGAAGCTACAGTCTGACCCACTGAACCTGAAGCTAATAAGTAAGAAAACGCCCTGGATCTCTCTTCTACTGGTATGCTATGAGCAAATAGGTGGAATATTGTGGGTAAGCCTGCAACAAAAAATAAATTCACTGCCAATGAAGCTGTATTCTCAAAATTACAAGTCCTGCAAAATAAAGCTATGAGAATAATATTGAATAAAAATAAGTACCAAAATAGAATCTAATCTAAAAAATCATCTATTGCCACAACATTTAGAACCCTACATAGAATTGAAAAGTCATTACCTCAATTATTATACAAGAGGAAATATAGATTTTCATTTACAAAATTGCAATAGTAATATAACTAGCAAATCAATATTTCAGAAAGGATTACTTGAATTTAATAAACTAAATAATTATATAAAGTCTACTTGTAATTTATAAATGTTTAAAAGTAAATTAAAGGAATATTTCATGGACAATGAAAATTCTTAGAGATTCAAATTTTTTTTTTCTAAATATCTATGTTATGTAATCGCTGTTAAAAGAATGTAATTGCAGCAATCATGCTAAATAAATCTTAAACAAACAACCACTTTGACATGTTATGTGCTTATTAATTAAATAACTCAAGTATAATGATATAATAATAAATCTCTAATAAAATTGCTAATTCGATATGAAATTCTAGTATGGGATGGTATGTACAGCAATTAAAACAATCGAATGTTATTCAAATATTTTGAAAATAATTTATAAATGGGAAAAAAGATATTGTGCATATATTAACTACTCAATGAAAAAAGTATTCAATGTTGGATGCTTATGCTTGTATATATATTCATGAAGTAACAAATGTTTATATTTAAACCATCAACACAAGACGAGATCTAAAAGTCATCAAGACCTTTTGATACCAATAATTCATGCTAATATCAATCACCAACAATAAAATATTGTGAAAAAAGTATCATGTACTGAACAAGGTCACTGTTGTGACTGAAACGGATACATTAAAGAAGATTTTTAAAAACACATACAGTGGCATAGGAAGTAAAATAATGGTGTCATCAGCAAAAGTAATAATTGTTCTGGAATGTTATAGGTTAAAAAGTCCTTCAGAGTCGGTCTGACGTATAGAGAAATTTTTGTTACCTACTGGGCAATTTTCACAGAAAAGTTCCTGTTGTCTAGGTAACATGAAATAAATTTTCACTGAAATTTTATGATATTCTACACCTCTTATGCCATTTTTTATACATATATTTGGAAGTAATTACACAAGTGCATCAAAATTACCAACAATTTTTAACGAGGAGAGGAGGGCACTTTTCACATAATATGAAAATAACCAAATGCGTTTTTTTACTGACAACATGCTTGAATGGAAAATTTAGTTTATTTTGATCATGTTTATAAAACAACAATGTTTGCAAACAAAGATACAAAATGTTGATGTATCAAAGTAATAATTAATTTTCTTACCTAATCCTTCAGCAAATCCTAATACTATCCTGCATATCACAAGGGCGGTTATGCTACCTGCTAAAAGAGGTGTAACAAATGTGGCAATACTCCACAAGAGTACACTGCTTATCAATACGTTTTTTGCTCCTAGTTTTGTTGCCCAAAAACTACCTAGTAGCTGACTTGTCAAGTACCCAAATGCAAAAGCTGATAAAATCCATCCTTGAGAATGCAGTGACCAGTTGAATATATCTGTCATAGGAACTATAGCTATGGGCATAATTACCCTATCTGCACTGTTTATGAAATTTGCGAAACTGCATAGTGCTATAATCCTCGATGTTCGTGTAAACCTTATTCGAGGCATTTTATTTAAGTAGCTAGTCAGCTCAATAGATTCAATTTGGCAATAACATTTTTTCACTGTTCGTATATTATGGAGGATTTAAATGAATCTTAGTTGTAGGATAATTCGTCGCTGATTCGCATTCTGGAATATGAAGACTGTGTGATGTGGATATGTGATTAAAAAATCAAACAATCACAAATGATTACAAATTTTAAACGTCAAAATTAAAACCCTGTCAAGTGGTTTAACCGTCAATCAAAGTGGATTGACAGATTTAGTGCTGCATAACCATAAGACGTAATGCGTGTACGTATCGCTTGCCGCCATGTTTTTCTATTTTCTGGAGAATAAATCTGATCTGAAACAGATCATTTGTACAGGAGAGAAGATATCGTCGCATCAACCATTATTATACAGGGCGGCGCATCGAAAACGAAACAGACGCATTTACTGGCAGCTCAGTTTTTTTTTTGAGGGGGACACACGTGTGGCAAAAAATCACGTTAGCACGTGCAGCCCCCTAAGCGGGGGTGACACCACCCCCAAAATCTTAAATGGAATGGGGGGTCGAGTGATACCTTATTTTAAAGGTCTTTCAATTCCCTTACGTTTCCAGATCGATGGATTGGTAGAAGAGGTGCCATTGAATGGCCCACAAGATCGCTAGATTTATCACCTTTGGATTTCTTTATGTGGGGTCATTTAAAAAGCAAAATCTATGCTACTCAGCCAACATCATTAGAAGACCTGCGACAAAGAATTGTGAATGAGTGCCTTCAAATTACTCCTCAAATATTGCAAAATGTGCGGCAACGTTTTGACCAAAATCTTTATTATTGCATGGAGAGTCATGGTGGCCATTTTCAACATTTACTTGCCTAACGGGATAGTTCATTCTTCATTTTTAAATTACTTTGCTGCCAAATGTATTGATCTCCACTAATGATGATGTATTAGTTTTATTTAAGCTTTAAATCAATAAATCTTCAAAACTACTGAACTTAAGTACATTAATTTTATATCATTACAAAGGGAATTGAAAGACCTTTAAAATAAGATATCACTCGACCCCCCTTTCCATTTAAGATTTTAGGGTTGGTGTCAACCCCGCCCAGGGGGCTGCACGTGTTAACGTGATTTTGTGCCAAACTTGTGTCCCCCTCGAAAACAAAATCGACGGGTCTGAGCGTTTTTCCAAAAAAAAACTGTGCTGCCAGTAAATGCGTCTGTTTCGTTTTCGATGCGCCACCCTGTATAATACATACCGAATGAGACGAGACAGTAGGACTTCGGCGGCAGGTGTAGGAGGTAAAATGGCGTATTGTGACGTGACTGTCACTTTACAAAATCAAAATGTATGGTTGCCAGTCATAGGATTATTTTGACAGTTTTGCCTTTTGACAAGTTTGTGTAATGGTTCATGGCGTTCATGGTGGATTTTAGTAATTGGTTTTTCCAATAATTTTCCAAAAATTGTTTACCTTTTGCCGAAAAAAACGGAAACATGAATTCCTTATTGAGCTACGGAAGTGACGATGATTTCGACGATTCACCAGATGAAAGGAGCGTGCCTGTAAGTACTGCTTCCTATTCACAAAAATTATTGATGACTGATAATCTCCGAAAGGAGCTATTAGGTCTGTTGTTGCAAGGGCTACCTTGATAATCTATATCTGCAGCGAATTGACGACTACTTCAATACCATACAGTATATGTATCATTAAATTGTTCCTTATCGGGGAACCGTCCATACCACTTACCATCCTACATGCTTAAGTTAATAACCTGGGTTATATCTGTAAAATAAACTAGTACCCATGTTCAGTAACAACCCTAGTGTAAAAAGATGTCAAAACTTATTTACTAAGATATTATGCCATAATAAAAATTACTGCAAAATCAGCATTCACAAAATATATACACAACAAATTGTTTTTTTACAATCAATGGAAGAAAGTACGTGTCATTGCTCTTACCTGGGTATGCAAAGCTAGCTTTTTCCAAGAACCAAGCATGTATCCTGCTCTAGATGGACAAAATAGCTAGTTAATGGAATCAGACTCACAATTTAGTTAGAATGCTAGGTGTCATAATGATTAAACAGAAATGACAATATAGCTATATTGTTTCATCTTTGATGATGATCATGATTGAACCACTAATATAGAATCTCTAGGGGATTTGATATAACATCCTTGGTCACAGGATCAGACCAAAATAATTTTTTTAAAATCTGTCAAAGTAACATGCCCATGACTTGGCCAGGTTTTTCTGCAAATATTTCTTTTTTGTACAATATTTTTATTATTTTGTCTGTCAAATGCAAATAAACATGGTGTCTTTCTTGGGCCCTGCTGTTATACTGTAAGCAATTTATTGTAGATACCAGACCCAGCTGCTCAAACTGCTTAATATGCAGTTCTGCCTTTTTATAGTGGCTAGGTTTTGCTCAGAGTAAATGACAGCTCTTCAAACAGCAGTATTCCATTTTAGATTTTTATGTTGTGCTATTGTCAATAATTATTCTGCGGTTCAGATTAAAATCCAATCCAATCAAGATTGATCTCACTAGTCTAACTACATGCATAACTGGAAATAATGCTGTATGTAGTGTATATTCATGAAAATGAAGGATCATTAAGTACTGTCTCAAGCAAAAAATAAAGTGCTTTCCAGTGCTATTGATGGAATAAAAAATATATAAAAATACTTTGTAGCAGCAAATTATGGTCCTTTTTTTCATTTTGCTAGGTTGTCGTTTTGGGTTGAGCTGTGTTAACGAAAATCTTAACTAAATAAAAACTAAAAGTGGCATCAACACATTGAGTAGTGAAACTCAGCAGTTGTGACCACCTGAGTGTATTCTTGTGACCTCCAGAGTGTGAAACTCAAGTCAAACATGAGTCAAAGTGATACAAACGTTTCATCCTTGGGCTTGGCACTTGATGCCAAGGCTGAGATTTTAAAAATGCCTTTCTAGCTCTAGATACTGTTGTAAGCTTTGGTTGAAACATGCATATCCACAACAAACTCATGTTCATAGCACTGATTGCAGAATATACACCAAATTTATTGTATTAAATATCTGTTCTTTCATGTCGATTTCAGAAAGAATATAAATGATATTGTGATCAGTATGCCCTCCATCACATTACTCAGTTCAAAAAATTACAGCAATTTTGAAAGCAGTGACTTTGAGCCCAAATAGCAGATATATTTTTTTTGCTGTTGATCTGCAGAAATTCATATTTTCCTATATCATAACTAAATTGATAAGGATGATGCGATTTGGCAATACCAAAGTGTTCCATTGTCAGTACTGGTCAATCAGTCCTTGGAAAATGTTAACTCTGTGTGTAAGACTGTAATCAATAACACATATTTTTCTGTTTGCATGTAGAAAAATAATTATGGTACATATTTATTATAATGATAGTCTTTATGAATATTTTTTAAGGTTGAATCATCAAGGAACATTCGCAAGCAGGATGATACAAACTATGATGAGGTGCAAATGAGCCTTAGTGAGGTAATGATAGAGCTGATTTGTTATTGTAGTGTTTATTATTCATTGATTCATCCTTGTGGTTAAGGTCTATATGAAAGACATATTTTCTGTAAGTTATTTTAAAATCAAAATCGTCATAATCTCTTTCATTAGGTTTGCAGACTTAATATATCAGTTAGGTCGCTACACCTCCTACAACTTTATAATGTTTTTTTTTAATAAGTATTATATCTTTCACAATACGATAGGAGTATTTCAAACATGTTTAAATGGCTAATCTTCTATAACTTACAGAGTGATTCCTAATTGAATGTTATTTTAAAAGTGCAATTTTTAGGAGCATTTTAGGCAGAAAACTTCATATGAATTTATGTCATAAACAACTTCACTTTTGAGTTTAGGGTAATAAAGTCTTCAATACACAGTAAAATTCATTTACTTTTTTGGTCTTGACTTTTTGTGTGTACAAGAGATAGAGAAGTGTGCAGAAGTGTTGCAACATTGCCATCATACAGCCGCGCCCTTCCCTTCTATCATTGGGTGCATTCTTTCTAATATACTTGTTGCATTGATGTTGCAGTAACATGCCACTGACCTTTCTTGAAATGAAAAAAAATATCATTCAAATGTAGTTTTCTTTTTAAAATGAACCAATAAATCCCCTTAAATATTGACATTCAATTATGAAACATCATGTATAGCTAAGCTCTCTAACAAAGTTCAATAACTCATAGGCATATATTTCCACAAGTTTTGGTTGTTTCAACCTTTTTTTTTAATATGTGTATGTCTTGTAGATCCACTTATCAACTGCAACTGATAGGCAAACTTCTCTGTACTCCTATATAATTTGAAAGATATTAGTAATGTCTGGGTTTAGTTTTTGTATTGTTGTAAAACTCATTATAAAAGCATCTTAGTATGTAATTATATTCAATTTTTTATATATAGTTGATTCAAAAATGAAATTCAAAAGCCAAGCCCAGATGAATTATTTATAAAATTCTCAAAACATACACGTGGTCATTCCACCTAAGAACTATACATCAAAATACCATTTCAAAACGTTTGATATTAACTCACTCTGTTAATATATTATAAAGACCTAGTAACCGAGAGACCAGATCACGAAAATGCCAATAGTGAACATCCATTAGCATCGATTCTTTGGTGAGTATCAGAACAGAGAAGGTGACAGTTATTAGATTTTAAACAGGTAAACAATAATTAGGCAGGTACTAGTGTTACTACCTTAAATATCCAGATGATTGAGTTTCTTTGTTGGTACTTTCCAAATTCGGGTTTTAAATAATTTTTTATAACTTCAGTTTGCAACATTGATTGAAAGAAAGCACTGTATTGAGTGTGTTTTAGCTCAGCTCTTGTGTGGATTCAAATATCTTGAGTTTGTTATTAGTCTTTTTAGAAGACATCCAACTGATGAGCTAAAACATTCGCCACATAATGTTCTTCCTTAATAGTTTAAAGCAACAGAATATAACTTTAGAATCATATTAAGGTATCATTCCGTGCGGTGAACATAACGGACCGAGTCGCGACAATAGTAATATCGCACTCACACCGAAAATCTGTTACCGTCACCGTGAAATAATCAAATTCAAATATAAAACTATGCGAATCATCAAGAGGGCGTATGCGTTGACTCTCTTATTGCTTTATAATAGTCCTTTCACAGTGGCTGTGACAGATTTTTCTATATTATGTCTCCGATCATGGCCTCCATTTTTGTTCTGCCTAAATACTTTTTGAAACACTACATGATTAGCGCTGAGAGATGAAATGATTACATTTTTGCATCATAAATGATTAGTTCCTGCTTAAATCTTAGTTAGTTAAAACCAAATTTATTCTGAATGTTTGGATAGGGCACTAGAGGTCCACTTTAATTTTAGCTATTATATACGACGGTGGAATCACCTAGTCTAAATGTACTATGTTGTACCATGAATATGTCTTTGAATGCTGTGGTCCATTTTACGCGTCTTATTTAATTATCCATACATTATATGGGATGTGGTAGTTAGGAGAAGTGTCAATTTGTGTTAGAATTTTTTGTACCAACAACATACATATGAGATAAAGATGTGGCTTTACTGAATCAGCTTGTTTGAGGCACATTCGCTAGAAATGGAAACGGCCTGCAAATGTTATGCTTCAAGCACTAAACATGTTGCAGACTTTTTCCATTTCTGTCATATGTGCCCTTGACAGAATGTTGGAGATATCGAAATAAATGTGAGCACAGTTGCTTCACTCTTGTTTAACTTGAAAAGTACCATGAAAAATAATATCGTTCTCCAGCCATTTAAAAGCTATAGTGGTAGCACATTGTTCAGTTTTTGCATATAGGGTGTCCAAGATAAGGATCTTATGGGGTCTCAATATGTTATTAAAATCATAAAATAGTTAATTTTTACTCGAAAACAAATTTATTGATGGAATCAGGTTCACAAGGAAATAGCATTTGAGACAGTCAAGTGTGGAAAATCGCATCACGGAGGCGGAGAGTACTACCCATCCCAAAAACGTCCGTCCTCTCTGCCGCACCCTGTATGATTACACCAGAAATTTTACGTGATGATTTGAATTTTTACAAGTTTCTCAACGGCAAGTAAATACGCCCCAAAGGACGCAACTTTTTCCTAATTCAAGATGAATATCCAACAGGTCTTGAGATTCCCATGCATAGGATGCTTATCTTGGACTCCCTGTATAAATAGCACTACGTCATGTTTTAAAAATTCTAATTTTTCAATCACACAGGGGTGGTGGAACCTAATGACTCATTGTTACTAGAATCTAAGAAATTAATTCTAATTCCCTGATTGCCATATCTATTGAAAGCGTCGAAATCAGTCATTCAAACAACATAGTTTTCCATTTATAGTAATCAATTTCTAAAATCCTATCTCCATTAGATGACCGGTAAAATGCTGCGATAGGTAAGAGACACTTTTATCCCCAGGACTCCAACGATGAGTCGAAATCCTCTCCGGCCCAAAGAGGAAGGTACAGTCCGAAAAATAAAGAGGATAAGCGGAGAAAAGATCGACCAGATCGAGATAGGTATATGGGAAAAGAAAAAGATGAAGATAGGAATGGCAGGAGTTCCAAGGATGACGATAGGGAGAGAGGCAGGAATAGACTGAGTGACAGCAGGGGAAGGGACAGAGACAGGCATAGGGATGAAGATAGAGGTAGATGGGACGAGAGAAGAGGCAGGTCCAGGGATAGGTCGAGAGAGAGGGAAAGGTTTGTAGCACTTATAACCAAATAATACAGTTACCAGTAGAAGGGCCACTCGCGATTCAACCTTTGATCCTCGAACTTCTAAATATGCCGACATTTTTTCAACTTTCGAATTGTTTTTCCGATCGTATCGGATGCCCGCCATCTGCTACCTGGCTACAGTTCAGGGCGCCTTTTTTATTTGTTTATGTCCTGATTTATAGTCCGGGAAATATTGGTACTTTGTTGAAATTGTTAATCGGTGTTCCCAATTATTGTTACCTCTCACTCACAGGTACAGTGTAAGAGATAAATACAGCAGAGACAAACCGTTCGATAGAGATAGGAGAGACAGGGATAGAAGACGCAGTAAATCACCTCGCGATGGCGAGAGACCGAAAAGTAGGAGCAGGTCACCAAGGAGGGACAGATCCCGCTCGAACTCGAGGGAGAGAAGGCGATTTCCATATAAGAAATTCGAACGAGGTGCGAATAGGGAGAAGTTTGAAAGAATGGGATTCGAACCCAAGAAAACTGACAGCAGCTATGCTGCGATGGCGTCTGGTGATGAACAGAAAGACAGATTTTTCGTACCTGGAATTACGGGACGCTTTAGAGAACAGATAGAGAAAAGGAAATTATTGTGGCAAAAGAAAGAGGAGGAAACGCCTAAGCAAGGGCCTAGCAAAGCGCCGGTTGCCACCAAAGTATGGGAGGCTACTACTTTTGCTCAAGACACTGATGGTAAGTCATTTGTTTAGCCCACGTGTGCAAATTCGCATTTATAATTCCTGGAATTGATGTAACATCTTAAACTTATCCTGTGGTTTTCATGCTGATAATCCATCCTCCATGTTAGTCTGGCCGCTAAATGACACCATACAGCGTAACACAAAGGTCCCGGAACTCCTATTTTTTTGGGTAAATTATTTTTGGAGAAGATCCAGGTCAAGTCGTCAATAACTTTCAGGGAATTCAACGGCGGCCTTGAATTTGACGAACTTCACCGTCAAGGTTAATGCATGGTCAACTTTATTTTTTCAAACAGAAACCCCTGTTTTTGATACCGGAAATCGAAGATACAAAAAATGTTAGGTCCAAAGTCAGGATGACTACTATAGGTCAAATGAAGGTTAAATGTGTGCTGCTAAGAAAACCTTTGAAAATCCCACAGGATCAGTGATGAAAATAACTATCAAAACCAGGTCTTCGGTAAATTTTAACGAGGAATTAAACGCTTAGCCTGCATTTGACCTTGACCTTCAAGACAACTTTACTTTTTTATGACAATCCCTATTTTTGATGCCGGCAATCGAAAGACGCCAAATTTTACGTTCAAATAATTGAAGACCCAGGTCATGGTGACCTCTAAAGGTCAAAATGTGTGGTGCTAGGAAAACCACTATGAATCTTACAGGATTAGTGATGAAAATAACTGTCAATGTCAGTTCTTCAGTAAATTTTGACGAGTGATGTTGGATTTGACCTTGAACCCCACCTTCAAGCTCATTTTAGAGTCATTTTTTCAAATAGAAACCCGCAGGGGCCGTATCGGTTGAACATCGTTTGTAACGAGCACCATAAAACAACTGGTAAGGTCAGGTCTTTAGTAACTTTTCACAAGTAGCGGTGATCTTGGATTTGAACCTGACCCTCACCTTTCAGATCATGTCAGGATCAACTGTTTTTCCAAATATAAACGCCTATTTGATGCCAACAATCCAGAGATTCGGAAATTTAATCTTCAAATGTGTATCAGTGTGACCACTAGAGGTCACATAAAGGCCAAATGTGTGTGTTAGGAAATCTCACACGAATAGTGACGAAAATAACTGGCAAGGTCAGATCTTCCGGTAAGTTTTAGCGAGGGAACTACGGTGCTTGGTACAAATGATTTTTAACCAATACTGCGGGATTCTATTTAAATAAATGCCCTTGAAGGCGAAGTTCAAGGTCAAATCCAAGATCACTCGTCAAAATTTATTACAGACCTGACCCTAATAGTTATTTTCATCACTAATCTTGAGAGATTTATAGAGGTTGTCCTAGCAGCGCACATTTGATCTTCACTTGTCCTTTAGTAGTCATGACCTTGGACTTTAAAATAGGGGTTTCTATTTCCAAAAATTAAGTTTACCTTGAGAATGTCAAGCTCAAATTCAATTTCACCGTTGAATTCTTTGCTGGAAGTTACTGAAGACCTGACCGTGATCTTTCCCAAAAATACCTTGCCCGAGAAAATACAGAGCCGTTTCGGGACTTTTGTGTCCCGCTGTATATGTATATGTTTGAAATACTGTTCACTCATGACGACGCTTCGGCCACAATGGTGGCATTTTTCAAGTACAATTGGAAACTCTGACATACAGGGTTTGGCCGGAAAGTAATAGGACTGAGTCGATTTAAAAAAAAATTATTGAGCCAATCGTTACAATTCTTTAAAAACTTTCAAAATATGCTCCTTCTGCGTCGATGCAGCGCTGCCAGCGCGATTTCCAAGCATTGAAGGCGTCACGGAAGGCATTCTCCAGAATTGCCTTGAGAGCCGCGGTGCATGCTGCTTGGATCCCCTCTGTCGTCTCAAAATGCTTGCCTTTCATCGGCCTTTTCAGGCGAGGAAACAAAAAAAAGTCCGGGGGGGGGGCACATCTGGGCTGTAGGACGGCTGCGGAAACGTTGGGATGCCGGCCTTGGTCAGGTAGCTGTTTCACAAGAAAGGCGGTGTGAGCCGGGGCGTTGTCGTGGTGCAACTTCCAGTCGGCTACGATGTCTTGACGGACCCGACCTACCCTTCGTTTGAGTCTCCTGAGCACTTCCATGTAAAACTTGGCGTTGACGGTTTGTCCAGGAGGAACAAATTCATGGTGGACGATGCCTTTGATGTCAAAAAAGACAATGAGCTTCGTTTTCACTTTGGATTTGCTCATTCTTCCCTTTTTTGGGCGAGGAGACGCCGTCGTGTGCCACTCGGAAGATTGCCTCTTTGTCTCGGGATCATACTCAAAGATCCACGACTCGTCACTTGTGATTACGTTATTCAAAAATTGGGGGTCACTTTCACGCATGTTCAAATTTTCTTGGCACACTTCCACTCGCCGCAATTTCTGGTCGTCAGTGAGCACTTTTGGGACCATCTTCGCGCACACCTTGCGCATGTTCAAACGCTGTGTCACAATATCATGAACCACAGATTTTGGTAAATTTAACATCTGGGCAATTAAACGAATACTTAGTCGACGGTCTGAGTTCAAAACTTTGCGCACACGAGTCACATTATCGGTCTTTGTCGAAGTCGAAGGTCTTCCAGTACGGTCTTCATCAGCGACCTCTTTCCGGCCCTCCAAAAGGGCCTGGTGCTACCGAAACACACCACTTCTTGCTGAAGCAACACCTGGGTAAGCCTGCTTGATCATATCAAACGTCTCTGTCGCAGATTTACCGAGTTTCACACAGAATTTAATCGCGTACCTCTGCTCTAACGAACGCTGCATTTTCGGCTTGCACCACTCACAGCAACACGTCGCGCGAAAATGCCTGTCCTGACTCTCCAAGTGCTCGGAGACAACTGACCAGCCGCTCATTCGTTAGCTAGGAACGCCCTCTACCGAAGTCGATGCGCGCACGCTTCGAAGTACAGTCATGGCGGAAGAAAATGAGTCCTATTACTTTCCGGACAATCCATTTATTTTGTGTATCTGACTTCCACGGTCCTCATTGACGCCGCCAGGCAGCTTGTGCGCCGTGGTTCGCGTAAAAGTAGATATCGGCAATTAAGCTCTGGCGAGTAGGAGACTTGCCCAACAGATGGCGCTATTTGTCACAATACAGTAGTCTTAACGGTCCTGTAACATTGAGATAGCGCGAAGCCATTGTAACACCCTGTATAGCGCGTTAGGTCACAGTGTTTGATATGACAGTGCCGTGTGCATTAGTTTCAGATATTATTGGTCTATTATTTCAAAGTGCTTAAAAGTAAATTTTATTTCAGGAAAAGTCGCTAACAAATTCAAACGACTTATGGGGATGAAGGATGTAGGCGAAGGCAGTAAGCCCGCCACTGATGTATTGAAGAAGCAAGAAGAAATGTTCAGTTCTATGGAACAGCAGTATGAAGTTGCCAGGACAGCGACCCATACGATGAGGGGCGTAGGCTTAGGATTTGGAAGTTACCAGAGATAATTTAAGACGTACTATTAATGAACTTATGAATGTCTTTTTGTATTGTCGCTTTGAAATAATATTTCTTTTATCTTTCACCTGACTTGTATATAATGGCAATAGGTGATCGAGTTGAATTTTACTATGGTGGCTAATAAAGCATTAAGTAGTATTATTGTTTAAATTTTGGGTTTTGTTTGCAGTCAAACGCGTATCTAAATTAAATCATTGATCAGACCACAGTGATTGCAAGAAATGCTATCCTTGCTATAGATATACGAGTTAAATTAATTCATAGATATAAAAAAATGGCATCAAGTAAGTTGACTGTACTTCCATGCTACGCTGTCATCAGTTTGTAAAAACTACGTTCTCAGAAGGCGTAAACCAGAGGCGATCGTGGTCTGTTCACATGGTTCGCGATTCAGTTAACTGCTTGAAAGTTGTGGAGTTTTGGGTTCAGATTTTAGTGAGATGTTAGCAATAAGGTTGAGAAAGTAACGTGAACAGATGAAAAATCGGAAGAAAAAGCTTGATTGGGTCAGAAATTGGATACGTTCAAGGAGAAACAAGGGACCGCAATTTGTCAGGTGGTGCACTGAGGAACAAGTACCAAATTTGATTTTGTTGGACGTTGCTGTGCAAATGGATGAATGAAGGGGTTCATGGAATTGAACCAAATGACTTTTGGAACATGTCAGCTTCTGACCTTTCAGTCTCAGCTATCTTCTCAAACTCACAGTATGCACTTCTCAAATTCTTAAGTTTCGCGATTACTTCTTTAGGTCCAAATCCAGAGAATCCCATAGCTTCGCTGATTCTTACAGCTGCTGCCAGTCTCAAATCTCTGTCCTGGTACTGGCACGTCCAGAAAGTAAGTGTACTCAATTTATGTAGGGTTCAAAAAAAATTTACTAAAACCATAATATACTTGGTTACACTTGTACATATGTAAGTTATTTTTCGACATAGTCACCATCCCTCTCGATGCAAGTGGTGAGCCGCGGGATCAATTTTTTGATGCCGGCCTCGAAGAAGTCTCCCGCCAGCTCTTTCGCCCACTTCTCCACCTCCCCCTTCACCTCCTCGTCCGTTGAAAACTTGTTTCCACCCATGTGCCCCTTTAGGGAAGTGAAGAGATGGAAATCTGAAGGAGCCAGGTCAGGGGAATACGGGGGGTGATTCAGAACGTCCCATCCAAAAGAGTCCAGGAGTTGCTTCGTGGCGTTGGCCGTGTGGGGTCTGGCATTGTCGTGCAACAGGCAGACTCCCTTCGTCAGCATGCCCCTCCTTTTATTCTGAATCGCCCTTTTCAATTTTTTTTAGCGTCTCACCGGAGCTTTTCCCTTCACAACGAGGTAGCGAATGACGGCGCGAATTTCGCACTTGGCGGGAGATACGATCGACATTTTTCGCGAGAGATGTTACTGCGTCAAGAGTTTTCAACACACTAACCTCAGATTGGTCTCTTTTTGAAGGGGAGGGGTCAGGCTACGCGGCAGTGTTGCCAACATGTCGAAAAAGTATTCTCTACAGCTGTGAGAATACCAGGTACACTTACTTTCTGGACGTGCCTCGTAGTTTCATTCTATGCACAACAATACAAATTTCAGATGCAAAAAAGAGTTGTCACACTTTAGCTCACTTAATTTTATAAGCGTCCTCTGCGGCTCCAAGAGGTACCTAATTTGACCGCGTTTGAAAACTTCACCGTATTATCACAAGCAAAATTTCAGATGTCTTTCATTATTGTTGGTTAATAATTTACACTTTTAAGATATTTATATTCAAAAATTATCTGCTACGATCCGACATGTTTCTGAAATTTTAATATATAAAAAAAATTATAAACTATCATACGTTACCACTGGTTTCCTGTTCGCAAGCTTATGTCTATGGCGTGCGAAAAACTGTTTAATCGCAACAAAAGTACACATAATGTGAAAAAGCGTATATTACTAAAAATTAAGAAAAAAAATAATACGTTGGTGGCATACCAAATCTGATATAAACAATTACAGTAAGTACCCTTGATAACTATACAAGAAACAATGCTGAATCTTTAAATAATGCATTAGGGACTAATAATAATAATGTTTATTGTCACAAAATACAAGTAAATATCAAATATTGTGCACAATAAACATAAAGCACCCAAAAAAAGTTTGCACTTGTGTTTGGGTTTGTACAAAATAAAAACTAATAGTACAGTCAGTGTATGAAAAAAAAAAGAAAAAACCCGTTAATACTGTATAATTTGGTGAATTATTATGGTAATGTTAGGAAAAATATCCAGACAATTAGAACTGAAGTAAAAGTATGGATGTTAGTGTAAGTAAAATATTATTGATTTTGATAATGATTTTTCAGATCTACAATTTCGTGGATGGAGTACCTTGGTTGTTGTAAAATCCATTTTTTTAGTTGTTTTTTAAATGATTTATTTGATTTAATTACTTTTAATGACTCCGGTATGAAGTTATAGAATTTTGGTCCCAAGAAAAACAGAGATCGTTGTGTAATGGTTTTTGATGTTTGTGGAATAATAATAACGAGCATTTTGACTAATTTTCAAGACTGTTAGTTCGCTACAATTGGTTGATATTTCTCTGCTGTTTTAGGTGACCTTTTTATTTGACAAAGGCATGCAGCCATTTAGCACACGCTACGTACTAACTAGTCTAAGACAGTTTGAAACATAATTGTGTCTTCAGTTTGCGTGCTGACTTTATAAACATTTCAGTATGGAATACTTTTTTTATAAACTTTAGGGCTCATCTGTGACCATGTCATTATTTCAGCTCTAAATATGTATACACACAAGAAATCTTTCTTTGTAACAAAAGGTGATGACACATCCGCTTTGCTTTAAAATGTGTACAATAAAGTATGTTTTACGAATATCGTAGCGAATCTGTTCAGTTACTCACATACATGAAATGTTTGAATTTGCTTAGAAGAAAAAAACGCAACCTTTCGTTTTTAGCAAAAAATAAATAACAATCATCTTTCGGAATGATTTGCGATTCACGTCGACAAGGTAAATTCGTATATTTTGCTATAAAATGCCGTTTGAACAATCCCTGTATATTGTTCAGTAAACTAGTAGTGATTGCCGGAAGACAGGTGTTTTGGGATAAACAATTAGAAATTCTCAAAAACTATTCGACCAATTTTGTTTGGTTATTTAGATGTATGAAGCTTACGGATTCCAAGAATTTCAAGTAGCTGCGTGAAATTATCGTCGCTTTAGCAAGTGTCAAAACCTGCATTTTGCCTCGATTTTCGGTCATAACTTTTTTACTATTAGTGGTATATTTTTACGTGTGGTCTCATAAATACCTAAAAATCTTATTTGAAGAGGTTTTTCGTCCAGGCCAACACTGTCGATCGAATCCAAAAAACGGGTTTTCTCATTCTTTGTCAAATAAAAAGTTTTCCCATTTTATCCATCCATGTTTTAAATACCCCTTGAACAACTTGCAGCAATTTACGATTATTTCGCAAACCAGGGGTATTTTCGTCTAATATGATTATACTAACAGTAATTTACTTCAGTACTTACAAACTGTCTTAGTCTCCACAGTTTTGGCGGCAAACAGTGCAATGTAAACATATATATTCTGATCTATTCCAATTCGCTGACCCTACGCTATTGATCGTGGGTATTCAATTTTCATTTATGCTCATCAGACTCGAAAAACTCCCATGCTCTTATTGGCCAGGAGCGGTAAATACCCAAGCATGTAGCCACAAGCGAACAAACGCGGCGATCGAGTGTATTGTTGTTTTGGCGCGGCGAGAATGAAGTTTGAACAGGGTTTACGATCTTGAATCCTCATCTCGACACGATAACAAAAGCTGCATTAGACACTTGCCATTTTGTATGATCTCCTGCCAGGTTTCCAGTTGCATCTTTCCCTTTAGAATGGTGCGATACTAGTCAACTCCAGCAGCCATTGTACATGTCTTTCTCGTCAAGGAAAAATTCCAGAGTTTCACTTAGAACTTTATTCAAGAATCTTGTTCGGGAAAAATTATAAATTAATTTATTTACATGCTCTCCTCGTTTATGTACAGATACCTACTTAAAATACTTCTACTGAAACAATTTCGAATCATTTTATACTACTGACTGCAGCCAAGCAAGTAACAGTATTTTCAGAACAGCAAAATATTTGAAGCATCACTCAAAAGAGGTTAATCCTCATAAGTCAAGCAGGGTTTATGTTAAGAACCCTGAACCAGTTAGCTTCAAGGCTGCATGTAGTGATAAAATGTTGGATCCTGTTTTGTTTATGGATCTGGTCGATACGAAATATTTAAACCGTATCTGGGGGCGTTGCTGTGCCACCTTCTGGCTTGCTTTCTAGAGAAAATGGAGGGATTCTGCAATCAAAAGTGTAACCATCTTCCCGTTCCATTCTAAAGGTGCCCCTGTAAAAGAAGTTGATAAAAACGTATGGAATAATAGTGCAATTTCTGGGAGTTTTGAAGACAGAAAAATCCATAATTTATAATTTGACATGGCTATATGGAATCTAATGAACTTTGGAATCGTCCTATCTGTCATTGTGCGTTACAGCAGTCCGTAGGAGGTCTCTTTCTTTTTTGTAGGTGAGTCGGTTGGGTCGAATTTATGATTGTCGAGATACCAAAGTCTGGGAGACAGATGAAAAATATGAGAGCAAAGAGGAGGAAGTATGGTAGAAGCGTATTTTTAATGCCTTACCACATGTGGCCACTTGGAGCCTGTAAGCTGACATGACTGCTATACTGAAAAGCTGGTAACGTTCTGGTTAAAGCAGGTTCTTGTCCTACAACTCCTCTACCTCTGACAGTTTCCAGGGTGCCAGAAAGGGAAAATATTCTCCAATGCCTTTCTCTGAGTTGTACACTTAATGATCCGAGGTTTTCAAGTCTAATGCAGTAACGCCACTAAAAATAAAGCGCCAAGATATTTTACATATTTTGTACTATATCGTCGTTATTTTGACGGAAACTCCTATAAGCAGTTTTTACAGAATGACAAAAACTTTTGAATAAAAAAATTTACAGAATTACTAGAGTTTTCTATTATGAAACTCACGGAGCTCATATTTGACTATACAGATAAACAGAAAGCTCTGATGTGGAAAAATTGTTACTTAGGAGGTTTCATCATAACAACGACGATATACAGCTTTTATTAGGACTAATCTAAGATATGCTTCACTGGAACAGTCACCAATTTATCAAAATGCAATTTCAGATATTGAATCTGTCCAGCATAAGAGCCTGAAACACATCCATTTCAAAGTTTATGGCATATATCTAGACAGATGCTTCCCACAAAATATGCTACTTCAAGTCATGAATTCTGATACATTCGTTTACTGTCGTCAATTAAATAACATTACAGTGCTTCATAGTCTCGTTAATAATAAACTTAATTGCTTGGAATTATTATATAAAATCAATTTTGTGGTGCCAAAGAGATCAACTCGTTCTAATGCTACGTTTTACAGCGCTAGAGTGGTGTAACCAATATATCAGACATATCTAATGTTAAAAGGTTGTGTGATGTGTTTGACATCTATTGTCAAGGATGCGGTATCAATAATAATACGATTCAGCAGTTTTAAGCAAACATATGCAGTACTCAACCAGCAATGTTTATCTTTGCAAATGGAGCCGTAATTTTTAGATAAATATTTTTTCATTCATATTCATGTTTTTATTTCCTGTAATAATGTTTTTTATTAATGTTTTAAATCCATTTTGTAAAATGAACTTTTATACACAAGAGCATAGAGCTTGATGTTTATTATTGGACATTCCTGTGATTGGGTGCAACCCTGTTGGAATAAAGATTATTATTAAAAATAAAACAAACTTATAGCTACTTTTATGGGAAGCCAAAAACAGGCTACAAATTATGACACTTACCCAATAAACAGAGTTAGCATGTGACTCTCTACATCCCATATAAAATGGAATGACAGTAACTCGAATATTTTCTGTAGTTTCTTTATGCACATCTGATAGCTCCAGCCAAGGATGATTTTTGTTTTGCCAGGCTTTCAGAGTTTCTTGGGCAACAAATGGGGGATCTCCTTTAGGATTTGGCATTAAAAACTTATCAAATAATTCATGATTGAGTGGTGTCTTTTCTGCACTGACATATGGTATTATGTCTTCGTGGGCAACATAATCTAAACCTGGGATGGCATAAAGGCTTCTGGAGGATTCTTGGTTACCCAGGAAGGTTACAGCTTCTGATTGAGCTCTCTGGAAAAAATATTTCAATATACTGTGACAATTATTAATCAGAGAAAGTATTCAGCTGTAAGTGTGTATGCAGCATGGAAATTAAGTTATGGAAAGTGATAACTAGTATGGCATTGGTAGTACAGGACCTTTCTTTTAGTTTTAATCCAAAATTGATTAGCGATACACGTAATCGAGCTTCCCTCCCGACCAGAATCTCAACCATTTGCTAGAACCGATTGTGCGTAAGTGGTGCCTAAACATTCGTACATGGTGTTGCGAGCTGTACAACAACAAAGAAATCATTTGCAAATTATTACATGAGAACAATGATGGTGCTTGAAATCCTCATATTCCTCGTTCATTATGTAAAAGTTTTTGGCGTTGAAAAGCAGTCCATCATTGCGTCACCTATCCTACAGCCCCAATATTGCCCCCTGTCACTGTTTTAGTTGGAAATGATAGAATCTCACATCATGTGAATTAATTAAGGGTGTTTCCAATCGTGACAGATGAGAGCAAGATTGGTTGGTGAAATCACTTCTTGATTCTCAAGTTGGGGCTATTGATTCACCATTTCATTTTTTTTGTATGACAAACTAAATGTGTTATGAAAATACATAGACGCTCAAATTGCCTTGTCGCCTTGAAAATTCGAGGTTTTCTAGCCATTTTATACTACAATGAGTAGGTCGGCTCTTGTTTGTGACTTCGCAATAATTTTCTGTGCATGTGTATCTACTTTTGTGGTTGCATATGTGCATTCATTTCGAGCCTGATGAAGCCAACAAGCAAAACTACGTATAGCTCAGATTACCTATCCTATTTTCTGCTTGAATCCACTTTCCTTCTTTTTGCAGATTTTGCCCATTATTTAACAATTTTTTTTTAATATATCTTTCTCCGCATGATCATTTTCTCTTTATATATACATACATATAATATATGTAAAGCTTCCGCCTTTTGTTCGGTACTTCAAAATGATTTTAAATTAACTTACAGTCATATGTGAGATTGTTGCTAAATTTTATTAACACATACGACTGTAAGTTAATTTAAAATCATTTTGCACAATAGTTGCTATTTCTTCTCAACGTTATTGCAGCTCCTGATGAAGATGGCAAAGTCCATTGAAAGCTAGAGATTAATAAAGTATAAAGAGTCCTTTTTGCTTGAATTTTGTCGAAGTACACAACAAAAAGCGGAAGCTTTATTTTTCACCTAACTGGTCTAAACGACAATGACCCCATCTCAAGTATATATATATATACTTGCTTTATAGCAAATAGAGAAACAGCTGTGACAAATTCTCATAGATTATGTTACAGTGTCTCATTTTATCTTAAATAATTTTTTGGAAGTGAAAATATAGCATTAGGTTGGCTATCTCCAGGTAGAAAGTGTTAATCAGTGGTTTAAGTGACAACCATTGCCACCTGACCCAGATAATGTACTTAAACATTTCATTGTAAATTCAGTTAGCTGTGATCAGATTTTAAAATAAAACTGTAAATAATTCATAATCCAACTAAATGATTTGCTGATAAAGTTAAATTTTACATGCATATTATGGTGCCTATAAGTAGGGATTTCAAAGGCAATGAATATGATACTAAAATCTTGAAAACTGCATCAATAGATAATTTCAAACCTGAGATAGAACAAGACCAGAGCTTTGCTTTGAAAGGTCCCAGACCAAAGCCTAATGGGGCTTGTAAAGCGTTCAGTTACCAGAAGCCTGCCTCTACTTTTGTGGATGCAAAGCTCATAATGTCCCAAAACACAAATTTTCCTGTTATGACACACCTAAAGGATTGGAGGCAAGAGCCTTAGGCATCAATCTGGTTGGAGGAATTATTCCCAGCAAGCACTGATTAAACAATGATGAAAATGTTCTTGTAAATTGTAGAAGTGCAACCACAAATTTTCAAAGAGCAGGGAATAGCAAATTTTCACAGGGGGGATAAATCTTTAAAATCCTTATTATTGTAAACATGCTATTTTACAGGGCAACTGTATTCTCATAGAAGGCTGTGTCCTCCTCTGGCACTTCCCTGTGGGGTCCCATGTTAACGATAAGCAAATAATTTACATACACATCTCAATTTATAGCTAGTTATGGGTGTCTATCATCTCTAAGTAATATCCTCCACAATCAACAGGCTATAAGCTCACCCTGTCAAAGTGGCAGTTTTATTATGTATGTACAGATCAATGATAACTGGAAAAATGTGATTTTAATCACAATAACAAATCTCAAAATTTTCAAAACTGACGAGATTAAACTGCAAACTTACAATGTAAGGACAATCTCTCTGATCAATAAGAACTTGGTAGAATGTATGTGTCCTTCCTCTGACTTCTTTGCCAACTCCTGGACCTGGTTCTTCATCCCCATCTCTGTGGTGAGGTAGATCCCTATCATACACTCTTGCTAGCCACGGAAATAATACAACACCTCTATATCCAAAAACTCTGTGTAGAATCAACTGACCCGTTTCATATTTTCCAGAAAGCTTAGGCTGTTCTAATTTGCCAACTTCTGCTAGTCTATAATAAAAATTTATTCAAGTTAACCTAACTTTTGCAGACTTGTATTTATATGAAATTTGACGATAACTTACCTGACGTAATTTCTGCGAGTCGTTAAAGCTCTAGAGGCTATGGGAAGAAGCTGATTTCGCAGACAAATAAATAAAACGTCCATTTTTCATCTTTATGCGCAATACATCTATCTGTTCATGTTATTTTTATCAAAAACTGAGAGCAGGTGAACACGTATTTTCGGCGAAACGTTTTGCGGGGATCAGAACTGATGAATGTGACGGGAATTTGAGCAATGTTTATCTGTGAAATCTGATTTAAAAACGTTTGGTATGCAAATGCAAAAAAATGACAACGAATCGTCGTCCTCTTCACTGTTGTCAAAAAAAAATCCAAATGATTCTTTTGATAATTAGATTCGTTTTTTTTCTCATCTTTATACCAACTCCTGTCAAAGTCAAGTCAAAAGTCAGCAAACGTCAAACCATAGTGTGTTTGTCAAAAATCTTTAAAAACCATGAAAATAAATAATTAGAAAAGATATCTATTGAAAATGTAGCTAAACCGATAAGTGTTTGAATTCAGTATTACCAAATGCCACAAGACTGATATATCTTACCAAAGGTATGGGAATCCAACCTGAACTTCATGGAACTCATAAATTGCTTTTAGATTTTAAGAACCATGCCCGAAAATCTGGAACTGCAACAACTAGTCGACGAAGAGAATGAGGACGACTTCAAAATCCAAACGTACCATCCGCGCTGCCGCTGCCCGTATTTAGGATTAATTTTAGCAACTTTGAGCTCTCTTTTCTTCTCCCTGTGCTCTGTAATTGTGAAATGGATGACTGACGTAGACCCCATGGCTTTGGCAGCTTATCGGTATGTTGGGGTACTCCTGCCCGCAATTCCCATCGTTATATATCGCCAAGAAAAAGTATTTCCACCTGGCAAAAGGATAATGCTGTTGTTGAGATCTTTTACTGGTACAGCCTCACTAATGTTGAGTTTCTATGCATTTCGGCATATGCCTTTGGCTGACGCATCTGTAATAGTTTTTTCTGTGCCTGTATTCACTGGAATATTTGCTAGAATGTTCCTCAAAGAACCCTGTGGGTTGTTCAATGTATTTTCTGTAATACTTACCCTTATAGGAGTAATTTTCATAACTCGACCAACCGTCATATTTGGCAATATGGTAAATTCATTGGGAGATAATGGTCAAAGACCAGAGATGTGGGGTGCAGTGGCAGCTTTTTCAGCAACTTTATTTGGTGCTAATGCTTATGTGCTTCTACGTGCCCTAAAGGGTATCCATTTCTCAGTAATTATGGTGAATTTTGGAGCATTTGCTCTGTGTCAATGTCTTCTAGTCACAGTCATCATTGGAGCACTGTGTTTGCCTCCATGTGGGTTAGATAGGTACCTTATAGTAGCTTTAGCATTTTTCAGCTTCTTAGGTCAGATTTTATTAACTTTAGCCTTGCAAATGGAGCAAGCAGGTCCAGTAGCTATAGCTAGAAGTAGTGATATTGTTTTTGCTTTCATGTGGCAAGTGTTGTTTTTCAATGAAATTCCAAATAAATATTCTGTGGGGGGAGCCATACTAGTCATGAGTTCTGTACTTTTAACAGGTCTAAGAAAATGGATTTTAGCTTTGCCACAAGATGCAAGTATTAGGAGCAATCTTAGTATATTAACAAAATGAAAACAAATCATTCATATACATTGCATACCTGATACATAAATCAGACAGTGATATCTTCTCAAAATGACATACCAATAAAAAACAATTCTGTGTATTGAGCATTCTAACATTGTACCATAACTTAATCACTTGTAAGTTATTTATTATATTCAAAGGTTTTTGGCAACCTTATTTATGTTCATGAGCTATCATATAACAAAAAAATGCTTTATTCTATTTTAAATAAGGGACACACTAGTCAGCATTCTAGTCACTATGTAGGAACAAATTGTTTAGTCCAAAATGGTTATGTTAATGTTTCACACTACTATGTTTCTTATGTCATTTTTGATCAAACTATTGTATAATTCGTTGTGATTTAATGTTCTAGTCATTTTTTTTAAACTGCGAATAGCACATGTTTGTAGATATAATTTGTTGAAGAATGTATTTTTAGCATACCTACACTTATGGAATGTATTGCAGGAGTTCAGGCAAAAAGGTTCTAAACTAGAATTCAGTAATAAGTAATGAGACCAATAAATGTATATTCCATATTTTTATGTTCTTGATTACTGTTGCATGTACTTAATCTGTAAATGCTAATTTTTTTATAAGCCCGTGAATATGCTTGTTGCTCCATATAACTAGTCAGAACTGTGGACTGTTCACTGTTAAATTACTTTTTGAAAGCATAAAATACCTAAATAAAAAAATTGATACTAACATCTAGCATTTTCTTCCATATACAACCATATGTTGTTCAAATCCAATATCAAAATTAAGGACACTGGAAGTTTTTTTGCTCGAATAATTTTGAAAAAACCTACATAAAATATAAATATGGGTAAAATTATATATTGTAGAACGTAAGTGTTCATTTTGAATATCATTTAGAGATGTCAAAAATTGCTTTGTTATTCATACAAACATTTTCAGAATTAGCAGCCGTTTCTGATGTAAGTTAGGGTTATTATCGGTACGGTAGATTTTCTCATCAGAAGTTGGCGACCAACGTTACTGAAACCCTGAACATGGCGATACAGAATTTTTCACCAGTATCCAGTTTTGCAGTCACTGAGGTAAACATAAAAAACAGCTGATCCTTGTATTAAAGACTGTAGTGTTGGCAATAATGAATCGGGTGTGAATTAGGTAAAACCAGGGCCATATACAGAACTGCTTATACATGGCTTGGCTGGCAAACCGTTTTTGTTTTATTCCTACCAGTCATGATCGAATAAATAAGTCATCATAACGAAAGACTTTAACAAAATACGAGAATCTACAGATTTAGCGTAGACAGGTTTTTTAGAATTGCGTGTCCCTTGTCGATGTGGGGAATTTTGGAATATTACTAGTTAATCAGTTATGAGTTGCTGTCACGGTTCAGGTAATGGATAGTCGTGAAAGATACTTTAGGCAAATGAACACCCTGTGTATGACCATAGATTCGGTTGATTTTACTCTGGTTAAGCTCATCTCTAATAATTCTGTGTGTTTGCGGGTCATACCACATCAGTGTTGCCAACATCACCAATTTTTCAGTATTTCTACCGAAATGGAGAAATTACCGAAAACGTCATTTTCCACGATTTTTTAAAATAACTCACATATTTCCAGATTATTTTCCCAAAAAAGAGCTGGAACATAAAATAAAACTGATCAAAATGAGTTATACGTGGTCTTATGTCACATACCAATCATACATGTGTGTCCACTCAAACAGTCGGGCACGCGAAGAACGAAGAATTTGGGTTGCCTATAATTATGTACTCATCCCTTACTCCGCTTTTCTTGTTTCCTGTACTACATTTACAGACTGAGGTAGATCACCGTCATCATCAAAGTTTCACCGGACAGGCAATAAGGAAACCAACGAAGATCTGTTTTTAATTAAATATTAACTTACAAATGCCAGATGACGAAGCATCAATTTTAGGGGTAAAACAAAAAAATCTTCACAATCGCATAAACAAGAATGAAGAAAGGAGTTTCCAGAATGGTTGGAAAGCAGTCAATATTTTTTCAGGAGAAGATGGCCTGTATATGCGCAGGCAAAATAAAAATGTACTTTTTTCATAAACGGCGATGTGTGACGCAAAGGCGCTTGAAGCACCACGGATCTTGTGACGGCCCTGATTTTTATCTCCTACCGATTTTGTCCTTGAATGTACTGAATTTCACCTGCGGGACTTCATTATCTACCAATCTTTTGCGGCTTGGCAACATTGTATCACATATTTATTTTAAATTGGCAACCGACGTACCAACACCAACATTTCAAATAAACCAAAAAGTGCTACAGTGTACAGCGAAAGATCAAAAAGTCAAAATTAAAAAGTTAAAAAGCAAATAAAACAAAAAAGTAAGTTTCTTACGGTTTTTCATAACGATCGGGCGGTTGTAGTGTCTTGACTTCTCCATTTTTATCTTATTTCTAGGAAAGGTTATTTATATTTTGTAAATCGTTAGTATTTCGTTTTAACGGGTTAGAGGTTAGATACGTTGTGCAATCTAACCTCACTATAGCGCTCTGGAACGTTCGTTCGTCGTATTTTTCGATAAGGGTTTTCTAACAAAACTGTTTTGTGAATAGTATAATAATTTTTGCAGCTGAAACGATAACTCAACGTAACGAACCATGGCAATGATGTTAGCAACTCGCTTATGTAGCAGAGCAGCGCCTCTTCAAAAGTCTCTGCAGTTGAAACCTTTACAGTGTAAGAGCATTGTCAGGGCATTAGCCGATGATGGCAGAGAAGCGGCCGCTAGGGCTGCTAGACGACGTGTTACCCTCAAAGAAAGAGCCATGGCACCAGCAGGAGAAACTGGTAAGCTAAGCTGATCTTTTGTGGAAATAAACACTGATTGTGGGTTTCTTTGTAGCTTTTAACATTGGAAAAGGTGCTTTGGCAGGTGGCTCTGTACTTGGTATAGGAGCATTGTGTTACTATGGTCTTGGATTAGGACATGATGTGGGTGCTTTTGAAAAACAACAGTAAGTATCTTCATTCTAAATTGTAACCATTGGATTCTGGAAGATTGTTTTTATAAGAAACAGTTATGTCAGACATTCCATATTTTTATTCTAAAGATATAATCTTTTCGTAACATATTTTAAATTTCTTTAATAATTATATATAATATGTAGAAGCCCTAAAGGCCTACTAGGCCCATGGCTTGGCAAGTGAGATTCTTCCATTTCCCCTTATCGACTGCTTTGTTCTTCCATCTCTGCACCCCTATTGCTATTATGTAATATACAAATATTTAAATTTGTTACATAGTATTAGTCACGGATTCCCTCATTAACATGTGACATCCTAGATAGTCCATAAAGTAGTTAATTGCATTACATCACATTTGTTTACTTTTCATTTTATAGCTGAGTAGTTGTTACCTGCATTTTTATCTTTTTATATATTGTTTGTGGTATAATTTTCAGTAAAATGATGTTATACAGCCTTTGTTCAAGAAGTGTATTGAACCTTCTAACTTGAAGTACGTATTCATAGCACCATCATTTTACATCACTGAAATTGTCTCAAAAATATCATTGTGAATTTTCTTTTACAGCTTGTGGCCTCAGTATGTTAAAGACCGTATAAAGAGCACATACTTGTATTTTGGTGGATCAATTGCAATCACAGCAGCCAGTGCTATGGCAGCTATCAGATCACCTGCAATTATGAGTCTAGTCACAAGGAATGGAATCATGGTAAATATTTTCTCCTAATAATGTTTACCTCATCCTATTTTAGGGCATTGAAAATTATTAAAACTTCTAACTACCCTTATCTTTTTTTTTAAATAATTATAAAACTTTATAGTACTATAGTTTGTTTATTTATGTTGGATCAACCCCATTACACACACAAAAATATAAAATTCAAATATAATAATACCTAACCAATAACAAACTTGAGTTTAATTTTAGTCAACAACAAATAAAAAATCTACTGTCTTTAAATCAAGACAAAGAAAAGCCTAATATTTCGAGACCCTTAGAATTTGTAAGATTCAGTGCATAATTTGTGCTGTGATGATGTAAATAAGTGGTTTATTCTCATATTAAGTGATTGAACATAAAATGAGATTTCGTTAAGGAGCTCAGGACACAGCATCTGGCCATTCAAAAGCATAAACACATACAATAAATCATTGTGAATATGCTTTTGACCTGGACTCTTCGTGTTCAATATATGCATTCAATGCATGATCATATGTATATTCATCAGGAATCCTTATATGAAGCTTATAGAGACACAAAACCTAATAGATATATTCTACACTCTTTCGAGGGCTAAATAATCATTCATATAATAGGGAGACCAGATCATTGATCCATATTCCTATAAAGACCTCACAAGTAACATATAATTTTTTACAAGTTTTTATAGATAACTCCCTATGATTAAGTAACACAAAACCAAAGACTTTAGAAGCCTTAAGTAAAATAGTGTTTATATGTGTGTTGAAACTTTGTTGTTCATCAAAAAGATTAAGATATTTTATGACATTGCTATATTTAAGGTTATTGTTTTCCATAGTGTAAGAAGAGTATACCTTTTTTTGCCTTTTGTAAAAACTAATGTAATTATTTACATTAACCAATATTTAAGGATAAATAATGAACACACAAATCACTTGTCTATTCAAGTGATTTTGCAACAAAATCCTGCTCAGAACCAACCTGATGATATTTTAAATCAGCCATGAACAACAAAAATTCTCAAAACAAACTGAAATGTCATTTATAAAAATATTAATGAGTAATCAAGAACAGTAACGTCACCTCAGAGGAAACACTGATATAATGGCATTGCCTATCCACACCTACTAAAATCTATCAGAAAGAAAATCCAAAGAGGATCAATTTTTTCAGCAAGATACTGTGGTTAACTCTGTCGAATGCATTGGAAAAGTCTGTGTATAATCATTCTAATGCCCTCTTTCTAAGGCACTCAAACAACAGCAAGTTGGTCACAGTAGATTTACCGAGACTGAAACTATGTTGTTCACTAGCAATTCCTTGCTGTAAAAATAAATATGATCATAAATGAGGCTATTTAAAATTTTTAGAACAGCTGGACTGTTAACACACACTTCTGTAATTAACTACATATTTCATTATTATCCTCTGGTTTTTAAATATTGGCATCACAAAGCTATAAAACCGAGATATTGTCATTATGACATGAAAGGCACTTAGGAGAAGCATATTTCGATAATAAGATACAATATATGTTTTGATAAACACTTAAATTAGAATCTGCACAACAAAAAATTAAAACATAGTAGTTGCTGTATTTACTGTATTCTTGCTTACAGATACTGTATTTCAGTTTACAACTAAAGCAGTTGCAGTAGCAGATTCTTTAAGACATACACTTAATCACACCAAATTCATATTTTTAATTACTTATCGACGGTCATTTAGTAGATTTGTAAGGATACTGTTAACATTTTTTATAGGTTTCATAAAGATTATATATGCTGAACCTGCGATAAACAACATAGCATAGTACTTACCATGTTATTAATTAAAAAACAGCAGCTCAGACAATTCTGAAGTAAAAGTATATGCTTTTTTATTTATAGATAGGCCTCCTCAGTAAAATGAATGAGTTCTTTAGAAGGTATTATCAATTTTAACCGGGTACAAACCAAAAGCATTCTTTTTCCTTAAACCGTTACAACACGTTCTCATCGCTCCTGTAAAGTGTGAAATTAGCAGATACGATCTTCTGGCCTATGACGGCAGTGTAGGTCTTATTGGATTTTCTTGATCCAACTTGCTCCTTTGACTTGAAGTAGTTTTTATTGTATTTGTTACATTTAGTATATATTTCTATTTGCAGGGTATGGTGATCAGCTTAGGTGCTATAATGGGTACAGGCATCCTTTGCCAAAGCTTGGAGTATAAGGAAGGCTTTGGTGCCAAGCAACTTGCTTGGATCCTTCACGCAGGCACAATGGGTGCTATACTAGCTCCCATGTGTTTCCTAGGAGGGCCACTTCTCATTAGGGCTGCCTGGTATACAGCTGGAGTGGTGGGAGGGCTCAGCACAATTGCAGTGTGTGCCCCTAGCGAGCAGTTCCTCTACATGGGTGGCCCCTTGGCCATGGGATTGGGAGTAGTGTTTGTCTCTTCCATTGGGTCAATGTTCCTGCCTCCTACAACAGCACTTGGTGCTGGATTGTACTCAATCAGTTTGTATGGTGGATTGCTGCTCTTCTCTGCTTTCCTGTTACATGATACACAAAGGATCATTGCGCAGGCTGAGAGGTATCCTACTTCTCCAGGATTGTATGGAGTCAAGCCATACGATCCTATCAATGCGTAAGTATATTTTCATTTGTGTAATTATTTGGTAACCAAGTAATTTATGTGTGCACTTGATTGATTTTGGAACATCTTATAATGCACCCTTTGTTTATTGGACTGTATACAATGAAAATGCGGAAAAAGGAGGCATTTGACCTACATAGTATTTTTGAAAAAAAGAAGGGATATATGGCAAAAAAACATTTCTTGAATGTGCAAATATATTTAGTATGTCTTTTAATTAAAACTGCATAAAAACCAGTGTCGGAGATATGGAGAAAAAATTTTTCAAAAGGGAACTCGCACACTTTATACTCTTAGCCCATTTCTTATGCACTATAATCAGAACGTGGTCCCACAAGTTCTCCAACTTTTTTTGACTTGAATGGTATTCAACACGCCACTTTTCAAGCACTATTTCAAAAAGGGCTTGAGGCAAAATTTGCAATACTCGACCCAATGTCCCCTGTTAGCACATCACTGCTATCAGGACAGTACTAGTTAAACTATGGAGTATGTACTAATTGTATATGGGCTTGATGTTTGGTTGACTTGACAGATTTTTTTGTTATACATATTTTAGCCCAAAGGGACTAACTTGAGCCGAATCTAATCCTTTATGAACTGCTGGCAGGACTGCGTGGTCAACCTACTTGACGCCATTTTTTGCTCAAAATTGTGGTGGGGCGAAAACCGGCCTGATGGCCCTCCTCCTTTCATATTGTGTCATACACAGATTTCATTGCACAATTTTCTTTGAAAGCACTGGTTTAGGCTAGTTTTTTTATACTCTTAAGGGTCGTTTCTATTTAAACAAGTTGCAGGCACAGATGTTTGATGCATGTTGAACAATAAGGTTTAGCCTCCCCTCATTAAACCTTGTATATGCACGCCACTGATTTTCGTGGTGTACTTCTGGTACTACCCATGTTAGATTCTTCTGTTTGCCTAAAACTACAACTACTAATTGTGGCACCAATCATTTTGAGCAAAATTCTTATTTTACTTCTGGAATTATCTGCCTTTCTTTCTCAAAATTCTTTAGCATTTGGGATGAAGTGAGCTCAAAAAAAAATCTCAAATCGTTAGCAACCTCGGACACGAAGTATGAGGAGGATGACCAAATACTCAATTTCCTTTTCATACAATATAAACAAAAATGAATAAGCCTGCAAAACCAGTGGAGCGCATGGGAAAGGTTTAAATATGTTGTAATGAGGTTCCATAGATTCCTTCTCGTGCCGTATAGTGTTTATAACATAAAGCATCACGATCTTTTCAGAATAGAGAAGGCTAAACATTTTTATAAGCATAATTTAGGATTTTACCTCAAATGTTCAAACCTAAACATGTCCAAAACGAGTAATCTGACAAAAAATCCTTAAGAGAAATAAAAATATTGTCACGTCTTTCTGAAAGACCCTGAATTTGTTGTAATAGAAACGTACCTTAATGGAAGAAATTCTTAATAGTCTAATCATATTAGCAAATTTCTCTGAAATAATTGTAAAGTCTAGTTTTATTGATGGAAGTCGTTCTGGGTTCTAGGGGGTATTTAAAACATGGGTACACCAATTTTTGCGGGAAAACAACAACAAAGAATGAGAAAACGTGTTTTTTGAGATTCAATCAAAAGTGTTGGCAGGAACGAAAAAATTTTTCATATAAGATTTTTAGGTATTTGTGAGACCTACAAAATTAGACCACATGTGAAAAGATCTGACTAATAGCAAAAATGTTATGGCCGAAAAACGAGGCATAATGCAGGTTTTTGGCTCTTGTTGGTAACCCTACGATTTTCACGTAACTACTTGAAATTCCTCAAATCCGTAGGATTCAAACTTCTAAATAATACAAACAAAATTGGATTATATTGGTCAAGTAGTTTTGAGAATTTCTAATTGTTTATCCCAAAACACAGCCTGTTTTGCGGCCATCACTACTAGTTTATTGAGCAATATACAGGGATCGTTCAAAGAGCATTTAATAGCAAAATACACATGTTTACCTGGCCGATATGAATCACAAACAATTCCGAAAGATAAGTGTTATTCTTATGCGAAAAACATGTTTTCTCATTCTTTGTTGTCGAATAAAAAGTTTTCCCACAAAAACAACTTGCAGCAATAAAACCAGTCTTTACAGTCATTTCGCAAACCAGGGTTTTTTTCGTCTAATATGATTAGACTACAATATCTTGATACATTCTCAGATTGACACAAATATTTTTTTAGGTCCATTTCCATCTATTTGGACACTTTGAACATATTCATCAGAATTGCTACCATTCTAGCAGGAGGTGGAGGCCAGAACAAGAGGAAGTAAATCAGTATTCATTGGATCTGTTTTATTTATTTGGATATTTCAACATAATTTTTATGGTACACTTACTTGAATAAATATTTAGGAATCGTTTGTACATTTTGTATATATATTTTAGCTTTAGGGATAGAGTAAGCAACTTTTTCTTATTATGACAACTTGATCCAATTAAAACTTGTTCTTTATTCTGTAGTGTTATTCAACTCTGACAACAATTTGTTTTTAGTCACTTACAAGGTAGTATATTAATTTGTACAATGGTATAATGAGTAAAAAGACATGTTGAGTGAAAATATAATTCAATCTTACACTACTGAGGTCCAATGACAACAAATATCAAATAAATAAAATGCTCATCAACATTGCTTACATAGTGTCAAAAAAATGTCAATTAACTGAATGTGCTGTATTAGTCCTTCACGTTTTAAAATGTATGGCTATAAATATGACAATCTTCCATTACATATTACTGTGAAAATTAAATACAGGATCTGTGCTTTTTTACGTGATACATTTTTTTTTATATACTCCAGCTACCACAAAGGCCTAAACACCCATGGGGTACCGTGGGGCTATAGGGGGATTCAGGAGAAACATATACATTCTGGCCCCACCTAAGAAATCCGCCGGGTGGTACCTCCGCGTACGACAGTCAGAGACCGCCTACCCCTACCATTTATTCAATCTTTCTGGTATATCATTAGCGACACATCATTTGCAGATAAGGTATACAGGGAAAACTAAATGGCTCGAGTTCAATGTGTACAAGAGAGAAGTGTCTCCCTAATGGGTACTGACCAAAATCGCGCATCTGTGATCATGGAGGTGGAAATCTTGCCGTGCAATGTAAGAAATGCGGTGTTTTCAAACGAACCAATGATGCAATGTTGCAGAATTTGTGGCGAAACTGACCTTTCGTTTCGACCTAAAATCAAGCGCCGTTAGGACCGATCCGGAATCGATCCTAAACAGATTCGACACAATTGAAAAATGTTAAAGCTCAAACTAAAACTATTATTTGTGCATTAGAGCAGCGTTTCTCAACCTTTCACGATTCGCGACTCAATTTTCAAAAATTATTTTCACCTTCAGCTCCAAGGAGCAAATACACATAATATATTGGATACGAGTGATAAAGTTAACGCTTTTTGTAGAAAATTGGAATTGTGGAGCATAAATTCAAAGCAAAAAAATCTGGGAGAGTTTGAAAATGTGGATGAATGTATTAAAACTTACAAGGTTGAAGAACAACACATGAAACTTGTTTTCAGAACCATTGAAAATCATTTAGCGATGCTGACAAAGAATTTTAAAAAAATATTTTCTTGTCGACGACAAATTAAAACTTAGTTACGAGTAACTCTACTCCCGAAGGGCTCTCAACTGCCGAAGAAGAAATCTTCATAGACTTTGCAAACGCCGAAATCAAAAAACAGTAATAATAAATCCCTCTTTGAATTTTGGGCAGGCGTGAACGATGAGTTTTCGGCACTGAAAACAAGAGCGTTTCGTATACTACTACCATTCTCAACATCCTACCTTGGCGAAACAGGATTTTCGGCAGTGGCTGCTTTGAAGACCAAATATAGATCGCAGCTAAATATACAAAAATAACTCAGCGTGTCTATTTCAAATATTGAACCTTGTTCCGACAAGCTTTGGTAGGCAAGGCAGATCCAAGGGAGTCACTAGTAATTATTATTTTTTACGCCCCTAGGGGGGCGCGCCCCACAGGTTCAGAAACGATGTCGTACACATTGAACTCAAGCCGCGTCAGACAAATTCTGTTTTCAGTGTATATTATTTTTACCACTCTGATCTCGCACCACACACTGGCAGTTCAAAAATAATAACGTTAAAAGGGACACTCGAGGTAGTGAGAAGATAATATTGACAACAAGTTAATTTTTGAGAAAACTTGAGTTCAGTTCAACTTGTACCATTTTCCGTGAATCAACATACTACGACTTTTATCGGCGTCTTCACCTTGTAACCACAGAATAAATACTTTTTGGGGGTCATGTTTTTACTCAGGGCTAATAAGGAAGATATTAGGCTGTAAACGACATGTGAGGACTAATACAGTGTTTTAAAGATCACAGTTTATTATCAAAAAGAACAGTCCATATATCTAAAAATGCTCTAAATTATGCATGTTTATCATCTTTTTGAAAAGTGAATTACTAACATATTTTTATATAATCTTACAATCACAGAAATACCTGTAATATGTCAGAAGGATTCCTTTTCAGGTGACACTAGTAACAAATCATAAAACCTAAAACAATACCCAGTTGCAAATGCACCATTTCAAATAGGTTTGAGATATCAACTAATTTTAATATTCTTGCTTTTCACATATTCGGGCACGATGTCCTGTATCCATTTACTCTCAATAGTCGTCAGTCCTCTGATATAGCACTTATTCGTCTGAACGACTTCTGTGAATATAACTAAATGCGGCAGCTGTCCATGTAGAACTGAGCTAGGATGAATTTGAACCGTGTTTCGTTTATCTAGCTGCAAATCAGACAACCCGATAAACAATGTAATATTGTAGTAGAATGTTACATGATAAAAGATATATTTTTTGGATGTTATCATAAATGAATGTTTTTTCACATTGTGAATGTCATATTCTGAATTAAAAGTACAGCAGACGCTCGATAACGTAAACACGGGATAATAAAAAATTGCGCTAATGTAAACACAAACTTCGTTCTATGGGATCAAACGGAACGCGCGATAACGTAAACAATGTGTACGCTCGATAACGTAAACAACTCTCGGCGCACGGAAACAGCGCGACGGTAAAATGCTGAAGCCTCGATGATTTATGTCCCCGATTTATGATGTAGAGTGTAGGGGATTCACCTCTGCGATAAAATACGACAAACTCGGTCAATCGTATGATCGTTTAGGATACGTTTATACGTACGTATGTATTTCATTTTTGAACTTAAGTGAATACATTGCACGCGTTAATATATTTTACGACTATGGCATCCACATCCTATAAAAGAAAGTGTTTAAAGTTGAGTGAGAAAGTGAAAATCATAGACGAAGTTGCACTAGGTGCGGGAGTGACACAGTTAGCAAAAAAAATATGGAGTATCGAAAGCAACAATCTGTAAAATTAAGCGTATGAAAACTCAAATTTTACAAAGAACGTGCAATACATTTGGAGGTCCGGGAAAAAGAAAAACTTAAAAAAATGCGAAGGCACCTAAAATGGAAAATTCCCTGTATAAGTGGTTTTTAACACAACGGGAAAATCATGTCTCAGTTAGTGGCAAAGTACTTAAACAGAAGGAGACTGTTAAATGAAAAACTGAAAGACACTGAACATTTCGTAGCTAGTGATGGCTGGCTACAACGATTCAAAACAAGATATGGAATTCGACTGCTGTCTATATCTGGTGAAAAATTATCAGCACAACCACAATTAGTGCAACCATTCAAAGAAAAATTGATGAAAACAATTACCGAGCTAGATTTAAGAATGGAACAAATTTACAACGCAGATGAAAGTGGCCTTTATTGGAAAATGTTACCAGAGAAAACCTATGCTGCATCATTTGAAAAATCTGCCCCGGGAAGAAAGCCGGAGAAACAACGAATAACGTTTCTAGCCTGCACTAATGCTAATGGTTCACACAAAATAAAGCCACTGGTAATTGGGAAAGTAAAAAATCCGCGCTCATTTAAAAATGTTAATATCCCTGTTGATTATGACTGTTCAAAAACCGCTTGGATGACTAGCAGTATATTCCTGAAATGGTTCCACAGGTGCTTTGTCCCTCAGGTATGACAATCAATTATCACAAATGCTCTATTCATAATTTGAAGATGTGTTTTCAATTTGTAGGTAAAAGGTTTCCTAAAACAACAGAAGCTTCCAATAAAAGCGTTGTTACTATTGGATAATGCACCAAGTCATCCTCCCGAGCAACAACTGAGGAGCAGGGATGGGTCAATTTTCGTCATGTACATGCCGCCCAACGTAACACCGTTAATTCAACCGATGGGCCAGAATATAATAAGACTCACCAAACTATACTATAGGAAGTTTCTACTTTCGTCTGTCTTATCAAAGAATCCTGAAAACTTATCTGAGGCTTTAAAAAAAGTAACATTACGAGAAGCTGTTTTAAATTTACAAATGGCCTGGAATGAACTTAAGCAGCAAACTATTCAAAAATGTTGGAAAAATCTCTTTTGTACCAATAATGAAGATGATGAAGAAGACGATGTCCCCTTAAGCGTAATTAGAGAACGTTTGCGATCCAATAATGAATGTTATTAGTGTGTCATTGGATGTTGTTGATTTATTGAAAACAGTGAATCCCAACATTGTTTGTACTCCTGATGATATTAATTTATGGAACAAAGATAAGCAGACGAATGATGCTGATAAGGAGGATATGGACAGTGAGGATGATGAGAACGATCCCATTTAAGTCAGAAGTGTAGTGACTGACGCGCAAGCTATACAAGTTTTTAACCAAGCTTTAGATTGGGCTGAAAGAAAAGAAGTTTCATACACGGATATTTTAGTTCTTCGTAAATTACGGGCGCAGGCATTGAAAGAGAATGCTAAGCGCAAATTTACGCAGACAAAAAATGTTAATTATTTTTCTTCTAATTAAAAAATACTTATCGCTGTTAGAATATTTGTTTATTTTGTTATAAATAGTATTTATTAAACGTTTCTTTTAATAAATCAAATATTATATAAATCACGTTCGCTAATGTAAACATTTCGATAATGTGAACCACACTTGGATTAAATTAGTTTACATTATCGAGCGTCTGCTGTATATTGCAAACACCATAAAATAATCTTTATCACGTTCATGCAGCAATGTAATTTGGAACCCTTCAGTATGAAGATAGATTATTTATAAAAACTATTCATATATACTTACAGTAATGTATTGTTTATCCCTATACAATTCAGCAACATTTGTAAATAATCCGGTTATTAAGCATTTACGTAACTGGTCCAGCTGACCACCACACGAGTTTATGCTTAGACCACATTTGCAACATATCTCTTCAAGCTGATCCTTTATCTCTTTCACATGCAGTATGTTCTTCATGTTAATAAAATGTTCATGACACCAGGCTTTTCTATTGTTCTGTGCTACACTGTTAAACTGTAAAGCAAAAAAAAAAAACGGAAATGAAAAAATATCCGATGTCTGAGAAAAAATGTAAGTCTTATGCGCCCGAAAAATAATAAAATCTAATCGCTGAAGTTAAGCATACCCCAAAGATAAGCGATCACTCATGGATATATTTCTAAGTGGAAAATATATTTAATGAAAATAAAATGAGAGAAATTACAGCAATTGATTTCACAAAATTATAATATATAATTAAATATACAGAAAATGTTTAGTAACCCAAAGTGAAAATGATTGGAAACAATATACAAAATCAAGAAATGAGTGTGTAGCAGTTCTCAGGAGGGAAAAGAAAAAAATACTATAATAGGAAGATCGATAGAAATAAAAATAATTCTAAAATGATGTGGAATATTGTTTCTTCTACTGGAAAGACTGAATTATCTAAAACGCGTTTCGAAGATGGGGTAGTGACAGAAAAATTAATTATAGCAGAAAGAATGAACCCTTATTTTATAGACAGTGTAAATCAAATAGTGAAGACGATTGATGACGGTGATCCAAACTTATGTCCATTACAAGTATGTCATAATTTATCAATGAATAAATATATATGATAATTTATTTTAAAAAGTTGATCTGGATAGATGGTTAAAAAACGAATATTGAAAGAAACATTCTACGGGTATATTACCAGTTATAGACATGGTTAGGCAATAAACTAGATCCAACCAAGTAGATCTGTACTACGGAAATTTTAATACTAGACGATACTATTGAACAAATTTCTACAAATGTACTACTGGTTGCCAAACGGTAGGTGTAGTTCCAAAAAGCATGGATTAAATTGCACACCTTTGTGCATAAATTGTATTGATGGTGATGATGACACAAAATGCTACAACCTTGCTGTCATTGGATTTGACGATGATGAAGAGCAGACTGAGAAAATCGACGACTCATTTGAACAAATGAGTCATACAGATATTGAAGAAGAAGTAGAGCGACCAAATAAAAGATTTAGAATGGAGGATCAAGATCAATCAAATAATAAAATATTAAAATAAAAAAATACATTATAAAGGGTTGTCCAACAGGGACGCAGGAAAGTAAACATCAATTTGACATAGACGCCATCTTTGTTTTCTGTCACCGACATGTCATTTTGTTAGTTGAATGTTTACCATTGATCGCTATGGAGTATTCGATTGAAGACCGCATTAAAGTTATTCAAGAGCACTACAAAAATGGTGCAAAAATAGAAAACACGTTTCGCGCGCTTCGTGAACATTTCGGTCGCAACAACCGCCCAAACGAAACAACCATCGGTCGTCTGGTGCGTAAATTCGAGGCAACAGGTTCTGTGGCAAATCTGCCAGGCTCTGGCCGGTCAAGAAGCGTTCGCACACCGGAAAATATTGCTGTTGTGAAGGTGAGTGTGAGAGACGATCCGAAACAATCAACAACGCGTCGATCCCAAGAATTGGGCATTTCGAGAACCAGTTTGCTCCGCATTCTCCACAAGGATTTGAATGTACACGCCTACAAGATCCAATTGACGCAAGAGCTGCGTCGGGCCGACCATTTTTCGCGCCGAACGTTCTCAGATTGGCTCCTTGAACACCGCCAAATTGATGCCAATTTTTCATCAAAAATCATGTTCAGCGACGAAGCGCATTTCACTTTGAATGGGACGGTAAACAAGTAAAACTGCCGCATCTGGGCGAACGAAAATGTCATTGAAAATTTCGACCATCGCGTGGACGTCTGTAAATCCAGTCGTGGTGAACATTTGAGCGATATTATTTTTCATACATAAATGGTATAAATGAACCTTCAAAATAAAGTACCCAACTTGATTTGAATATCAATCTTTCTTGTTTTAATATGCGTTTACTTTCCTGAGTCCTTTTTGGACAACCCCATATATTAATACTCAAAGAATGCAAATAAAATAAATATAAACGAAAGACAAACGTGAATCAATATTTTTTACAATTTATTAGTGTATTTTGTTAAGAGTATACCAAATAACTGAATTATAAATTGTTTAAATAATTTTATTGTGAAATATAAATTGGTTTATTAGAGTTAGAGTAAAAGTAAATGATTTATTGTTAATTTATTATTTCATAGAAATTTAATTTTGAAGAATACCACGTGTTAAGTTTCCCGGGTTTTCCAGATTTTCCAGGAAAATGAAAATGTGCTAGATGTCAGTATTTCGACGAATTAGCAAAATTTTACAGCGTGCTCTGATTCGATGACTCAATTTCAAAGAATAAATCGAGCTAGAGCTGATTCCCCACCACCTCTATTTCTTAAAGACCTTTGAACTTATAGTAAAATTATAAATAGGATCATAATATCGATTAATGTTTATAAAAGAGATATGATTAAAAAAAATTCTTGGCTCCTATATTGCTCATAGTTTTTTAAAATATGCATTTTTTAATCACCTATTAACTTGTTGAAATAAATTATATTGAAAAATAACGGAATTATTGTAAATGTTTATAACGATAAAAATGATTTTTTTTAACACCATTTTTAATAACAATTTTAAAATAAATAATATTTTTGTGCATAAATTCTTAAAGCGGAAACCTTCAAGAATCCATTTCACTTCTATAAAATGTGCTAGAACCATGTTTTGGGCAGGAACAGATGTTTAAATCATTCGTCTCTGGGATAAACAATTAGCTTTTTACATAAACTGTTAATCCGATCAGACTGAAATTTGGCACACATATTAACACTAATAATGCACTCATTCTCACAAATTTTTAGCCATTTACAATTGTTATTGCAATAGTTAAAAACATTTCTTATATTGCTAAAAAGACCCGTATTTACCTTAATTGTTTAACGATGTTAATTCTTAAAAAATAAAGTTGAAGGTCTGTTTATGCTCTAAAGTCTAAAGTTTACCGATTATTTATAAAATTTAATTTGAAAATTATATAAGCAAACTACCCTTTGTTTAGTCGAACATAAAAAGAAACTGTAACAATACTTCATCAATAAATTTGAAAATTGTTGTCTTGCCGCGTTTGGTTTGCAAAACATTGTTTAGTAATATTTACCTCTCTAACTATATTCAAGAGCGTCACTAGATCCCCATACGCTGAGTGAAACTTCTGCCTTACTTGCTGCGCCTGTTCCCGTTTGCTTTGTGGGGTAATCAGTATCGACTCGGCACTCATCAGTGCGACGACTATTAGCGCTTCTTCGAGGCACCCGAACTCTGAAGCGGACAGGATGATCTTGGAGAAATGAGGATCAATAGGAAACTTGTTCATCTTTTTTCCAATCGGCGTCAGGACAACCGATGCGATATTTTCGACGGCACCTAGAAGCACTAGGTGTTCGGATGCGGCTGTTATCGATTCTTTCGGAGGTTTATCCATGAAATTGAAATGCATCGAATGGAATCCTAAAACAATAGTAATGTTAATGTAACCTCTGAAACTTATCCTGTGGCTTTGATGTTGATAGAACTCTATGTCTTTCTGGCTAAATGAAATCAACATGTGTAAACGTGTACTTTTTACTGAAGGCTACTCGGCTAGAAGTTCCTTTCAATCTGCTTGGTCAGCGTCCAGAAAGGCGGACTGCCGTTGCGCTGTATGTGACGCCTTTTTCAAAGTACAGATCAAAATCTCAGTTCATTTGTTCATCAACATCAAATCAACAAGTAAGCAGATTTTTTTTTCATATAAAAGCTAATTGAAATTTAGCTCCTTTTTCAAAACGAACGGTTTTTACCAAAGTTTAAACACGGCATTGTATAAGGTAGAAAACCATTTTAAAAGGATTGTCTAAAATTGTTTTTAATCGATAGAGGTAGTGATGTTTTTTTTATTACCCAAAGACAGTAACTGAAGTGATACAGTACATAAATTCGCCCTCTGTATCTCCGGAATTGTAGCTTTTCGCATCAATTCAAACTGAGATCTAGTATATAATCGGTAACAATGTCCTTCTGAGTCTCTACCAGCTCTTCCAGTTCTTTGCCAAGCCTGCTCTTGGGATATTCTTTGTACTTTCAACGTTTCTAGACCCGTCGTTGGATGGAATGTTCTACAACGAAAATTACACATTTGTAAAATATCCCGTGAATATAAATTCAATAATCTCAAAATTACGAAGCACTTCGCAAGTAGAATATATTAAATACTTTTATAACAAGCTGAATTTTGTATTTTAATAATTGATAGTAAGATAAATCATCAATCCTAACACAACAATTGATGTCTAAAAATAATATAACATAAATGTGAAGATATTTTTAGTTTCTTTATATTTAAATTGGGAATTTTTAGAAACGTTCATCCAGAGAATGAAAGCTGAGGAAATGTACTGTTGAAATAGGAATGCAATACTTACACCTTTTTCAGATTTTGTACGAGAGCGCTGAAAATGAAGATGATTTGAGGGTTGTGCTATTTCACATCATAAGCAGTGGATAAAAATGATTATACCTCAGAGAAAAATCGAGAACTTCTGTTTTTACAATCATGGCTTATGGATGCAGTCTAAAATGATTTCGTGGATATAATTGTATATGGGTTATTTGTTGTGCCTTTTAACACAGATACTTGTAATCCTGGAATACACTAACAAAATTAAATGACACAGGAACTCAGTCAGTCAGAGATTACTTTGGAAAGTAGTTTATTTTGAATAACATTACGTTCATTTTTTACCGAATTTGTCTACCTCTTGGGATGTTTTTTATTGGTTTTGTGAAAAGGGGAGAAATAGCACAAGTGTCAAACAATTTTCCATTCCAGCGGACCGGGATAAAATCTGGAAAACTTAGGTAAGTATTGTATATATTCCTAAAGTAGTGTAGTTCAGCTTGTTATGGATTGGACTATCATCATTACCTGACTTTGACCATTCCGCTATCTATCACATATTTGATTCCGCTGATTGTAACACTGGTTTCAGCGATATTCGTACTGATAATGACCTTCCTGGTATTAGCAGGAGATGGTTGGAATATGGACATTTGTTGAGAGTGCGACTGAGCCGCGTACAATGTGTATATCTTCAACGGAGGTCCTATCACGTCTGGTTGCTTGGATAATGTTCGAATTCTGTTGGCACACGTCTCGATTTCTTCTTGGCCAGTCAGGAAAATTAAAACATCATGACTGAAAAAGGAGAGTTTTCAAAGTTCAAGCCTGTATGAATCTAGCATACAACTGAAATGTAAAATCCATCTTCCCTCATTGAAGAATAATATTTTATATATAAAATATTATATAAAAATATAATAATTATAGTTATTGTATCGTCAGAGTATGTAAAAAGACATCCACAAAGACCTAAGAATGCTGTGGATTGGAGTGCCCAGGGAAACAAATATTGTATTATATATACTGTGTATTGCTTGGAGCATAAACCCTATTTCACGAGTATCCATCACATTTTGATGTCTACTGAGATGAGCAGCAAGTAATAATAATAGCGTTTATTTGCAGTTGAAAAAAATTACATAGGATACAAAATAGGCAAAAACCACAAATTACACTAACTGCAAAATCGACCAACAAACAGTCTAGGACTGATCAAAGTACTGACCCAGTGACAAAACACAATGGAGAGCACATTTTTTATAGCCGTCTACGGATAATACAATTCTAACCAATTCATTCCAAAGTGACAAAAAAAGAGAAAAAAAAAGTAGAAGTGACACCTTTGTATTAGTCTGTAACGTTGTCAATAATGAATCTAAAAACTTGCTTTTAGCGTTTTTTTTATGCAAATCAACTTTTCTTAATAAAAGAGTTGTTAGCAAGTATAAAATGAATCTGTTGCGCACAAAAAACTAAAACAAAATACAGCTCTGTCTACTTAACGGATCCGTCAGAATTATGTTTTTCGTTATGGCGAATTTTGTAATATTACTAGATAATCAGCTGTTATTTTACCATAATGGATACACGTGAGAAATAATACATTCTGAACAGAAACATTATGTAAATATATAACTCATTCTTTCTTTTCATGTCTATCATCATATCAGATGCAGTGTACTAACATAGAAGTCACGAATCCAAAGTCCATGATTGTTTTTTCAATAAAACGAGAAACCGATAACTTTTTACGCTGATTAGGAGTTTTTTAAGAAACATTTAAAGAAGACAACTTTAGTCCACGAGTGACATATGGATGATGTTTCTTTGTTTACAATTTGTATGACGTCAAATCATAGTGTTTTCACTGTTTCGTATTGAATGTTTTTTTTTCAAATTGAACAGGGTACAGGGTGTTTCAGAACTAAGGGATCAAACTTGTAGGGGTTATTCATATTCATTAATGATTGGCTCAATGAATATTTTTAAATCGACTCAGTCCTATTACTTTCTGGACAAACCCTGTATTCAAGTAAATAGTGACCATATTTATTTATATTTTTTTTAACAAATCATTATAAATTAGAATTCCTTGTTACATAATTAATTTTTCTCTAGATGAGCATGAAGACATACATTTTGAAGATTATTGAAAATCAAATTAAAAATATGGTCTCTCCTGTTTTTCAGAAAATACAAATCCCTATTTACAAGTAAACCATCTTTTAAAGTTGGGCTAATTTATATAGAAGAAACATACTTACTCTGGGGGAGCATCTTTGTGAATCTTGAAAAAAGTAGCAACACAGGCAGCTTCATAATCATCATGAGGTTTCACAGTATAGTGAAGAGAGACTGGGTATGTTCTACCTTCTATATATACAGCTTGGCAATTATTAAAATACTGTGAAAAGTGGTCTACATCCATTGTTGCAGACATTATTATAATCTACAAATGGGACAGACAATATAAGGAAAAGCTATTGGGAAATTCAACTTCAAATAGAACACCTACTGCTAGTGTTGTCATTGAACTAAAAAAACTTTCCACTTAGATAAAGTTGCAGTTTTTACCCATTTTTTTACTTGCAAAAACTCATCTCTAAGTATGTTGAAAGAGAATGCATTTAAATCTTCTCGTTTTCCAGCTAGAGGAATCACCCAACAGAAATTAATTTTTATTTCAAGTATGGAAAGAACATAGTTTTCAAATCAAACTGCTAATGTAAGAGTGAAAATGCTATTTTTTTTGCTAATGATGAAACTCTTTTTTTTAACATTTCTTGATCACAGGTTAAAATGATATCATGTAATTACTTGAAAATACCTCATTTACAGCGTACAGTACCTTGAGTGGAGGTAAGTCCCTGTTTTCCCTAAGTTTTTGAGCTTTCTTTACAATACCAAAAAGAACGTCAGTATGTATAGTTCTCTCGTGAGCTTCATCTAATATTATAACATTGTATTCCATAAGCTGTCTATCAAATATAGCTTCTCTGAGGAGCATACCATCCGTCATAAACTTAATTTTTGTTTTCTTTGAAGTTTCATCTTGGAAGCGCACACTATATCCAACAAGTTCCCCCACTTGTGTCTGTAATTGTAAATCATCATTGTTCAAACAAATTCAAAGTTGATAAACAGTGACTTAGAATGCTTATAAAAAGTTGGGATAACTGAAATATAAAAAATTAATTCTTTTAAAACAGCTAAGCATAGAAGTTGCAATTAACTCGAGTCTAAAAAGTATACTTCCAATAGTTTCCTATCAACTTTTTTAAACTAAGTCCTATTTCTTTTATGCTGTGGGAACATAAAGTGAGGCAACAGGTAAATATTTTTTAAATACAAATTATAATGAAAAGGAAAACATGACCTGATTAATATTAATGGTTTCCTTAAAGCTTACCCCTTGCCCAATTTCTGCAGCAACTCTTGTCGCTATACTGATCGCAGCTACCCTTCTTGGCTGGGTTACGCCTATTTTTCCATTCTCATGTATTTGAGCTGAGTAGATAAATTGAGGAATCTGTGTTGTTTTCCCACTTCCAGTTTCTCCCAAAATAATCAAAGTTTTATGTTTCTGTACAAGTTCTATCAGCTTGTTCCTTTTATCGAAGATTGGCAGTTTTTTCCTCTGCTCTTGAATGCTCAATTTTGGTTTATTATTTGGGATAGTAGCCTTGTTTTCTTTACCGTTCAGCTTCATCCGTTTTGGACTCGGTGGCAGGCCATTTTTATTGCCGAATAATATCGGTGTAGGTTTATCTCTTATTTGGAATTTGTTTTTATTGTTCATACCATTCATCTGAGCGTTATTGTTGCCAATATTATACTTTGTATCCATTATTTGCTTATTTTCTACACGTGAAAATTCAAACCAACTTAACCTAATCTAAACACACCGTATCTCATAAAATGTCAAAGTCAAACGAAACGCACCGGTTACGTCAAAATGCGCAAAGAAGGAAGGATATCAAGAGAGAAACTCTTGCAGGGTCCCTAACCCAACAATTTTATTCTATAGCTTTGATTTATAGTTGGGGGTCGCGGCAGGTACAATCTCGCCAAGTTTATAATGTTTGAAAATAATCAGATGCAAGTAGCTATTCTATTATTAGATTTAAAGGTAGTAAGATAGTGGTTGGGATGTTAGAGGAGAAAAGATGGAGTACCTGAATACTTGTTTGGTGATGGAACCTGTATTCTGGCTTTTGTCATCCGTCTACCTAAGGCTATGGTGACATGTGTCATGCTGTCACGTCGTAGCAGTGTTACCAAGTCTACCGATTTTTCGGTAGATTTACCGATTTTGGTCCTGGTCTACCGAACTACCGATCTTAAAGCAAAATCTACCGAAAAGTAGACTTTTCTTTCAATTGCATAATTTTTGTTCCCTATATAAGAGAAATATTTCTGATGCATAGCGATAGAAAGAATGACAAAAGTACTATTATTATTCGTACTAGACCAGATATATTTTTATTCTCTTTGCATTGGTGAGCTATATACGCTGATTCTTCGCATCTTCGTGTACTTAGTAATTCCGAATTCGGTCACTATTAGTATTGCCTGACTTGCAGTCATTCTTTTTTTCGTGTGCGTGTGCCCATCATTATAAGGAAGACTGGGAAGAATTGCCAGATTTCCAAGGCTGGCTTAAAAAAGCAATAAAGTGCGATATGCATGCTCTGTGATATAGATATTAATATCAAAAGTGGAAGAGATGCACTTTTAAAACACGCAAATGGGCAATTTCATAAAAAAGTGCAAACCATAGCAAAACAGCAGTCATTTGCAGTTGCAGGTGCATCAAAGAAATTAGAAAATGAAGAAGATAAAATTAATTAACCTATTTGAGAAGATTTGAGATTATATAGATTAATTTATTATTTCCAGGAGAAATTCGTATCAGCGCTTTTTTGGCCGAGCATAATTTCCTGCTGATGGACCATTTGGAAAAGCAAAATTAGTAGATAATATGACTGATAAAAATTTATACAAAAATGAATCGGAAGAATGATTATGCAATATAACTTACAAATTTTTTATTTTTTACACTTTTTCTGTTTTTTTATTAAGAATACTTTATTTTTAGTTCGCTAAAGTGAGATATAAACTGTTTATTTTTGTTTTGCCTTTCTGTTTTAGAGTATATTTTGAGTTAAATAAAATTGTTTTAAGTAAATGCCTTCATTTACTCTTCGGTATCCAATCTACCGAAAAACTACCGAAAAATTCCATTCAATTCTACCAAAATATTGTCGACTCCACCTGGCAACACTGCGTCGTAGTCATGGCAACGGGAGGGGAATGTTGTCATGCCCTCAGCTTTTGTCGTTTTTCGATTTTTCTCTGCATTTTCCTCTCGGCGGAATGAAGCCGTGGATTGGTTATGGTTTGTTGACTTTTGGTGGACCGATGTCTGTTTGAGGTCTGAGGTTGCAGATAAATTGTGTCCGTGACCTAGGAACACATTAAAGTCGCCGGATTTTCTTTGCTATCGCCCTTAATGTTTGAAATACCTTCATGTTTTGTGCTGTGACATATACTCGATCGAAGACCTATTTTTAGTCCCTTCTCCCTTCCCTTGTTTTCATGTCATGCTATATGATATCATGAATGATGAGAAAGGACCATAAACACACCTTGTTTCAAGTACAATGTAATTTAGGAGCTAATTAAGGTGTGTTACTATCTCTTGCTTTTTGATGATCTATTTATTCATCTTGTCCCTTAAGCAGTCAAAATGGTTCGGGTGATATCTGTGCACCACTTTGCAAATCAACATGTACAAGTCATTGAACAACCTACAGCTTGCACTGTGGCCCCACCAAATAGACTGCTTTCAGCACTTATGAGCAACTGTGTAGAAGTAAGGGACTTGAACAATGAATCAGATGTACTCTTCTCATTTCCTACAGTTGACGAAGTAATACAGATAGTTCACTGTATTAATGGCAACTATGTCGCTACTCTTGAGACCAAATTCAATCGTCAGAATAAGGAGATTAATTTTGTCAGAGTGTATATCAACTGGGATAGCATTGCGACCCTGCAACAGTCGAAAATGACAAGTAGCGGAGTTAGTCTTGGGTCATCCGAATGTGGAATGGTGCAGCCTATGAGGGCAAGAATTGCTGGTAGAGTGACACCCACTACAAATCAGTCAGAGTTAAGCAGTCTTGAAATGATAGAAGTGCCTGTGAAAAAGAATCCCAATGCTATCGATTGTTGTCAGGTGAGATAGAACTTGTTTTTGAGCACATACTGTTTTCATATCATGATGTAAATTTGAAAGAGACAAAATTGTACAGACTAGTAATATAGCTTTCATTCATCTGACCAAAGACAGCCAGCAATGGACAGCTGGTGGATAACAAACAAAAGCTGAGTAACTCTACTCTGTTCAGAGTATAAGGTTTATTGAAATAAGACATGATGTTTCTGATTTTGCAGTGGTTGGTTATGGAAATAGATGTGCTGACTTTTCGTTAAATTTGCAGTTTTATATTTGTTTCATCAAAGCTAGTTTTATTTTTTTATTATTACGCTTGTGGTTGATAAGGATATTGTTTTCAGATATCAGGCAACCTTTTGGTACTTTCAGAGAAAACAGTTACCTTGTATGCGTTTCAAGTGAAGGTTCACGATATCTCCAAACTAAGATTCATAGACTTTGAAGAGTTGCCACTGACAATTGAGTTAGCCTTCCACCCTTTGCAAATTTTGTTATGTGAAAATTACATAGCATGTGCAAATAAGGATAGCATGCATCTTTTTAAAATTCTTGAGAGTGGTAAAGAACCCGCTGATATCAATGGTACTACTGAAAATGAGTTTAACTTTATTTGTAAGTATGAATTTTCATTTTATTGTGAATTAGATTGCATTGCCATACATTTACTTTAGGCTAGATCGGTACAGTATGTAACAAGGCAACATCACAAAATCAATTTGGATGACTGTTCATGATAGTTAGAAGCAAAGTAAATGAGAATTATTTTTTACATTTCCTAGATATGGAACAATAGATCTTCCAAACTTTTCTTTGCATTACATTTTGCTGAAACGTAACATTTTGTTAATTGTACTTGTGTTAACCATTTTAGATCCTAATAATGGTCCAATTGACTACAGAAAGCTATTGAGAGAAGAGATGTTACATACCACCAAAGATAAGATAACAGTAAATTTACCTACAATTGTCAAAGAAAATAGTATAATACACAAAAATAGTCCATTTACATTCAGCGATAAAGATATGATAGCAACAATCACATTGTCTTCTATGGAAGTAAGTAATGCAGCCCTTCTATGAGTTCCTTAGCATGGTAACTTCTATGTGTTTTATAAGAAACTGAAACCTTTGCAAATTGTTTTTGTCAAACCAGGTACAAATCTGATGGCAAGGGAATTTATACCACCATTAGTGCATTTCTCTGTGTGGTCCTTCTAACCCTCAACCATCAATTTTCCTGCTGCATATCCAGACTTCAAATACTTGTTGATCTGTGCTGACCACTGGCTGATGGACTGTTGAGGCAATCTGCACCTGTTTATGGATATAGAACCACCTGACATTAGGTCATTTTAAAAGGCGCTCAATACTCGTCCATCGCGATAGTGCTTCGTATAAATTGAACTACTTGAATATCATTCACCTGATAGACCTAAGTTACCGCGACGCTAAATCCCTGAAGTTTTTAGCGCCTTTGGCAGCCTTCATCCACTGATTTGCAAAGAGCGGCAATGTTTATGAGCTAGACGTGTAGTGGAAGAATCAATGGTGGGGATTGGGGATAGACACTAGATTTTTAGATTATGGCAAGTAGACCACTTCTACTCTCAGCCAGAATCATCAGCCATCTAGCGGCACGGCTATTAAACTCGAACTGAGATCTTTGACAGTTCCAACTAATAGCAGCGGTGCGCGATCGAAGCTAGTGCGATAGATGGCGCTTTGCGCTATCTCATACTAGATTTTTCATCCTTGTATGCGGCATTTCACACGAACTCGTGTTCGAAACTAGTTGAGGATTGTTGAAAGATTGATGGTACCAGCAGTGGTAGATCTTTTCATTTTGCAAATTTGGCGTGTCCTAACTTATACAATGCTTCAAAAAGGTCTCTCCCCAGCAAACTGATATTTTGGGTGATGGAATTGATGTTTATTTTATTTCAGCGACAGTTGAACATTTCAAATGGCGAAAGGGTACCATCTTGAAACATTTTATTACATAGAATGAGGTAGTTATGTTCCTCACTTAGAGGCTCCTTATAGGTTCTTTTTGATCCCAGAATATAAAATTGCTATCTCTGAGCATGTTATGTCAATCATCTTCACTTGGAAGAATCTATCTATCTATCCAAATAAACCTTTCCAAAAGAAGAATATTCGTATAAAATAAACAATCCAATGTACAAAAACGCTCAGTTTTGACATTCCATCAGTCTGCTTTTCTGAATGATAATAAATTTGTGGTGTCAGGCTATACAGTACTAACAGGGAGTTCAAAGTGAGGTAAAACGTTGCTATCTATTCCATTTAAGGAAATGTCGCCATCTTCAAATTGTAAACTGTCACTTTCATTTTAAAATATAGAATTCATGCATCACTTGATTCCAAATTTTGGCTTGCTGACTTGACTCAATCAAAAATAAGTGGGGGTAGGCTTTTCTAAAGCTCTGTATGTATTTATTTACAGAATAAAACACAAAACTATAGGATAGAAAATTTAATACAACTGAAACTTATACCGATTTTGATCGAGAGTGCGCAAAGACAGGTGACAGAAGAATTCAAAAGTATAGTGTTAAAACCTCTACACATAGACCAAAACTTGAACAAATCCAAAACCGGACCTGATTCGAGGTTTTTAAGAAGTGATTATAATAAATGCCTTAATAGTGTAGTCTGTGTTGTTGCTACACAGCAGGAGGGATATTTATATCATTTTGATGATGCAGGTAGATTATTGTTGACTCTTTTTTCTACATTTTCATTACCATTTAATTTTTTTTATTGTACAGTATTAGACAATTTCAAGAGGTTGTGCAAAATCCTGCTGAAGTAATATAGAAGGGTTGTGTCTGTTTTAGATCCCTGCATAGACCGAGATAACTGTTTGGCAATATATCCATTTACGGCACCTGTATTCAAAATTGTGATGGAAGATTACTTTTTACATGCTCTAACTGAAACAGGCTTGGAATCATATACGCTGAGATATGGACATCAAATGTGCCGAAATTTTGATGTCGTCGATAATGTGAATGCCGTATGTATCTTCTTCTACATAATACTTTTGTAGTATGTGTCTACGTATATATATGACTGCAACCTAACTATAGTACGATCACAAAGAAAATAATACAGTTAACTGGTTGTATATTGGCATAGAACGAGGAATTTTCGGTATGATACGCGACTTTTAAAATAAAAGGGGATAATTTCGGCAGAGATGCCAATTCCATATTGGAACACTTGTCTTTAAAATAACTGTGAAATATGTTGTGATGCAGTCTGTTGGAGTTCCGTCATACGAGGGTGGTCCCAGAAGTACCCGGCCTGACCTAGAGATGGCGATAGTTGCTTGAAAAATATTATTGTATTAGAAAGTATGCAATCTATAAAGCATATGTGTCAAGTTTGAAGACGCCACGTTGTTTAGTATTTGTTTGGCAGCCATCAATACTGAACGTTTTACAGTGAATTTGTGAAAATGGAGAAAATTGGTCATCGTTATGTGGTACCATAACTTTTATTTCAAATGCCTCAGCCCAATCAATCTAAAAGTTGAACTGGATTCTACTCTGGGTGAGTCTGCTCCTTCGTTTACAACAGTAAAATATTGGGTAGCAGAGTTTAAACGAGGCCGTATGAGCTGCCAAGACGAGCATCGCAGTGGTCGACCAAATGAGGTGACGACTCCAGAAATGGTGAAGAAAATTCACAAAGCAGTACTGAATGATCGTCGACTGAAAGTGCACGAGCTGGTAGACAAAGTAGGCATTTCAAAAAGTGCGGTTCATCGCATATTACCTGAAAATTTGGACATCAGAAACCTGTGAGCAAGATGGGTGCCGCGATTGCTCACAATCGAGCAAAAACAGTGTCGTGAAGATGTTCCAATTGAGTGTTTAGCGAAGTTTCATAGCAACAAAGCAGAATTTTTGCGTCGTTTCATAACCATGGATGAAACATGAGTCCATCACTTCACACTGGAGACAAAAGAACTATCAAAACAATGTACTCAAAAGGGACAACCGGCTCCAAAGAAGGCGAAGAACGTTTCATCTGCAGGCAAGGTTATGGCGTCGTTTTTTTGGGATGCGCCTGGGATAATTTTCATTGACTATATTGAAACAGGTAAAACTATCAACGGCGAGTATATGCGAACTTATTGCAACGTTTGAGCGATGAAATCAAGCAAAAACGGCCGCATTTGGTTAAGAAGAAAGTGTTGTTTCATCAAGACAATGCACCAGCTCACAAATCCGATATTGCAATGGCCAAAATTAACGAATCAAAGTTTGAATTGCTACCTCATGCACCCTGTTCACCAGATTTAGCCCCCTCGGATTATTTTCTGTTTTCAAACTTGAAAAAATGCCTCAGTGGTCAAAGATTTTCCAACGATGAAGAAGTGATGTCGGCAGTTAATGGCTATTTTGAGGAGCAAGACAGTTCTTATTATTAAAAGGGTATCGGACTTATTGAACATCGCTGGGAAAAGTGTATAGAGCTCAAAGGAGATTATGTTGAGAAATGAATAAATTTTTTTACAAAATTTTTGTGTTTTTTTCGTTGGGTCGGGTACTTCTAGGACCATCCTCGTATGTAAACTGTTCCGGAAGTCGCAGTCAAGCCAGACACGGGGATACGCCAACACATTAGTTATCAGTTATTTTTCAAGTTATAGGTTTAAAAAAATCACGTTTTCTTTCAAACCATACTGTGATCTGTAACTGTGTAAATTCATGTAACCTTCTTTTTTAAAAGTCGACTCGTCAGTTCATAAAATTTTCTCTAAAAATCGCGGACCTTGCCGGTGTCTCTGTAACATTGTTTGACAAAACTCATCTCTTGGATCATAATCCCGGGTTGTAGAGATTGTAATGGCAGTACGTGGTATGTGTGGAGCTCGTTCTTTCTCTTGATTTGCTGGGCTATATCTTTGGCCACCCCCGTGCTAGCTTCTATTTGACGTACTGTAGTACTTGGGTCTTCTTCGACTGCGTTTAGTACGTTCTTGTAAGGAAAGGAAATTTTTCCTCCACCATGTGTTTGATTTGAGAATGGACCCTCTGAGAGTATATGGTGCACATTTACAAAGACTCTGTCTAAGAAAAAAATGATTTTTTTTGTAATGGGAATTAAGAGATCATCCCAAGTTGTATACAGGGTGGGCCATTTAAAGTGGGAGCATTTGTTTATAAAAAAAATATTTTTTGTTCATTTGAAAAGTCTTTTATTTTGATCTAAGGAGATTTGTTGTAATTACTTTTCAAAAATGATATCGCGCAAATGGCCACCTCTCGCCTTGATAGCCAAATATGCCCTTTTTTCGGCGTTTTCATCACGTTGGCCAATGTTTCGCCAATTTTCTGACGAATATTGTTCTTGAGGGCAGCTGGAGTCCTTGGCTTGTTAGCGTATACCTTGGATTTCAAATAGCCCCACAAATAAAAGTCTGGTGGCGTCAAATCAGGTGGTCTCGGTGGCCAGTCAAAATCTCCATTTTTCGATATCAGTCGCCCAGGTAATAATGGTCGCAATAAATTGATTGTTGCTTGAGCTGTGTTGCATGTGACGCCGACCTGCTGGAACCAATAATCGTCCATCTCATTTTCACAAACAATTAGTCTCAAAAAATTCGTTATCATGGCTCGATAACGCTCACCATTGATGGTTACTGCAGCTCCATCGTCTTCAAAAAAATACGGCCCGATGACCATATTCGCGCACATACCGCACCAAACAGTAGCTTTTTCGTCATAAAGAGGCTGCTGTTCGATTAATTGAAGGTTTTTGGTAGCATAAAACCAACAATTTTGTTTACTTACGCCTCCATGTAACGAAAAATGTGATTCATCGGACATGATGATTTTTCGCCAAAAGTCATCTTCATTTTCGGCCATTTCAATGCTCCATTTAGCAAAATCAAAGCGACACGGATAATCAGCTGGGTTTAAAAGATGAGCCATTTGAATTTTGTATGGAAACATCTTCAAATCCTTACGAATTATGCGTCGGATAGTGGTTCGAGCGATGTCTAACTCTTGATAACGATGACGACCGGATATTGATGAAGTCTCTTCAACACTGGCTCGTACGGCTTCGATATTTTCATCGGAACGTCTTGTTCGTTGTCTGGATAGGTGACTGGCATTACTAAGACTACCGGTATTCACAAATTTTGCGTATAAACGTCTGATAGTGTTATCAGCTGGAGCACTTTTGACTTCATTTTTTTCTAAGAAACGCAGGTTTAGTTTTCATGATTGAGAAGTTATTTTAAATGTACAACCGAATAATTTCTGAGCGTTGTTTTGGTGTGTACTGTTCCATGGTTAAACCTGTACTGAAATGACGCTTCCAACGCGGTATGACATTAGTCGATCTGACAACTAATGTCAAAGATATAGGGTTGCTTGATGCTTCCACTTTAAATGGCCCACCTTGTATTTGTCCGATTTTTCCAAGTTTTTTAAAGCATATAATATGAAAAGTTCACGACTTAGATTTTTTATATTTTGCTGGTAACTATTATGACTTGGCCTGTCCCCCGTTTCCGGTTTGATGTCGACTTCTGGGACTCCCTGTAATTATGCAAATTTATTTTTAGGCATGTCCTCCAGTCACGGATTCAATATGTCTAGTTGGTTTGCGACCATTCTTAGGTGTAGAACAGATATTATTAGCTGAAAACCATTTGGTGTTGCTTGCAAATTCCGAAATCTCACCTGCTCATTCTGTCAGCTCCAATAGCAGGTACTAGTATTTCACTAACTACTGCCTTGAATCAGAGTATCCACAGAGTTTTCCGCATACGTAAACGTCTCGTCAATTTGCCACAAACGTGCATCAATTGACTTTAACATCAAGCAAGGTTAACATTTACGTATGCGGTATTTGTAATTTCCAGAACTCTCTAATACTTCAAAAATATCTTTCTAATTGCTTCTAATGTTTTAGTTCAAATGCATCATTTCTCACCCTGTACAATTTGGAATTGCCTGCCCCAAAAATGATCTTCAATGATATATCGATAGTGGCTAATGTTCATCGTTTCACTTCCGTACAAACCTATTGCCATCTGATGAGTGAGGCTCACATGATTTTGAGGATGGTGGTACTACTAAAAAAATGGTGCTTAACCGATGAAAATGTTAAATTAGTAGTGCCGGTAAAGCTGAACAACGACGATGTCATAGAAACCTACAGAACCTCTTGTGCTTTACTGGGAGATCATTTCATCATGTAAGTTTAATGTTTCATGTCCTACAAGTTATGTGTTTTACGCTAAAATAACGTTCTAGGTGCAATAATGAAAACGAATATAGTTTAGCAATACCTTACTACAAAATGGCAAGAGTTCTTCCACACGAGGTGTTAAGAAGGATTAAGAAAATCCAGGAGCAGTCCGGAAATCAGGTATAACTTGTGTAGCATGTGTACCAATATGTTTGTACTTTGATAAAAAAATAGGTTCCTAAGAAAATTGCATCATCTTTCTTTATTTCAGTCGACCAAAGGTCTGATGTACTACTTGAAAAAGACCCTATTGGAAATAAACTCTGGTGTAGATGCTGATAGACTGTTTGGGCCAAATTCGAAACAAAACTTTTCAGAAGCCATATTTGAGTTACTAGAAGTTCATGGATATGAAGATCTCCCGAATTTGATTTTGAAAAGTAGAATTATCAGAGAATACTCGACGGATAAGCTGATCAGCATCTTGTCTAATAGAATCTCAGAGTAAGTTACATGATTTTTGTTTGCTTATAACCGTTTTTCTGACGTCCCAGAAGTATACGTCAAGCCGGAAACGGGGGATAGGCCAAGTTATAATAGTTATCAGAAAAATATAAAAAAATCTATGTCGTCTACTTTTCAAATTATAGGATAAAAGATCATCACAGCGTGTAGATTTTACCGACTTTTGTTAAAGCTTAGTACACGACTTAGATTTTTGTATATCTTTCTGATAACTATTATGACTTGACCTATCCCCAGCGGCGGCTCGTGGTCTATGATACAGGGGGTTCACAAGTGGTATGAAATCATTTTTTTTCCACCACCAAAAGTGTTTTCTTATGCGTGACGTAGAATGCAATAAGAGTACTAAAACAAGCATCAAGGACACATTTCTTGTTATTTTTTTTATTATACACAAGAAAATACATTTATAAAAAGTACAATTTTTTTAATGAGTAGAGTGCTTAAACGTAAAGTCCATTCTCCTGTTTTTATTTGCAGAAAATTTATCAATAACAACCTCATTAAAGTTTGGAATACACTCTATAAATTTTTTCTCGATAGAAAGCATTGCTAGGGGTCACAGTCTTTCTTCATTCATAGAACTTCGCAAACATGTTTTTATTCTCTTTTCGGCCGTAGTAATTGGAATGGTAACCATTATTTGTAAAAGTGTAAAGGTGACAGAAAATATGATCCGAGGATTATTTTCTATAAAAAACTGTAACAAACTAATGGAACCTCTCATGTTTCTGAAATCAGGTCGCCGGTAAATTAATTCCAATTCAGTCTCTAGGCGAACTTTATCTAAAAACGAATATGCTTCTACTACAGTTTCCAAATATTGCAATGGAAAATGCTTTTCAAATTGTGGAAATTTACCAGAAGAAAAAAGAATAGCTGCATTTAAATGTTTTGTAAAAGAAAATCTATCTGTTACGTGTGTACGTAGTCGTGCCATAAGTTCTGTCCCATGATAATCTCATGATAAAAATGAAACAAGATAAGATATATTTATATGAAAGATATTATTTATTCGACAACATTTTTAGAATTCATAATCAAACAGTTTTATTCAAAATGTCCCCCCTTGGCCTTCACACACTGCTTCAATCTCGCGGGCCACTCATCTATCACTGCACGCACAGCTTCCAAAGGAATAGCTGCCGCTGATCGGATCAAATCCGCTTTCAGGGACTCGATATTACGGTGGGCTTTGGAGCAGGCCAACTGCTCTAGCAGGTCCCACAACTTGTAGTCTAAAGGATTGAGGTCCGGACTCCCTGAGGGCCAATCTTCCGCAGCAATGAACTCTGGCACATTGCTTTCCAGCCAGCGCTGCGTACTCTTAGCCTTGTGAGCGGGGGCGGAATCCTGCTGGTAGACCCAGTGTTGGTTGGCAAACAATGTACCACTTAAAGGCTTGACGATAGGATCCAGTATGTCGCTCTGATAGTTTGCCGCTTTTGTTTTCACGCCCTGTTTACAGAAATGGAGCTGAGTGACCCCTTCGTAGGACACCCCCCACCAAACCATGACTGACGCAGGGTGGTGGCCTCTTTCAACTCTCGGAATGATCTCCGAAGCTTCCTGTGAACTCCTTGCATACACTTTGTCATTTTGTCGGTTGAATTTTTCTTCTATGGTGAAGATTTTCTCATCCGTGAACAAAATCTTTCGGAATCCCCCAGCTGCGTACCTCTCCAAGAGCTTCTTGGATCTTGTCGCCCTGATGTGTCGCAAGGTGGCCGTAAGTCGCTGGCCCGTACGTCTCCGGTAAGCCCCTAGCCCTAGGTCTTGTTTAATGATGCGCGACATCGTCCGGACAGGAATCTTCATTTCCCTGGATAGGATCTTCTGCTTCCGGAATGGATTCCTTTGAATCCTGGCTTTTACGGCTTTGATGGCTGCTGGAGTCCTTACTTGACGAGGTCTTCCGCTTCTTGGCCTGTCATCAACAGAGGACGTCTCATTGTACCGCTGAATGGTCCTAGACACAAATTTACGCGATATTTGAAGGCCGCGTAAGAGTTCAAAAATCTGACTAGCACTGTGATTACACTTATGTAAAGCTATCACTGCAATACGGTTCTCTGCCTTGCCCCACTCCATCGTTATGCTTCGAGAGATCAATACAAACTGAGGTATATGTAATTACCCGAAAAGCGCTTAATCAACTGACACCACAATGTAAACAATCGGACAAGTATTAACAGGTCTACACTTGTTTGAAAACGAGGGACAGAACTTATGGCATGACTACGTAATTATGGTATCACAAACTTCCTTGGCTGCTACAGTTCTGCAAATATGCTGGTCTTCATTTGCACGACACCTTTTAGTTTGAGTAGTAGTGGTATCCTCAGAAATTTCAGTTTCAATTGTTTACAAGCAGTCTTTCTTTTTTTGGATGCAGTTTTTAAAACACTTTATGGCAGTCTGAATTTGCACTGGGTCACTCACTGTCTTTTGTAACTGATTATATAAAATATCAGCATGTGTCAATATTCGATGAAATACAGTCAGCCAGAACACAAACTTAGAATCTTGTAACATACCGCCGATACCAGTAGCTTGATTGATGGTAACAGTTTGTTTTGAAGTAGCTTCTATTTTTTCCATGCATTCTATTAACAATTCGCGACATTCATATACTGTATTTTTAGATCTGCTTTTAAAATTCAAACTGCAACTCGTTGTGGAGAACACTAGCGCCATCATAACTTTGAGCTATAAGTTTCTCTGGTTTATCTAGCACTTGTATTAAATTAGTTTTCACACATCGGGCCAGTGGTGACTCACCAGTTGAGAGCTACGAGATCGGTTTGATGTTATACGATTAAATATCAGGGAGGCTCGGACTTTATGTGAGAAATTATTATTATTGTCATTTATTTTGGGGGTGCACGTGCTGCCTATCCCGCGTCTCCGGTTTGACGTCGATTTCTGGGACACGCTGTATAAATTGCAAAAGACCATTTAGCACCACTTAAAATCCTTGAGAATCAAATATTTCTTTAAAACAACTTACTAATTGGTCAACCAAAAGAGTAAACTTCATTGCAAGGGTTTTCTAGAAACGCGTGTGAGGCAATTTTATTGAATGTCTTCAATAAGTATTATGTAAGACTTGCTAAGTAGCTGGTTCTGATATTTGTGAAGCTACTATCGAAGTATATCACGAGTCTGACAGACGTTTTTGTCATTGAATTAATAAACAAGTTAATCGTCAAAACCCTACATGTGATTTGTCGCTGATTGCCTTTTTTAACATTTCTAGGAAATCTCCAAGGCTGGCTGAAAAATACTTGGCATTAGCGATATTATATATCCAGAAATGCAATACCAACAGTGCAAAGGAAAATATAGAGAACATTTCACAGCAAAGCTTATGCGATTTGCTTTTAGAAAATTATAACCTTGTCTTTGAAACAACATATTCACCACAAAGTAAAAGCAAGGGAGTTACCACATTTTCTGAATTGACTATCCTCTTGATAACAGTTTGCCCTGAATTACTGTGCACAATTTTTGTTACTCTAGTCATTGATAAGAAGGTTATCAATCTGCACAAGTTGCTTAAAGTATTTATAGAATATTTACCTTCTAGTATAGGCAACGACTGTAATTTTGCCAGTGTCGTATTGCAGAAAACTTTGGAAAACTATTTCGAGAGGTACTTTTCTAAACCTGAAAACATAGATTTGTCAAAAATTATATATGAAAGGGGAGCTGGAGAAGCTGTTAAACTGCTGGTGAGATCGTACTTGAGCCAGTTACAGATATTGCAAATGAAGGAACAGCAAAGCAGTAAAGATGGGAGATATGTAGCGTAAGTATCAGGCATAGCTTACTTAAAATCTTGGAAACTTTACTATAAAAATCATGCAAGTAGCTGCCATTTGGGTAGAGCATTTATAGCCCCCGTTTTGCATACCCCCGAGTGTATTACATACATACGTATTTGACAATCTTCGCTAATGTAGATCACGCAGGTTTGAACAGGTTACAACTTGTGCGCGCCACCGCTATCGTGCTCGACGCGTAAGCATTGTTTTACTTAGTTTGAATTTGACTACTGCTAATAGCGGTACGGCCTAGCGTGCGTTCATTGTTTACTATTTATTCATTGTGTATTATTAAGTATAGTACCTAGTAATGTCATCACAAATTCAGAAGCGAAAGCACAAAACATTGACAATTAAAGAAAAATGTAATATTTTGGACCGCTTAAATCGCAATGAAACTTTCAGTAGTTCAGCAAGTGAATACGGCGTAGGCCGATCTACAATTTATGACATTAAAAGAAACCACGAGAAGATCAAGAAGTTCGTGTCAACTACTGACTGCGGGACAGGCAAGAGACAGACAATCAAGAAAGCTGATGTGGTTTCTTCAGGAAAGAAATAGGCATGTACCAATTTCAGGACCCATGTTGGCCATGAAAGCTAAGTTTTTTTTATAAGGAAATAACAAAACAAGATGATTTTGGTGGCCAGCAAAGGATGGCTAGAACGTTTTAAAAGTCGTCATGGCATACGTTTAATGACTATTACAGGAGAGAAACTTTCTAACGATGCCGCCTGCATAGAGCTTTTTGAATTAAGATTTTTGCAAAAGGTGAACGATTTAGATCTTGACCCGTCACAGGTGTACAATGCAGACGAATCAGGGCTTTTTTTGGCGTGTGATGCCTAACAAAACTTTCGTTTCTTGTAACGAAAAATCCGTACCAGGACGAAAAGTAAGTAAAGAGCGTGTAACCATACTACCATGTGCTAACGCTGCGGGCACACACTCGCTTAAGATGATGTCATTGGGAAATCTAATAAACCACGGGCATTCAAAAACATTGATTTACCTGTACACTATTACGGACAAAAAAGTGCATGGATGACAAAAGACCTTTTCAAAGAGTGGTTTGATGAATGCTTCGTACCTGAAGTTAGAAAATGGTTAAAAGATCATAATTTTCCTCAAAAATCGTTGTTGCTTCTGAAGAAAAACTAACAACTGAGGATAAATGCATCACTGGGATGTTTCTTCCGCCAAATTGCACTGCACTGTTTCAACCAATGGACCAGAATATCATTCAGTTTGTCAAGCAACACTATAAGAAAAACCTACTTCTGAGAGCCGTATCAAAAGACCAACCAATAGAAAAAAACTTTAAAAGAATTTAATATGAAAGACTTGGTTTTTGCTCTTTGTCAGTCGTGGAATGCGTTACCGTCATCAACTATTAAATCGTCTTGGAAAAAGTTATGACCAGATATATTCACCACTCCTAGCAACGTTCCACAAATCAGTGTTACTTCTGTTATAGAACAAGTAGCTACTGAAACACAGATAAGTTCGGAAGATTTGGAAATCTGGTGCCGTGGAATGGATAAAGAGGAAAATGTTTTTCATGAAATGTCTGACGAAGAGATTATAAAAGAGGTTTCTAATTATACAACAAACAATCAGGAAAATAACGACTACGTGATTGCAACTGCTCCACAAGTCACAGCGCAAGACGCAATTAACGCCTTTGAGCTAGGTTTACAATGGGCTGAAGAGAATGGTACATCCTACAACGAACTTTTACTTTTGAGAAGACTGAGGGACAAAGCTCTGATCTCGCGTTATAACAACCTTAAACAAAAAAAAAATTGATGAATATTTCCAAGCTTCATAATTTGATAAATTCATTAATGATTTTGATTAATAATTCTTGATTATTTTGGTACATATGTATGTGCATTTATGCTTAATTTTATAATAAAACGTAAGCTCTCTATTATTTAATTTACTAAATTCAACATACATAACCTATGTATGATTTGTACTTTAAAGTACATACATATACATAACACATATAATTTTACCATTGGATATGTAATTTGTCGGATTACAAGGTACTCTTTTGTAAAAAATTCCGGACTATAGGGGGTCTTAGGCAGTGCTCTATAATCCGACTAATTCGATAGTCCGACACTGCCCTGCATAATGTTTGTCGGATTACCGGAGGTCCACTGTATTAATTTACTAAAGTGCCGCATCTTCATGACCTCCTAATGAAGGTCAGGCCGTCCGACCATTCTTCTGAATAACCAAATTGACCGACAAATTCCAGAGCCCTTTATATCTCAGCCCTTAGACCGCAATAGTCCAGAAAGTGGAACGCTGTTTCGTCCTCCTCCCAGCACATGGCTCATGTTGGGTCTCTCTTCACCCTTAAAAGGGATAAGTGTCTGTTCAGTCTGCAGTGGTCGGTGAGAACCCCCCACCAAAAGGTTGACCTGGCTCCTGCTTATGCCCATCCTAAGCTCGGGACCGATGCAAGTGGTTCTGGACCCCAGCCCAACCAGGCGATAAGCTTTCTCGTTTGCCCGGCTCTCCACTGTGTCCGGGGACCCAAAGCAGGGCCTCCTCTTTAGACCTTGGGCATGCCGCTGCCTTGAGGGTTGCTTGACTGTCGGATGATATGAATATGCTACGCTCGGTGCACTGCTGAATTTACTCTGAGTATCCCATCGTTATGATGGCAAATATCTCTGCCTGGAAGATCGATGTGCAGATTCCAAGCGCAACGCTTTCCTGTATGTCTTTCCCTTCCAAAAACATTCCCGACCGACTGGATACCGTTTTCTTGGAAAAGGATCCGTTAGTGAAGCATACGAGACACTGAGGCGAGAATGTTATTTCTAATAGTCATTAAACGTATGCCATGACGACTTTTAAAACGTTCTAGCCATCCTTTGCTGGCCACAAAATCATCCTTTTCTGTTATTTCCTTATAAAAAACTTAGCTTTCATGGCCAACATGGGTCCTGAAATTGGTGCATGATTATTTCTTTCCTGAAGAAAACACATGTACAAAGCTTCTTCCACTTCTGGATGTTCAGCTTTCTTGAGTGTCTATCTCTTGCCTGGTCCGCAGTCAGTAGTTGACACGAACTTCTTGATTTTTTCGTGGTTTCTTTTAATGTCATAAATTGTAGATCGGCCTACGCCGTATTCACTTGCTAGACTACTGAAAGTTTCGTTGCGATTTAAGCGGTCTAAAATATCACATTTTTCTTTAATTGTCAATGTTTTGTGCTTTCGCTTCTGAGTTTGTGATGACATTACTAGGTACTATACTTAATACATAATGAATAAATAGTAAACAAGAAACGCACGCTAGGCCGTACCGCTATCACCAGTAGTCAAATTCAAACTAAGTAAAACAATGCTTACGCGTCGAGCACGATAGCGGTGGCGCGTACAAGTTGTAATCTGTTCAAACCTGCGTGATCTACATTAGCGAAGATTGTCAAATACGTATGTATGCAATACATATTCAAAGACATGTCGGATTACGGGGGCGCCGGATTAGAGGTCAGAACAAAACTAATAACTTGACATAGAAGGACCACTATACTATCAAGTTAGCTTAAGTGATGATTTGTCACTTATCAACTAACAAGTCGCATTTTTTATCAGCACAAATGAAAACAATGACAAATACACCTTCGACGAGGACGACGACTTGAACAAAGATAGACATCAAGAAAAATTAGGTTACAACCATATAAGCCAGACCTACTTTGAAGAACAAAAGAAGAAACCGAAAGGCAGCTATCTCTTCTCTAATTTTCGATATGAGTACCTGGATAAAATGCCCCCCTTCCAAATAGACATCACCTCCAAGTTGTACGAGACTAGCGTGGAGGATTATCCAGTAAAGCAAGAGTGGCAACCTAACGAAGAAGCAGATTTGGTGTTGAAAAAGTTGCAGGCTTTACTGTGCAGCCAGGTGGTACCAAAACAAGTAATGACAGAAGTGAATACGTATTTGTCCGTCAACGAAAATCTCAGAGGAAGTGAGAGTTTAATGTCTATCATTATGGGGACGAACGATGCAATTCTGTTGTTGATTGATGCTTGTCCGCAGTGTCTATTACAGTTTGGAAAGGTAAGTTGTCGCCTTAGTAATTATTGTACCCAGCAGGAATACTCCGGCCAGTTGTGGCACCAGTGCTGAAAATGTCGACCAAAGCCGTAAGAAGTCAATAGCGAACTCTTAAATGTTTTATTTTCACTTTCAGGACCGTTTCTGCAGAACGGATGAGTGGAAATTCCTTATAGCTACAGTACAAAGAAGAATCTTAAGGTTATCACAAAATGGGGATTTGAAACGGGTGTGTTTTTTCCATAAGAAAATTCTCAAAGGTTAGTATGCTTTATTACTTTTAAACCCTCTGTTTCTATAAAACTGGGAATCGACTGGTGAACGTGAGCGCCCGGAGAATCCGTTTGGACCTTCAAGTTTGTATATTTAGCAAGATTTAGTGTAAGACTTTGAAGATTTTTACTCTTTGCCCCCTTCCCCGAGAAAATTTGCCGACGGGGGGTAGCAAATTTACCCCCCGCTCTTCAAATTAAATATTCGAAATATAGTCTAATCATATTAGACGAAAATACCCATGGTTTCGTAGACGTTATAATATTTGACTTGTACGAAAAACTCTAAAGGGTTCAAGAATGATGAAAACTATCCCCACCCCTACATAAATAAAATTATAACAGAATTTTTCGGCAACTCTCCCGACGACTCTGTTTTTTTATTTAGTAGATCGTTTTATTTAGTCCATTTGTTGTCTCCTATAAAAACAGACCAGCTCGGATAGTTTTCGAGAAAGAAATGAGCTGCATCAAAAGGATCCCAAACATCTGATTAATTCTTTAAGCGTAGTTAGCGAAAATAAACAAGTATGATATTATTTATTACAGTTCTATTTAATACGGGCATAGTGCGAATATTTCATAAAAGGTATTCAGTATGACTACGAGTCTCGTTCCTGCACACGTAACTGTCTCTAAGACGTCATTATTCTTTAATGTATTTGCAGCATTAAAAATTCTGTCCCATAGTTGATTGGCGTTGTCTATCTGAACCTCGTATACCTTCGTTTATAATGCTCCCCATATAAAAAAATCGCGAAGATTAAGATCCGGGGAACGAGGTGGCCATTGAATAGGAGCTTCTTGACGTATACCAATCCATCTACCATCAAATTACTTTCTTACAGCTCGCGCAAAGTAAGATTTAACACAATCATACTTAAAAAACATGTCTCTTTTTATATTCAGAGGGAGTTCTTCCAATAATTCAGGTAAAACGCACTGTAGAAAATAAAGATGGCTATCTCCGTTTAATTTATTAGGCAACCTATATTATCCAACTAAAAAGTTACAAATAATCCCCATCTAACTGTTAATTTTAAATTCCCATTGAAAATGTCTTTCTTAAACTGCATACGGATGTTCTTAGGCGTAAACATGTATGTTAAACAAATTTATCATACCACGTCGGGTATAACTTGACTCATCTGTAAAAAAAGTTTTTTGTGAAATGTCCTATCAGGATGCTCTGGATTCTGATACATTTTGTCCAAATCTCAAACGTGAGTAACGGTCACTAGGCAATAATTCCTGGACAGGCTCAGCGTGAAAAGAACGAAATAATTGTTGTTGTTGTTATTTAGCATTAATGCTACAATGTCAATTTTGTATAATGATTCGGTTACATATTTTTCTTCAATCCATTTTCTGTAATTTTACATTCTTGTCTATTAAAATTAAAATTAAAATTACGTCACTATGTATTTTGATTATTCATAAAGTGATTTTTTAATTTCACCTTAAACATTTTTAAATATGAACTCTGTTTAATATCATTATTCCATTTATTAAATTCAAATGATTGTTTAATTTGAATATGAAAACCAGAACTAAATAATATATGAAATTTTTCACATCCAACCACTGCAGCTCCGCTAACATAGACTTAATCCTAGCATATTTGTTTTTATTTAAAATGATTCTCACAGCTTTATTTTGTAGAATTTGTAATTTTGAAAATATGTTTTCATTTGCTGTAAACAAGATGGTTGAACAATATAAAAAATGGGGAAGAATTATAGTGTTATACACAATTTTTTTGGAATACATACTAAGATTGTGGGAAACTCTATAGAAGTAATTTACGTGTTTCGATATTTTTGAAATAATGTATTCATAATGTTCGTGAAACAGTAGCTTACTATCCACATATATACCATGATATTTAAATGACTCGACTACTTCAATTTTGTATTGTCACCTAAATTTTTCCCTGTTGACATACATTTGTTTTTATTAGTGTTTAATTTAAGTTTATTGACATTTAACCAATTCATAATTTTTTCAATATCACTATTTAACAGTTCTAAAGCAGTGTCCAAATGCTTATGTGCTATATATATATATATAAGTGCATCGTCCGCAAATATTTGAATTTTGCAGTGTTAGAAAATGTCAGAGATATCATTTATATAAATAATAAATAGTAACGGCCCTAATTTACTCCCCTGTGGCACCCCTTTTGATATATATTGAATACTTGACGTAATATTTCCAACTTTAGTTCTTTAACTTCTATTTACTAAATAATTTTGTAAAATGTTGTTCATTTAACATCCGGTTCTGTTCTAATCTGCGAGTGCTGATACTTGGATCTTCAAAAATAGCTTCTTCCTTGACTCTTAGAGGTTGGAATCGACCGATTTTTATGTGTGCATCTGACGATTTGGAATTCATTTTCATTTTCAAACAACGAAGTAAATTGAAGGCTATTTTGAATAAAGAAATTCGTTGAGAGAGTTGCGCAAAAATTCTGCTATAATTTATGTAGGAGTGGGGGTAGTTCTCACTTTTCTCGAACCCATTCGGGATTTTTGAAAAAGTCAAATATTAGGACGTCAAGCAAAGCATATGTTTTCCAAATTTCATTCAAACACGCCTATCGGTTCCACAAGTATCTGAAAAAATGTGTTTTGAAAAGAAAACTGACGCTGCCTAACGGACAAACGAAGCACTTTTGCATAGATGTAAATCATGTCCAGTCGACTTAGCTTGAGCCTAAACATATGTGCTACAACTATGTCCAAGGAATATTGGGACACCCTGTATAATACGCGGCGTTGAAGAGAAATCTTCGTATAACTTTCCGTTTAATTTCAGATATTCTGACGCACGTGGCGTCATCCATGACACTGGAACAACTGATGCAAGTCTTTCCACAGCGTTTTAGCACGACTAATATCGATTCGAATAAAGAATCATCAGACATTCTTGAAAAAGCAGAGTATCTCGATAGAGATGCGGATTTACTCAACGAAATTCAGACGTACGAACCGTACATAATGATCTGTAAGGAAACTATGCACGCTAATCAAATCAATAAATTGATCACGACTACAGGACAGCAGCTGCTGTGCTCTTTGAATTTGTGAATTGGTGCTTCGTCATTTATTCTCAAATCGAACAGTATTTCCCTTGGTCAGTACCTATAATAAACGAACAAGCAAGAAAAATATATTTGTTGACTATCATGATACTTGATAGTCACTTGTTGTTAGCACCACTTATGGACTATGTAAATTAAGACTTAATGTAACAATATAAGTCTGTCTATTGCTGATATCACCTTTCCATAAAGATTTGTATATGAATAACAAAATTTTTGCACTTTGTATCATATATTGTTTGTATAAGCTCACAGACATACTTTTTTAGTTTTGACTCATGTTGAAGATTTTCGTGTCATCGTATGAGTCGTCCACATTTATGGTTGTCACTTGTCATGGATGTAGGACTTACCGTTTATTGATCTTCGATACAAAGGATTACAAAGAAGAACAAAAAATGTAAGTCTCAATTTTGAATTTCTGTAAAAAACAAACTAAAAGCGTTCACGTTCTTAGAATTCTTTTAAAAACTACTCTAGTAGCCACAAGTAGTAGTTTTCAAATCAATTCAAAAATGGAAACTTACATTTTTTTGTTCTTTTTTGTAACCCTTTGTGTGTTTATAAATAAAAAACTACATGCTGCTGGCAAGTAATGTTGATTTTGTAAGATTGGTACATCACCCATTAAGATGAATTAATCATTAGGTGAACACACTCTTTATTTTTTTTAATTTCACTTTGTGTATTACATTTTGGAGTTTTTACTAAACAAAAATAAAAAAAATCTACATAATTGATGCCGTTGGGCTAAAAACATAGATATGCCTGTTGACAAAATTACAATGTCGACAATCGTTGTTGAATTTATTGATATACAGTGAAAGCTCTCCTTGCGGACAGCTCCTATAAGCGGCCATCTCTTTTAACCGGACAAAGTTCCTGGAACCGAATTTCAGCCATCAATTTTCAATGTTAAATGCATTCCGATAAACGGACGCTCTTATAAACGGACGCGGACACTAGATTTTCCTGTATGTGATCAAAAAATCTCCCGATTTTTTAGTTCCGCTTATTGCAATGCACATATCTACATACATAAAATTCGGTAATTCCCCGATTTATATTAGGTGATTCCCCATTTACGCATTTCGTTGGGTAGCCTGTATGTAATTTTGTGGCTTGTCTTCAGTTCAGGCAAATTCGTAGTTGATTGAGTTACGTGTTTTATTATTGTAACTGTAAAATGGCACCAAAAAAAAGGATGCTCTCGTTAAAGGAAAAGATGGAAGTTGTTAACGTATTAGACAGAGAAAGTGTTTCAGTTCGTCATTTGGCAAAGAGGTTTAATATTGGGAAAACGCAAGCAGCTGAAATTGCCAAAAATAAGGAAGATATCAGGAGTAAATGGCAATCAGGAACTAATATAAATCAAAAGAAGGATTTTTTAAAAAAGGAAGGTTTTGCTATAGACAAAACATGTTTTGAGTGGTTTGTGAAAGTTAGAAGTCAGAACATTCCAATCTCAGGGCCGTTAGTGAAACTGAAAGCTAAAGAAATCGCCACTACTTTGGGCTATAATAATTTCAGTGCGTCCGACGGGTGGCTGCAAAAGTGGCGCAAGAGACATAGTGTGAGTTTCAAATGCATATCTGGCGAAGCTGCTGCAGTAGATCAAGTTGATGTGTCACAATTTTTGGAGAAACTTCCGTCCATGTTGCTTGGCTACAAACCAGAAGATGTGTACAACGCAGATGAGAGTGGACTTTTTTTTCGCGCATTGCCCGACAAAACTCTGTCCTTTAAAGGAGAAACATGTGTGGGTGGAAAGTTGTCTAAAGATAGACTAACCATTTTATTCTGTGCAAATATGGCCATTGTAAAAATGCGATTTGATTGTGATCGGGAAAGCGGCTCGTCCCCGTGCTTTAAAAAACGTTGCTATTAAGGATCTACCAGCGACTTGGAAATCCAACAAAAAGGCATGGATGACCCGAGAAATCATGTCTGAGTGGTTAGTCGAATTCGACCGGAAAATGAGAATCCAAAAAAGGCAAGTTCTTTTATTTTTAGACAATGCATGCTCTCATCCTCGTGATATGAAAATGAAAAATATGAAAATTATATTTTTACCGCCAAACACAACTTCTGTTTGTCAGCCCATGGATCAAGGTGTCATACAGAACTTTAAATTTTATTATCGGCACTTGATTTTAAAACATATTTTAACAAAAATTGACGATGGTCAAAGCTTATCTGAGCTTTCAAAGTCTATCAATGTATTAGAAGCTTTGTATTTTATAAAAACAGCATGGAATAAAGTAAATTCCTCTACAATTAAAAACTGTTTTGGCAAAGCTGGATTCAGAAAAAGTGAATGTAGCTCAGAATTTGCTGAGCAAAATTATTGCGATGCTGAAGACGATCTGCCCTTAGCGACACTTGCTCAGTTACTGCGACATGCCAAACATTTAGGAGTAGCAGATCCCCAGAAAGTAGATGATTTCCTGGCCATAGACAATAACATAACAACAGAAGAAAATGCCATTGGCAACTTTTCGAATTTGGATGTAGAAAGCCCAGGCCAACTTGAATATGGTAGTCCAAACGACTCAGAAGAAGAAGTGGAATTGGTGGACTCACTAAGTGGTTCAAAAACGATAAATTCATATGGGGAAGCTCTAAATCATATTTCTATATTGAAAAAATTTGCTAAAGATGATTTCACTGCATTTCAACATTTGAAAAATTTAGAAAGTTATTACGAAAATTGTCTCCTTCAGCAAAAGATGGTGAAATTTCGTCAGACAAACATTTTAAACTTTTTTCAACAAGCTAAAGAATAATGTTTTTTTTAAATTCTCGTACCATGTATTGAAGCATTTATGTTTTTGTATGCGTATATGTACATATATTATATAGATATATAGCGTAAATACATACTTTAAAAATGTAGCGAGTTTCTGTTTCATTTTTCTCATGATTATAATACCTCATTTCCTCATGATTATATACCCCGTTATTTATACTCTATACTTACATACTCTCTTTTAAACGGACACCTCCTATAAGCGGACAAAAGTTACGGAACCGTGAGTGTCCGCTTATGGGAGCTTTCACTGTATTTTCATAAGGTGGATGAAAACAATGGTACCCTTTCACTCAATTTGTGTGTGTGTGTGTGTGAAAGAACGGCTTAAGAAAGTGAAGCTCCGCACATGATACAGCTAGCCAGTTCACGAATCAGTGAAGTGGCTTACTTATTTCGTATTACCCCTTTTTACATCAACAATTTCTTCACAAATTTATTCAGATGGATTTTTTCAAGATCATCCTGATTATGTTTTGCACTTAACGAATTCATGGATTCAGTGCTGACAACAGTGCCAACCACACAATAAATTTTCTCTCGCTCTACGGCGTCGACTTAAGCCACCTATGTCGAGTATTTTAACACTTCTGCAAAAACGATATAAACAGCGTTGCTCACCGCCATATGACACTGGCCACCTCGGAGTATAACCGCGGCCTCAATCCCTGGTCCCTTATGAGTGGGTACTATTATTTTTTTGAATCGTATGACTATGCATTGCGTTTGTATGAACCAGTTACTATATAATGCAAAATAAAGATAAATAATCAAAGGACCAGTAACGTTCATTGACAGTTGATATGTTGATTCGTTGTTACCTTACTAATTGTGCTACCAAAGACTATTTACTTGATGTACTAATTTATCTATTCACGAATGTTAAGATTTCAAATTACTGTAAAGTGTATGCAATTGCCATTTACTCCACACCAGCGCGCGGCGTTCAAATTCGCGCGCTCCTATTGGCCAGCAGGTCATAAATGCCTGGGTAGGGCATTGGCAAGCAATTTTACCATATTTCACGAGTATCCATCACGCTTTGACGTCTACTCAGGTGAACAGCTGATCAGCAAGTGACATTTTTGTGTTAGTCTGCGATACTGAATCGGCTATAAACCGAGTAAAACTTGTTTGTGGCGTTTTGTTTTTTGTATGCAAATGAACTTTTCTAAACGAAAGAGCTGTTAGCAAGTACAAAATGAATCTGTAGCGTACAAAAAAAAACAAAACAAAATGAGGCTCTGTCTACCTAGCGTTGACGGATCCGTCAGAATTTTGTGTCCCGTGCCGATATGGTGAATTTTGAGATATTACTAGAAGATCGGCTATCATTCTACCATGATGGATACTCGTGAAACAGGGTATATATAGAAGTGTCGATCGAATGCCCGTTTGTTTTGACACGGAGTAAATGAGGTTTGAACAGATTATATAATAACATAATGAGTTGGTAGGTATTTATACCGAGAAGCAAAACACCTGGCTGTTTTTCCGTTTTGGCTGTGGTTAACTTTAGGTTATGCAAGAAATTGATAAAGAAAATCGAGATCATTGTTGATTTTGATACATTGCTCTGGGACTATACTTGTTTGGCCATTGATAGTTTATACTCACGTGTATTTAAATAATATGTTTTGATGTACAAAAGTGTTTTGAGTATATTTCTTTAGAAGTATGTTCCATGTAGGAGTGGCCATTACTGTGACTATATTTACAGACTAGGATGAGACGTACTAAGGAAATACATTTACCTATGGAAGGTCCGATACTTCACGTTAGTTCTCTTTTTACCCACTGCTTGTGATTTCTACTGATTTGAGTTTATTCTTGCTTCGAATTTATTACTTCATTAGTAAACCTAGTAGGGCAATAACAACCCTGTGACAGTCTTCTTATGACAGGAGTGAATATAAAATTTCATTAGATATTTTATAGCAAACCTTGAACAGGTTATGTTTTTTTCTGTGAGTTTGTACATAATCATTTATACAGGGTGACTTCGAAGTTGAGTCATTTATTTTAACAGTGAGTAGATCTGATCAAAAGAAATGTTTTTTCCTTTACCATTTTTCTGGTAAAATTAAAGTAACAAAGTTATAGCCCTTTGGAAGTTTGAGTACCGCCCTGTCTCAATAATATCATGTGTTCGTGTTTGGCAACAACGGATATAATCCGCCTTATCGGTTCATCGCATCGGAAACAAAAAAGCGAAGGAATTTGGAACGATGTTTTTGCAATTATGTTATTCAGTTCAGTTATACATACAGTCAGTGTCAGTCCCGTGTGAATAGTGTATGTTGCGTGGCTCAAACGAAATAAAAAATGGCACATGTTTATGCGGATCGGTTTCCCAATCGAGTGCAACCAACCCCTCGTGCCTTTGTTAATGTAGTACAACGGGCTCGTGAATCAGGTGACTTAAGACCTCACAGGGGACCTCACGATCAAATACAGGTCCGCACTGAAATACTTGTCGGGAGGATACTTTATAAAACAAGGTAAAATTTTTTTTTTCATTTTTTTTTATTTTTACACACATATTTTGGTTTATCTTCCTTCTACAATCATTATTTGAAAATTAATGACTCAACTTCAAAGTCACCCTGTATATTTTTTAGGAAATGCTAGTTTCGTTTTACCACTGTGATGCTAGCAAATTCTAGCGCAGTTGCTGATATTTTCAAATAACTCTCATTATAAGACGGCTTATGTTTTATTTCCAAAGTTGCTTGTTATTTTTTTGTTTATATTTTTTTTACAGCGTTCATTCAACGTTTTCTTTAAAAAACAAATCATGCATCTTCTATTTTCTTATTTATAAAATAAATTGCAAATATTCACTGACCCCCTGATGTCATATGGCAAGGATTCTTGAAACCTTCAAATTTACAACATTCGCTTCACAACAGCTTGCGTTATATTTAAGTAGTAATAATTTTCAACTGCTACATGCGATATTTAATTAGTGCTATTTATCTCACCTCTTTTTTTGAATCTTTACTGATTTTATATAACGATTGTTTATTGTTTAGGTACTACTTGTAGAAAAAATGTATTAGCTTTTTATATTTTTTTAATTTGATATGTTATAAGCTAAATGTGCTTTACTAGCTACAAACTTTGTTGAAGATTAATATATTGATTTGTTAATTCCAATTGTAGTATATAATGTATTCAATAAATGCCAAAGTAAAATTTATATTGTTTTATTTACAATGTTATAATACAAAGTTGCGTAACAAAGTGGATTCTTAAGGCTTACAAAAGATATGTACAAAAAGTCGCTATACTTACACACTTATATAACAAATCGTGCAAAATTATATCTAAAATTATTTTATTAAAACACATTATAATTCACTGGTGTATCACAAATTGTGAGTTTTAAAATGTATACATCAATTATATTAATATGATAGGATACTTACACTACATACATTTTTGAAGTAGTTTAGGTCTACAATACAAATTTTGAACGAATTGATATATTACAAGTGTCGTCATTACGCATTTATCTTCTCACCAAAACATAAGAATATATTACCATAAACAAACAGCACAGCAATCATTGAATCTAATTATTATTGATGATGATGTTCTGGTGTTTGAAAAACATTGAAAAATATGATGCTAAAATTTGCATTAACCGGTCTTCGTCGGAGAATCACTTCGGAGATGAGGGGAACTACTATCTTTTCCAAAGCTTGCCAAAGTCTGGATTTTATATCGAGTTATAAGAAATCAAGTCAAACTATAATTGTCCTGAACATTAAAACCACACATGCCCTGCACAATGTGGGAATACAGCATTCAGGACTAGCACCCTAATAGTTACCTACGTATCCAGAGCTTAAATTGGGCGTTTATGGCCCGCGGTGTGAAATTAGAATCCAATCTGTGAAGCGACATGAAAGATCATGGATGCCTTTGCGCGCAAGATACATACATACAAATGGACATAAAATACCGTGGCCGATGAACATAGTTGAATTCGAAGGTAGCGTGCGCGTAACTTACATTATCACCCTAGGGCATAAAGTAGTCCTTGGGCTAAAAAGTAGGTCACCCGTAAAATCTATTCTTACGTTACCGTCACGTTGATAAAATGTATTGACCAATCTCAATTTTTTGTCAAGCTTTTTGTCGTCGATTCGAAGACGGCCGCCCATAATCTACTTGTAGCGATGGTAACGGATGTGGTTCATATGAATTCGATTTCTCAAAAGCAGGTCAATACCATCCATAGAACGGTTGATGACCAAAGGTCTTTGGCGTTTGTGGGTATCCATGAATGCTAGGTTGCATGGTAGTTTGTGCAAAACTTCCCAATCCTTGAGCAATCGGCTGCCCCAAAGTGGTAGAAATGGATGGGTTGGAGTTGACTGGACTCAAATTTCTTATTTGATGTGTAGGTGACATATGCCACTGCGAGGACAAGTTGTGCAGTTGGCTAGCTTCGCTGCAAGGTGGTGCGTCGTTGCTGTTACTGTTACCTGGAAAGATAAAGACACTTATATTAATAATTGATATAGACAATGACAAACGAAAATTTCACTTTATCAAGTAGGATTTGAGAATTAATTTATCTTTTAAAACACACATAGTCCAACCAGGAAGGAAAGCCTTGGGAAGTTTTGAAAGGATATCTTTATATACAGCGTGACACATAAGTCCCGGAACGCCTATTTTCTCGGGTAAGGTAGTTTTGGAAATGATCAACGTTAGGTCTTTAATAAAATTCAGCAAAAAATTCAACGGCGACCTTGAATTTGACCTTGACCTCCACCTTCAAGGTTATTTCACGGTCAAAGTAATTTTTTCAAATAGAAACACCTATTTTTGATGCCGGCAATATAAATAACAGAAAATTCCACGTTCAAACACAAATAAAGTTCCAGGTCAGGATGACTGTTAAAGGTCAAATGAAGATCAAATGTGTGCTTATAGGAAAACCTCTATAAATCTCACAGGATTAGTAATGAATAACTATCAAGGTCAGGTCTGTAGTAAATTTTGACGAGTGATCTTGTATTCGACCTTGAACTCCACTTGTAAGGTTATTTTTTCTCAAATGGGATCAGTATCGGTTAAACATTGTTTGTAACGGAGCACCCCGTAGTTCCCTCGGTAAAACTTACCCGAAGATCTTACCTTGCCTTTCCAGAAGTTGACCTAGCAGCACAAATTTGGCGTTTATGTAACATTTAGTGGTCACATTGGTCTTGAATTGTACACATTTGAGCATAAAATTCCCGGTTCTCTGGATTGTCGGCTCAAATCGGCGTTTCTATTTGTAAAAATAGAGTTGATCTTTGACATGACCTTGGAGGTGAGGTTCAAGGTCGAATCCAAGATCACGGCTACTTGTGAAAATTTAGACCTGCCGTAACCTGTTATTTTCGTCACGATCTCTACGGGTGTTCTAAAGGTTTTCCTAGCAGCACATATTTGACCTTTATTTAACCTATTTGACCTCTAGCGGTCATATTGATCTCGATCTTGAATCAAGTTGACTTTGGGTAAGTTTTAAGAAGAGACTGGCGGTGCTGGTTACAAATGATTCTCAACCGATACTGCGGGTTTCTATGATCTTGAAATGACCATGAAGCTGAGGTTGAAGGTTAAAACCTATATTACTCGATAAAATTTACCAACAACCTGACCTTCATAGTTATCTTCATAACAAACGAAAATTTCACTTTATCAAGTAGGATTTGAGAATTGACACAAAAGTCCCGGAACGGCTATTTTCTCGGGTAAGGTATTTTTGGAAATGATCAAGGTCAGGTCTTCAGTAACATTCAGAAAAAAAATCAACAGTGACCTTGAATTTCAGCTTGACCCTAACCTTCAAGGTTATTTCACGGTCAATGTAATTTTTTCAAATAGAAACACCTATTTTTGATGCCGGCAATGGAAATAACAGTAAATTCGACGTTCAAACACAAATAAAGTTCCAGGTCAGGATAACTGTTAAAGGTCCAATAAAGATCAAATGTGTACTGATAGGAAAAACTCTATAAATCTCACAGGATTAGTGATTAAAATAATTATCAAGGTCAGGTCTGTAGTAAATTTTGACGAGTGATCTTGGATTCGACCTTGAACTCCACCTCCAAGGTTTTTTGTTCTCAAATGGGATCAGTATCGGTTAAACATCATTTGTAACGAGCACCGTAGTTCCCTCGGTAAAACTTACCCGAAGATCTTACCTTGCCTTTCTAGAAGTTTTCCTAGCAGCACACATTTGGCCTTTATGAGACCTTTAGTGGTCAAATTGGTCTTGAATTGTACAAATTTGAACATAAAATTTCCGGCTCTCTGAATTGTCGGCATCGAATAGGCTTAACTATAGAGTCGATCTTTGAAATGACCTTGGAGGTGAGGTTCAAGATCGAATCCAAGATCACCGCTACTTGTGAAAATTTAGACCTGCGGTTACGTTATTTTCGTCACGATCTCTACGGGTGTTCTAGAGGTTTTCCTAGCAGCACATATTTGACCTTTCTTCAACCTATTTGACCTCCAGCGGTTATGTTGATCTTGATCTTGAATTAAGTTGTCTTTGGGTAAGTTTTAAGGAGAGACCTGCGGTGCTGGTTACAAATGATTCTCAACCGATACTGCGGGTTTCTATGATCTTGAAATGACCTTGAAGCTGAGGTTCAAGGTCAAATCCGATATTACTCGTTAAAATTTACCAAAAACCTGACCTTCATAGTTATCTTCATAACTTATCCTGAGATTCATAGAGGTTTTCCAAGCAGCTCACATTTGATCTTCAGTAGTAATCATGACATTGGATTTTGATAGTGTTTGAACGTAAAATTTTCTGTTCTTTCACTGTTGTTCTTTGTAGATGATTTTATAAGAGTTGGAGATAGTGATTTTGTTCAATTTGGAGTACACATCTGGAGTAGGGCCTATTTATTTTATATTCAAGACTATATGCTTCGTAGTTATGCTCTATAACGAACTTCCACGAGCCATAAAATTGTTAAATTATGACAAATTTAGAAAACGCATTTGAGATTGAGTGGCACTATGCCCATAATAAAGTTTATTAAACATGTAGGTATAACATGGAGCTATAAAATGATTGTGTTAGTATATTCATTTGGCTTTCTGGAACCCTCTTGTTAGAGTTTTTAGATTGTCTTAAAACCACTTACCACTGTTAGGCCCCAACATAGTAACCATACTGGTAGGTGTCGGTGGCATTCCCCCATACTGGTGATGCGTCACCGGACTCCCCGAATGGTGATGTACCGTGTTGTCATTCCCATCCTTGTACTCTCCAGACATCTCATGGGCCGTCATTGGCTGCACGGCTTGTGGTGGGGGCGGCGCCGTCAGACTGTCGTCAGGGGAAGTCCCGTTCGGTTGGACGGACGTGTAGAGGGAATGGTGGTGGCTATGAGGGGGCGGCGCTGAAGGGTAAGTAGCGTGAGAGAGGGTGGGGTGTTCCCATTTCACATCCGGTAGAGAAGGGAGAGAGGGGGAGGTACTTGTGGCGTGCGGGTGCTGTTGCTGGTGGTGTTGCGTGCTGCCTGCGTGCGATGAGACTGGGTAGAGATCGGTCACTGGAAAAAAAGTGATGTTAGATGCGAGAAATTGAAAAAGACTGTCACGGATGAATTTATTATTGCTTTAATGATCCTTTGGGCTCGCATCTAAAACACCCGAGCATACTATGAAATATGGGGTTGTCCAAATCGGACGCAGGAAAGTAAACGCATATTAAAACAAGAAAGATTGATATTCAAATCAAGTTGGGTACTTTATTTTGAAGATTCATTTATACCATTTATGTATGAAAAATAATATCGCTCAAATGTTCACCACGACTGGATTTACAGACGTCCACGCGATGGTCGAAATTTTCAATGACATTTTGCAATATGGTCGGTTCTATGGCATTTATCTCGGCAATGATGTTGTTTTTGAGTTCTTGGAGGGTGGCTGGTTTGTTGACGTAGACTTTGCTTTTCAAATATCCCCATAAAAAGAAGTCCAAGGGAGTCAAATCGCACGGTCTTGATGGCCATGGCACATTTCCTCTGCGCGAAATCACGCGATCACCGAAGAAGGACTGCAATCGATGGATATTGACGTTGGTTGTGTGGTATGTTGCACCGTCTTGTTGGAAATAAACATTGTCCATATCCATTCCTTCAAGTTGCAGCAAAAAAAGTCCTCTATCATCACGTGATATCGCTCAGAATTGATGGTAACGGCGTCCCCGGCCGCATTTTCGAAAAAGTAAGGTCCGATGATGCCTTTTGACCACAATGCACACCACACAGTCACTTTTTGAGGATGCATCGGCTGCTCTTGATACTCACGGGGATTTTCGTTCGCCCAGATGCGGCAGTTTTGCTTGTTTACCGTCCCAAAGTGAAATGCGCTTCGTCGCTGAACATGATTTTTGATGAAAAATTGGCATCAATTTGGCGGTGTTCAAGGAGCCAATCTGAGAACGTTCGGCGCGAAAAATGGTCGGCCCGACGCAGCTCTTGCGTCAACTGGATCTTGTAGGCGTGTACATTCAAATCCTTGTGAAGAATGCGGAGCAAACTGGTTCTCGAAATGCCCAATTCTTGGAATCGACGCGTTGTTGATTGTTTCGGATCGTCTCTCACACTCTCCTTCACAACAGCAATATTTTCCGGTGTGCGAACGCTTCTTGGCTGGCCAGAGCCTGGCAGATTTGCCACAGAACCTGTTGCCTCGAATTTACGCACCAGACGACCGATGGTTGTTTCGTTTGGGCGGTTGTTGCGACCGAAATGTTCACGAAGCGCGCGAAACGTGTTTTTTATTTTTGCACCATTTTTGTAGTGCTCTTGAATAACTTTAATGCGGTCTTCAATCGAATACGACTCCATAGCGATCAATGGTAAACATTTAACTAACAAAATGACATGTCGGTGACAGAAAACAAAGATGGCGTCTATGTCAAATTGTCGTTTACTTTCCCGCGTCCCTATTGGACAACCCTTTAGATGTTTGTGACATAACCTCAAAATAGAGTTCTGACACGGAGAAGTATATATAGAAAACTATGACAATCAAGGAGGCCATAAAGGCGCCCTACAATTGTAGGGACGACTGACGATACGGGCCTAAAACACCCGAGCATACTATGAAGTATAAAACATCAACTCTAATTCTTATTTTTTTCGCGATTGTATCTGTGTCTTTTTCCTTGGGAATTGAAATCTTGCAATAATATTTATATTTGCTTACTTTGGTTTGAAGTAGCCGTTGCAGAGCTGGTACTGGCAGAGAATCCACTGTCGTTGATTCCTTGAGGTAATGATGTTGCGTAGGGTGTTGCAGGATTGGAATATGGACCGCTTGATATGCCAAGTGGCGCGTAAGACGAAGATGTCGAAGACAGTTGTTTCCTTAGTCGTGCTCTTCTATTGCTGAACCATACCTAGAAAAAAACAGTGCGTGTAACGTGTGAAATCTAACAATCCAAAAAGTGTTTTTCCTCGAATACGCAAGGTGAATAAAATTCGAGAATTAACATTTTTATTACATTGATTATTTCGATGGACCGTACCTTCGGGATGCATATAGTCTAATCATTTTAGCAAATTTACCCGAAATAATTGTAAAGTCTGGTTTTATTGGTGTATGTCAATCAAGGTGGTATTTGAAACATGGGCGCATAAAATGAGTAGGTACACCAACTTTTAGGCTTTTATTTGACAAACAAGAATGAGAAATGTGTTTTTTGGGATTCAATCGAAAGTGTTGACAGGAACAAAAAAACTTTTTATATAAGATTTTTAGGTATTTATGAGACCTACAAAATCAGACCACACGTAAAAAGATCCGACTAATAACAAAAATGTTATGGTCGAAAACCTAATATCTGCGAGACACCATCGTCGCATTACCAACAAGTGCCAAAACCTGCAGTTTGCCCCGGTTTTCGGCCATAACTTTTTTGCTTACAGACGGATTTTTTTACGTGTGATACGGGTTGTCCAATAGGGACGCAGGAAAGTAAACGTCAATTTGACATAGACGCCATCTTTGTTTTCTGTCACCGACATGTCATTTTGTTAGTTGAATGTTTACCATTGATCGCTATGGACTCGTATTCGATTGAAGACCGCATTAAAGTTATTCAAGAGCACTACAAAAATGGTGCAAAAATAAAAAACACGTTTCGCGCGCTTCGTGAACATTTCGGTCGCAACAACCGCCCAAACGAAACAACCATCGGTCGTCTGGTGCGTAAATTCGAGGCAACAGGTTCTGTGGCAAATCTGCCAGGCTCTGGCCGGCCAAGGAGCGTTCGCACACCGGAAAATATTGCTGTTGTGAAGGAGAGTGTGAGAGACGATCCGAAACAATCAACAACGCGTCGATCTCAAGAATTGGGCATTTCGAGAACCAGTTTGCTCTGCATTCTCCACAAGGATTTGAATGTACACGCCTACAAGATCCAATTGACGCAAGAGCTGCGTCGGGCCGACCATTTTTCGCGCCGAACGTTCTCAGATTGGCTCCTTCAACACCGCCAAATTGATGCCAATTTTTCATCAAAAATCATGTTCAGCGACGAAGCGCATTTCACTTTGAATGGGACGGTAAACAAGCAAAACTGCCGCATCTGGGCGAACGAAAATCCCCGTGAGTATCAAGAGCAGCCGATGCATCCTCAAAAAATGACTATGTGGTGTGCATTGTGGTCAAAAGGCATCATCGGACCTTACTTTTTCGAAAATGCGGCCGGGGACGCCGTTACCGTCAATTCTGAGCGATATCACGTGATGATAGAGGACTATTTTTTGCCGCAACTTGAAGGAATGGATATGGACGATGTTTATTTCCAACAAGACGGTGCAACATGCCACACAACCAACGTCAATATCCATCGATTGCAGTCCTTCTTCGGTGATCGCGTGATTTCGCGCAGAGCAAATGTGCCATGGCCACCAAGATCGTGCGATTTGACTCCCTTGGACTTCTTTTTATGGGGATATTTGAAAAGCAAAGTCTACGTCAACAAACCAGCCACCCTCCAAGAACTGAAAAACAACATCATTGTCGAGATAAATGCCATAGAACCGACCATGTTGCAAAATGTTATTGAAAATTTCGACCATCGCGTGGACGTCTGTAAATCCAGTCGTGGTGAACATTTGAGCGATATTATTTTTCATACATAAATGGTATAAATGAACCTTCAAAATAAAGTACCCAACTAGATTTGAATATCAATCTTTCTTGTTTTAATATGCGTTTACTTTCCTGCGTCCGTTTTGGATATGAAAAGTTTTTTCGTTCCTGCCAACACTTTCTATATAAAAAGTTTGACCACAAAAATTGGTGTACCCATGTCATGAGTCCATGTTTTGAATACCCCCTTGAACAATTTGCAGCAATAAAACTAGACTTTACAATTATTTTGCAAACCAATGGTATTTTCGTCTAATATGATTAGACTGAGAGTTGCGATGCATTTGTTCGTTGTCCAAGAGAAGAGAGACTAAGCCTAGACCATGCTACTGAGTAGTTGAGAAGCACGAAACAGTTGTCTATGGTTGGCTGTCTTTTGGTCGAACGACGAAAGTATCATATTTACCATTTTTATTATTAAAAATTACATTTAACGATATCTAATCGTCAAAGACTGCTCAAAATCGGTTTGTTCATTTAAAACGAAAAACCCGTACCTATGTTATATCACTCATTGTCGTCGGTCCTGTCAGCCTTTCGGTCTGTCTGTCCGTTAATCCCTTGCCTGACTATAACTTGAGGAGTACCGCTCGGATTTTGATGAAATTTTCACACAGGGTTGCTACTATGCCAAGGACGAAAAAGCCTTACAGTATTTGAAAATAATAATAATAATTAACGTCTTTTATTTGTAATATTATTACAGGAGGCGAGATTTAGATTATATATCTATTCTACCATCTAACCCCCTTAACAATACGAGATGTAAAAAAAAAGAATTTGTTGAAAATTAATAGGCACCTGTATACAATAACGAATAATCCAAGTAAATACATAAGGAAAATATGAGGACACTTATGGGTTACAACCGATTTCGCTGCTGATCAAGAAGAACTTCTTTCACTTTTTTTTTTTGAATTTGGATAATGGATTGGTTTCTTTTAAACTACGGTCTAAAGAATTATATGATTTGATCGCATTGTAAACGTATGTATTCTGAAATAGAGACGTGCTATGGCGTGGAATTGAAAAAGTCTCTCTATATCTAATATTAATACGATGCATATTCCCTCTACGTATGAATTTGTTTACTAAATATGACGGTGTTTTTGAATAAAGAATCTTATGAATACGATTTCTTGTTATAATATCTAAATATTGATAGTAAACCACTGAGCAATATGAAATCTTTGAAAACACGAAATATTCACACAATTGCTTTCTCGCAGATTTATGTAATATAGTCTTATTTGCATATAAAACTCTGAGAATAGCGTAGCACTGAGTAATAACATAGTTCACTTGTGCAACAAATTTTAAGTCATCATCCATTATAATTCCTAGGTTTTTTGAATGATCCACAAGAATTAATTTATTACCTTTTAAATGTATGTCTATGTCCTTTTTTAAGGTATTCTTTTTTGTTCTATTTGCGTATACCAACATATTTGTCTTCAAAGGGTTCAAATGAAGATTATGACTACTACTGAACTTTTCAATTTGGGCAAGATCTTGATTAATTTTATTATTTGCCGTTTCCAAGTCATTACTCCTAAAATGAATAGAAAATTTGAGTATCATCTGAAAAAAATTGTATGCTGCATGATTTTACCTCTGTTTCTAAATCTGAGATATATAATGAAAATAATAGCGGTCCTAAGACTGATCCCTGTGGTACACCAGAACAAATTTTTTGTTCCCTGGAGTACTGTTGATTTAGACGAACTTTTTGATACCGATTTTCAAGGTAGGTTTGAATAAACGAAAGAGGTTTTTCAGAAAATCCTTAGTAACTGCATTTAGATACAAGAAGTGAGTGATTAATGGTGTCAAATGCTTTAGTAAAGTCAAGAAGTATGAGAGCTACTGCTTTCTGGTTATCAAGTGCCATTGTTATATTGTCTGTTAAATCACAGAGTGCCGAAGCTGTATTATGACCTTGTCGAAATCCAGATTGTTTAGATGGAATAATTTTGTTAGAATATAAGTAGGCGCAGAGCTGCTCGTAAACAACGCGTTCCAATACTTTAGAAAAAATTGGCAGTAGACTGATCGGTCTCAGTTGACCGTAGTTAGTAGGATCAGAACACTTAGGTAGCGGAATAACTATAGCGCGTTTCCACTGATATAAATATAAATATAAATCGGCCAAACTTCGTTTTTACACGTTTCAAAGGTTCCTGATTATTTTTGGTGCAAATGATTTATATGTTTTTAACACCGGTAATCCTACGCACCTATTAGACGTACTTCATACATCATAGATTTCCCCGAAAATTTGCCCTTAAAACTGATGGAGATGTATCTTAGATATACGCGTGCCGGACATCCCAACGAGTCTACGTCTATCTGCTCCGAATGCGGAGAACGTCTGATTTCCTCCGGAGTGCCTCAAGGATCAGTACTTGGACCACTTTTCTTTATCTTGTATACAGCAGATATAAATAGGGTGGTGAAATTTTGTAGAATTCATGACCTAATTTATTCAAAATTATGCAACAGAACATGGCCTCTACACCCAAAGTTATTATTCTTTCTCCTAAAATTCTAAGGTCATAATTAAAAATAATTTGAGCATAACTTCAACTGCAGCGGCCATGCTATTTAATGGAAGATTTAGTTAAAAACTTAGGTTTGTTTATAGATGAGAATCTCATGTAAATGATGTTACTAAAAATTGTTTTACTATTTTACGGCATCTGTACTTAAATAAAGAAATTCTTGACATTAAAGCAAAAAAATGTTATGTGAATCTATAATATCAAGAAACACATATTGTATTTAGTATACTGTTATACTGTCCATTTCTAGATTTAGTTTCAGCTAGACGTATACAAATTCGTATTGTAGATTGATTTTCAATTTAAGAAAATATGATCATATTAGTTCACAGCTGAATTGGCTGAATGTTGCAAAGTTGCTAAAATTTAATTTATTATGATATTTTCACAAACTCCTACATACTTCGGTTCCTTCATATTTGAAAAATAAAGTGATACCTCGTGAGTATATCTACTCACGGAATATTCGATTCACTTACACTTCAACTGTGCCTCTTCACAAAACGTCCTTATTTCATAATTGCTTTACCTACAATGCGATCAATCTATAAAATACACCACTATCGACTGCTAAACATCTTGATTTTAATACTCTCCAATGGCATATTAAACAATATCTTTGATGCTCAAATCTGAATTAACTCTTAGTATATAGATCATCTATATTTCCTCATATTTCTGCATATTATACAGGGTGTTCCTTAAGGATATGCGAATATTTAAGGGTTGAATCTACATGAAAAATTAATGTTAATTTGCTTTTTAAACTATGGTCCAACAATGTTTCCTTACAAAAACTCGAGGTGAAGTTTTAGGAAAAAAATGGAAATTAATTAATATTTTCAGAACCGATTCAGATATTTCACTGATATTTAGAACGTAGTGAAAGTTAATAAAGTTGCATATCTTTCAATGCAAAAATAATTGTTAGCTTTAACAGTGGCGTGCGTACGGGTATTGACTTTGATATTTTTTAAGAAAAAAATGGTACGCCAATGGTTTTTTGCCAAATAAAAATTCTTTTTAAATTACACGTTCAATTTAAAACAAATAATCTCTCTTGAATTATTTTTCTTCGATGCGCCATTTTTGAGTAAAAAAATAAAAACCGTTCTATTGTCTAACTTGCAAAATTATTATTAATTGGAAAAATTAAACACATTAGGGGTGATGAACAACAACTGACAACATAAACATAACATTAAAACCAACGAAATGATTACAAAAATTGTTACTTAGTATGCAATTTTTCCAATTAAATTAATAATAATTTTGCAAGATAGACAGTAGAACGGTTTTTATTTTTTTACTCAAAAATGGCGCATCGAAGGAAAACAATTCAAGATAGATCATTTATTTTAAATTGAACGGGGAATTCAAAAATAATTTTTATTTGGCAAAGAACCATTGACGCGCCATTTTTTTTTAAAAATATCAAGTCAATACTCGTACGCACGCCACTGTTAAAGCTAAAAATTATGTTTGAATTGAAAAATATGCAACTTTATTAACTTCCACTACGTACTAAATATCAGTGAAATATCTGAAGCGGTTCTGAAAATATTAATTAATGTCCATTTTTTTCCTAAAACTTCAACACCCCGAGTTTTTGTAAGGAAACATAGATTCACACCCTTAAATATTCGCATATCATTAAGGAACACCCTGTATAAATATCTTATAGTCTTTTTTTCATACAAACATGCGTACGCTGTATTTAATTTGTAATTTTCGTTTTCGGACGAATCTTTTGTTAAAATTGTTTTCGATATTCTAGTGCCAGTTTTTCAACAGTAAAGTGGTGGAGTAGCTTGTAGCTAAACTACGCCCTAAACAAAAGTCGTTTATTATTATGTTTAGCCTACTCGACGTCATTTTTTGAAAACAGGTACATAACCGCGCATGAAAAACATATCACTCCTTCTTAGGCAATAGTGTAAAAGATAGTGCTCATTCAGAGACTTCTTAATTGCTCTAATAGCTAGTCTATCACAGAATGTAACTCGTTGTACTTGTGATTTCAATATGTTTTATGTGTATGTACGAGTATTTCGATACTCACTTGTATTCTGGCTTCAGTTAGTTTTGTTCTTTGGGCTAGCTCTTCTCTGGTATAGATATCTGGGTACTGAGTACGTTCGAATGCTTTTTCAAGCTCGTCTAACTGGTGAGCGGTGAAGGTAGTTCGGGATCGTCGTTGCTTTCTCTTCAAGGGGATACCCGGTTCACTTTCGCAGTCAGACCCTCCTTCGTTTTCACTGGATTTATCTGTAATCAAAGAAGCATGACTATGATATGAATAATTCTAATTAAATTAAAAAGCAGTTTTTTATACTAATATACGAGTACCCACCAAAGTCTTAAGATTACCGAGATGTTAGGCTCTGCAAAATCATTCAAATCTACACGAAACCTAGCCGAGATCAAAACTCAATCCAGGCACATCCTTCGTGTTTTTTTTTTTGTTTGGGGCACATACATGCCTCTGTGAATCTATTACAGACAACAGACAGACTGTACTGATTTGTTTTAGACGAACGGTGAGTACTTTTTTATTTATTCCTTTTTACTTTTTCGCTGTTGTCTTACCGCACATTAGGTTTGTTATTGCAAGCGTAATTGTTTCTGAAAAGGATGTATATTCCAAATGAAAAATGTCAATGTTATTGCTCGACTATAGGTGCATTTACATGATTCTATTTTAACTAGTAGTACTCCGTTTGGTGACAGTGTCACCTTTTCGCGCACTACAATACTGGGTACGTGTAGACCTATATCGTACTGATGATTGCTAGAAATCACGAAACAACGTTACATCCGCTTGGCTATAGTCGCAGAGATGGAATGCAAACATATCCTATACAGGAATAAATTTAAATTGTAAGAATTCGTTCGTATGTCAAAAAACCTCTAAATGCATACAGATTATACCTCGTTCGGAATATTTTCTTCTTTAATCACCCTCACTCATTGGTCCTGCGTTGAGAGCGACTGTGGTTGGGAATTATTTAAAATGGAAACGCGCTAATGCGTTCTGTACATTGTGCATTCACCATATTTTCGACTTTCAACTTTAAATGTGCTAAAAGTTACCAACCCAAAACTCTGCTTATAAGTCTAGGAATTTGGAATTCAATAAATTTTTAGAATACATTGTTCTTGTTTTCTGCGATCGCTCATGTTCATTATTATTAACATCTATCGTTTAATAATTACATCGAAAGAGATTGGATTGCACATAATACGCACATTCACCATATTTTCGATTTTAAGCTCCAACATATATATAAATCCGAACAACCAGTTTAAATGGTTTTATTTTAATAAAAGTTGGTGAATGTATTTATCTTACTGTAAATAACAAGTGAAAAAATTTTCAGCCTTATCAGTTGGACATTCCGGTTTTTATACTGCTTTTTTTTAATTCACTAACGCTCTAAAAATGAATATTTCAGCCGCAGTAAAGAATCAACGTTGGCGGATTTTGGTTCTTGACATCCTTTACGATCGGTTACGATGCCTAGAGTACGGAGACCTGTACGATTTCGTCAACTTAGTGAGTTTGATAGGGGCCGTATAGTGGGACTTCGGGAAGCTGGACTTTCTTTTCGGGCAATTGCAGTTAGAGCGCAAAGAAGTGTAGACACTGTGGTTAGGTGTTGTCAGGCATGGCTTCGAGAAGGCCGTACGTAAAGAGCAAGGGACACTGGACGCCGCCGTAGAACAACAGACCGTGAAGATCGCCGCCTAAGATTATTGGCCTTAAGGGACCGTTTCTCCACTACCAGGTCCATTGCAAATGAATGGTTTGCAGAACACGGAAGACCTATTGGCATGCGAAGTGTTTACCGACGAATGAGAAGTTTTGGCTTGTTTTCATACCGGCCACACTGGGTCCTCCCTTTAACTCGAGAACACCGACGTAATCGCCTTGAGTGGTGCAGACAACGGTCACTCTGGGATCAGGAATGGAACAGTATTGTCTTTAGTGACGAGTCTCGATTTTGTTTATACATGCACGATGATCGTGCCAGGGTTAGAAGGCGACGTGGTGGAAGGAGGAATCCACAGTTTTTTGTTGAAAGACATGTTCATCACACTGTTGGAGTTATGCTTTGGGGTGCTATAGCTTACGGTTCCAGGTCACCTTTAATCTTCATCAGACGTAACATGAACGCACGGCGTTATATCCACGAAGTTCTAGAACCCCATCTTTTACCCTATCTTGACACCCTGGCAGATCCAACTTTCCAACAAGATAATGCCCGACCACATGTTGCAAGAGTCACAATAGACTTCTTTCAACATAATGATGTCACATTGTTACCATGGCCACCAAGATCTCCCGACTTATCCCCAATTGAGCACGTGTGGGATATGATGGGTAGGAGATTGCTCAATTTGCAACGTTCTCCTCAGACTCTAGAAGCACTTCGAGAGGAGTTGGTGGTTGCATGGAATGAGATACCACAGGAGGACATTGACCACCTGATCAGAAGCATGCCTAGGCGCGTTGGAGAATGCGTAGCACATCAGGGTGCATCCACACATTATTAAAGGTCAAAGGGCTTTAAAGCAGTGCAATGATTTTGAAATTTTTATCATTTACTTATTATGCTTCATTAAGTACTTGTACAAAATTTTATTAAAATAAAACCATTTAAACTGGGTGTTCGGATTTATATGTCACTTAGTATAAATGTATAAAAAGTTGGTTGACTGCTGGATCAAAAAGGAATTTGAAACGTCGTAGAAGGTTGTTAGCTGCCTAAGCCGCTATTCATACTCTGCTATGTTCAGCTATTCAGTTGTACTACTAAGCGCATCCACCATATGATTGAATAGTGTTACAGAGGGAATTAAAAGGTTTGCAAAAATATGTCCCATAGTCCATTATAGATGATTTATTCATCTACCTCATGCCTAGTATGAGAAAGCCTAATATTGAACCTATAATAAACAAAAATGAACCTGAATCTAAGGATTGTCATCAGATGTTTCCAAATCTTCCCTACCGATTCAAAGTTCAATTAATTGTAAAGGGCGTCATAACAAAATTCCGCAGCACTGACCTTCAGAATAATCCTAATGAATGATCAAAATCAGAAGTGTATCCGTATTCAGAAGATATGAATCTTCGTCAAGTCATGGCCATCAAATGAAAAATGAATGGAATGATGATGGACAACCCACCATAGGCGCGCTGTGTTTAATACGATTTTAAAAGATTGAGCTGAATAGAACACACAGTTTTTCTTATTTAGATAATTTTTATTGAATCATAGGCTTTGATGGTATATGCACCTTCTTCTGTGAAAATTCTTCATGGCTATGTGCAGAGTTGGATTTCATTTTTCCATACACGAATGTCTGTCGGCTTCTTTTTACCCAAATTGAACAATATTGATGTGTTTAACACTCAAGGACAGATTTAGAAGGGTGCTCACAAACCTAGAGGCCCAAGTCTGCCAGTTTTTTAATGAAAATGGTATATATTGGTGTAAAAATTACATTGCTATACCTGAATCGTAAGACGTATTCAATTGTCACAAGGGCATTTGCTTTCAGAAGCGCTTAAGCATGCAGCTGATACCCCTCCCCCACTCTTCAACTTTTAATCGCCGCAACCCCCTTCCAAGACGAATATTTTCCCAAACCTAAATGCTGCGGTCACCGCTCCGCCTCCCTGTCCTCTGGACAGATTACTGAGTCCGCCCTTGATAACACACGTAGTTTCGAGAAGACGGTGCCACATTCCACATCCCGTGAAGCACGTGGGCAACGACACTGTTGTGTGTGTGTGTGTGTTATTTTCAAACGTGACACCATTCGATTATACAAAATTTTTGCACTTTTGTCAGGTTTTTTACGTTCCTGAACCACGTCGACGCAAATGGAAGCAGGAACACTATAACGATATCTCGAAATAAAAGCGGTGGGTGCAACGCTTTGTGGTAGCGATGGTAGCTGGTGTCATGTGACGTCATCACTCAGTCTCGCACTCCAGCAAGATAGTTCTCCAAATAAGAATCTTTTGGGTAGCGTCAATTTGTAATTTTAAATGATATCCAAAAATAAATTCTATGCTTTCAAGTGTGTTTAAAAAAAATCTCCTCATTACTGAGTGGTCGTGTATACCCTCGATTCGGTGATCAGAATCAAGGGCGGATCCAGGGGGGTGTCCTGGGGGTCAGAGCTTGAAAAATATCGAACTTGTTTTTCAATTTGCAGACGACTCCCTCTCCAAATTTTCCCGTAGGATTCTATGGATGCGATAGTCCTACGCGGCGGCCTAATTCCCGAGTGCTGATATCTGCATTGATTTCCACGATATTTAAAATTTGTTCCTCCTACTCTACAGTAACCTGTCTTTCACGAGTGCGAATGTTAGTGGGTTGAACACTTCCTGTATCTCGAAGTCTTTGGTACACTTGCACAAATGTCCTGTACCTGTTGGCGAAATCTGACGCGACAAATTTGAGCTGCAAGATTTGAATTCTGATGAGCTTCACCGTAAACTTACAACATGCCGGCGAACTCTTGATTCGAGAACATTGTAAATAAACACGACGACGTACGCGAACAATAACTAACCACTGTTACCGTTTGCGATCGATTGCCGGTTCGATAAGAGTGATGAATGACCGACGCGCTGTTGTCATGTGTGTTTTAAATATTTAATTTAATGAAACTTACTTACCTACTGACTACAAATTTTGGCTTAACTTAGAAAAACTTAATGTCATTTATTTGTTAATTACCCAATTTAAAAACGTTTTAGATTAGATTATAAAAATTAGTAAGATTGTGGTGATTGTGGTCGATATAAAGCACTTAAAGTTGTAAACTATAAAGCCATTTAGACAAAAATCGATTGACTTTTGGACCATGGGCATTTGAACTTTTTGACTTGTTTTGACCTCCTCCCTATTACCCATTTCAATAATGACTAACATAACGTTTACACCCTGTATAGGATGTCCTGTTCATATTTTGATGTTTTGCCAATACAATTTGATGAAGTATATAATTATAGACAGAATACATTTCTGTTATAAGGTTATCACTTTTGAAAAATTTGAAAGGTTCTGAATAACTTAAGACTGTATCATTGAAAATGCGCTTGTAGCTTTTTAAACTGAAATCTCTGTAGAACTCTATATAAAAGAACTAAAGTAAATTGGTTTCAAATAATACATTTGTGCATGAGTGAAATAAGTATATTAACTTTTTGTACAGCAAAAGCTTTTTTATGGGTAAGTATTAAT